CGGGAAGCTATATATAAAACCAGAAGGATTGCAATAAAAATTATTAACAAACAACTTCTTTTTGGCTCTGACATTTAATGTATCGCGCGAGATCGTACGTTTTTTTAATAGAAAAAAAAAAAAGTATTTTTGTATATATTCGAGACGCGCGTATTTCGCGCAAACGAGAGATTCGCGCGCGAAATCGAACGTTCGCGTCGCGGCCGAAATCGCCGAAACGACGTTAACCCAAATCCATACATATCGTGGCGATGTTTTCGAGGGCACGAATTATCGGTCGACCCATTTTCGGCCAATGTTGTGCCAAGCCCTTTTTGACCGGCTGTCGACGTGGAAATGATAACACGCGGCCGCGCGTCAAAGAGGAAAAATGGCGTTCGCCGGATGTCGGATAAGACTCAACCGGAGCGTTTCGCGCGAAAAACTTTCCTCTCACCCGGTTTTTACGTCACACGTAACAGATATGTAGATATATATTTATGTTTCGAGATCCCGCTGAACTTTCCGCGAATATTTAAAAAAGTTACTCGCCCGTTTTTCGCGCGTAACTTTCTCTCCTCTGGACCGAGTTTTCAGTCGATACGTTTTGCTCGCGAGAAGTTAAGGCGCGGCAAAATTTGCGTTTCAGCAAAGTTCGCAGCGCGCACAGATCTTTCGACATGTGGTTTTGTTGAAGTTTTCGTCTTCATGGAAGATGAATAAAATTTGTTTTTTCACGTAACGAACTCATTTTTGTATAATGAAAATTTTTTATTTCCACGTAACGTTCATCAAATGTCTGGCGAACGTCCATATGTAACTTCGTAGAACGTTCTAATGAACATTTAACAGAGGTAGAATGTTCACATAGAATGTTGTTCCGTTTTGGAACGCGTATCTATAAAATAATTTAAAACGAAACAATAGAGAGAAAGAGAATGAAACTTTTTCCGCGCGAGAAATAAAGAATGAAAGATGAAAGGTTTTCAAATATAACTTTTCTCTTGTTGCATTTGAAGTGAAGTTTGAAAAGCAGTTTTATACGAGACATTAAAATTCATTCGACGGAAATGGTCAAATCCTATAAAAAAAAAACAAATTCCTAAAGAATTACACTAACAGCCGCTAATTCTGTTCTTGTTATTTAAACGCGTGCATGCGAGCACACGTGTGTAAAAATTACACACAGAATTTTTTTGTAATTTTATTAATTAAATTACGTATAATTATCTCTCGACGATCCATCTCTCGTTCGTGAAAGTAGATCGAGACGCGAAGAGTTTGTTTCCGAAAGTCGACGCGTTCGGAAACTTACCAGAAGACGTATTTCGTTAATAGCAAAATTAAAAAATTGATCGAACAAATCGAACGATAAAAAAAATTACTTTTAGTCGCGAGTCTCATCTCATCGCGGAACGAGGTCGATAACGGGCGATAAGTCGTTACACATTTCGCGAAGAAAAGGCGAACATATCGCACATGTTCGTCGTTTTCATCCTCCAACCGGTGAAACCGTCGTGACAGACTTGATTCACTTCGGCTGTCGTTAACGCGAAAAGACGTCGGTAAGATACGAAAAGCGCGGATTACCCTATTTTCTATGAGCGCGAGGCCGAAGAACGAGAACCCCTATATATTTGACTTCGTCGGAACGTGGCCGTTTGATTACACTTCGCCCGTCTAATATTATCCCTCGGCTGGTCCGCCAGACTCTCGGGCTGCATTGTACGCAAATTTAATGCCGCGTAATAGCACATGCGCGCGCGCGCGCTGCAGGATCCACCTCGGGTAATCCTCCTCAAATTTTCATCGACGGTGCTATATACGCGAGAACTACGCGCGCCACGGTCGTTAGAGAACGAGTAGCGAGTAAGTCGATACGTACGTTTATACGCGTACTATGCAGACAGGGCCGGGAAGAGAGGGAAACTGCCAATGCGCATCGCTGAAGATACATGTAAAGAACAATTTTCTAATTCTTCTGTATAGGTATGTACACATAAAAAAGAAGAAAAAAATACATCGTAGACCAGTAATAGAAAAAGTTCAGATATTTTTGTGTTTGTGTGTGTTTTTTTTATGAGTTTTGGATTAAATTCCCCGAAACGAATTTCTCGCAAGACGATTATAGACTGTACAGTATCGGGATTCGGTTTTTCGCGAATATACGGTCTATTTTGAAACCCATCTCGAAAAAAAAAATATCTCTCAACGACTTAAATTTGTGCTCAAGAGATAACTTCACGCTGATTGAAAAAAATCTCAATGCACGTTACGAAGAATAAAGAAACTTATTATTTTGTATAATACTCGTAATACTTTTATAATACTTGCGCACACTCTGCGAAAAACAAATCGGAGCAAGTTAAACAAAACTATAAACAAATTTCAATATTAACTTTAATCAAAATAAAAAAGATGTGTATCTTTCTCTCTCTCTCTCTGTACATGTATCTCTCTTGTTCACACACGCAAATATTATGTCTGTTATTTTTTAAAAGAGAAAAACAGAGACTTAAAAGAAAATATTAAATTAAATCAAAAATCCTAATATAGTCAAGTAAATAAATAGCTAGAACTTCATGTTGAAGTAATAATGTAAAAAGCATTTTATTGCATTCTTGAAATGTGTAATTTTAAAATAAGAAAATGAGAGTAAAAATATAAATTTATAAAAAAAATTAATATTACATATATAAATTTTAAAAGAATTTAAAATGCATATATGTATGAAAATCTTTTTTGAGATATATATACATCGATATTTCAATCCAATATATATATATACGTTTTCTGTTCCGAATTAGATCAAAAGTTAGTTTCAACTCATATTCGTAGATAAAAGGTAATTTCACCGAGTTATAACAGGCGAAGACGCGTCTCGTGTGTCGAGTGAGAATTAGCAACAGGCGACGTGAGAGAAGAGGCAGCGAGAAAATGTGGTGGTTATGGCAATTTTAACGGCGGACGATGGGGCGCTCGATATCATATCACTGCGTAAGATTCTCCCTCAACCGTCTTGCTTGGCAAACAGTAAATAGCTGTCGGTACGTGGAGAGAATTCTGTCGGCGAAACCCTCTGGGGAATTCATCACACCGTTAATTTTACGGGGATACACGGGTTGGTCTGGAGAGAGAGAGAGAGAGAGAGAGAGAGAGAGAGAGAGAGAGAGAGAGAAAGAGAGAGAGAGAGAGAGCAATGTTGAAGGCCAATCTTCTCGTACGCGGTGAGCATCCACAGGTTGTCGTCTGACCCAACCTAACGAATGATTAAGGACGACTGAATCAATGGGAGAGAGAGATGAGAGCTTTCGAGAGAGCGACGATCTTATCTGTTATCAAATCATTATTCCCCATTTCGCAAAACGGAAGGATGAGGGGAGTTCGTTCACCAATTCCGTCGGAGCGAAACGCCCGGCTTATGAAAGGTCTGATATTCGTTCGCGCTATTTGAAATATTAAAGTTATTGAGCCTTCAACCGCACGTTCTTTGCGTCGTTAAGTTTCCCTTTTTACGATCTTCCCCCTTTTTTTGAATAGACTCGACGATCGTGAAAATTGAAAGCGATTGCATTTAAGAAATAGAATCGCGCACGCGGCTCCTCTGTTGACGAAAAGAATCCCGACGATAATCTCTCGAAAATAGCCTTCCGTAATGGTCTTGTGTACCTACAACGGATTTCCGTTCCGTTACGACGAGAAAGATAATTACTTCTCCAGAATGAAATACCGATTGTTTTCAATGTTTATCTCCGCTCGCGAGATCCGCTGGCTTTTTTGCTTTTTTTTTTGCTTTTTTTTTTTTTTTTTATTCGCCTTCGGGGAAATCCCCGGCTGATGAAAAAACTTCACATACATTGGATTTTAGGTGCACGAACGAGGTCTACGTACGTCGTTCCGACGGAATGGAGGCTGTTGGCCTTAATAGATTCGTTTAGGCGCGATTCGCTCCATTGTTGCTAACCAAGTCCGGGAAGGTGGAATCAATACGTGAACCGACGACCATCTACACAATGTTAGCCAGCCAAACTCGACGAGCACGAAGTGTACCACTTTTACCTCCTCTCCGCGGCGACTCTGTTGCTCGATAATAACCTAAACGTTTCTTTCTTCTCTCTCAAAGCCATTTTTCATTGGCGAACTTTTTTTTGTTCTCCTGCTTCTTTCTCTCATTTCTAGTTCTTCTCTAATTACATCTCCGAGAGTAAGAAAGTTACACAAAATGTGATAAAACTCGGCGAACTCATCTATCGGAACCTAACGATAATTAGATGAAAGATCAGATTTTATCTCGTTGTTGTTGTATCATATATTTTTTTTTTCTTCCACGTCATTTTCTTTGCAAAAAAAGTCTCTTTTGGATTTTTTTGACAAATTTTCAAAGTAATGCGCAAAATCCCCGAGTTCTCTCATTTTGACGACGCGTCTTCATTCTGTTCCAGGAAATTTAATGCCGTTCACCCCATTTTCGAGTCACACTCCAGGGTTGACTGACACAAAAGCTCTCTCTCTCTCTCTCTCGTTGCGATGCACGGCTTGTGTGCACTTTACTCCTCTTTCTCTCAAACAAAAATACTTGCAAGTACAGTTTCTCCGCATGTGCCGACTCTATGTCCTTCCCCTTTTGTTCGAACATCGAAGTTTATCATCGCCGCTGGTTCGGCGCGACAATCGAATCGATCAAACAGAACTATATAAACAGACCTTTCATTCGCTCTCTCGCCGTGTGTGCTACTTTGCCCGCTACAAAACTCGACGTCAAGCCGCGCGTGTAACATTGTGCCGGCGCGTTTTACCAGAAGTACCTCTCTTCGAGAGGTCTGTCTCTCCTTTCGGAAAAGAGAGGAAAAAAGCCTTTCAAATGCGATGCCTGCCAGACATCTCATCGCGTCTCCACAGCTCGAAACACACAATTTACCCGAGTAGTCAACATACAGTTCGAGTCCGCGTATTTGCTTCCATTAGCAGTGGTATCTCGGTGGCGCGCGCGTTAACAACATGCGAATCTGTTTGATCCGCAGGAATGGGGAGTGTCGGCAGCAACGTGACAGGGACGACGACGACAGATCCGACGACGTTCCTGCCAGATGCAACGCCGACTCTGAGCGAGCGCGAACAGCTCAAAATCGAATTCTACAAGACGTACGACGTCATGACAGGAGTGCGAATCGCTGCGACCCTCGGCGGCTTCTTCAGCTTAATGGTGTTACTGGTGGTTTACAAAAGCAGGTTAATATGTTATCACACAGACGATTGTAACAACAAAGTTGCGCGTTTATTATTATTGAAATAGCGAATTTTATAAGCTTTTGTTATCTTTAATTAATTGATTCTCACACAATTATCGTAGACAATGATTAATTTACATTCGCGAGAGATTTTCGCTGTTATCGAAACGATGTTACAATGACAATCGATAAATTTGTCAGATGCAAAGCGAGCAAGCAATTGGAAGACCCGGCGTTGACCGCTGCGGCAGCCGCGGCGGTCGCGGAAGCCGAAGCCGAAGAACGAGCGCTCGCCGCCGCTCTCGAAGCGATCGCCAGGTTACCGCCCAGGCCGGATCGTGGGCCAAGGAGATCGTTGTGCGTCGAGGTAAATCCGAAACATATAATCTGATGAAATGTAATATAACTTTTTTACAAAAACAACAAAAAAACAAATCTATTCTTATCTCAGTGTTTTTTCCAACCTTTTTTGTGTGTCAAGTGTTTCCAGTAAAAAGTTACGAAAATCCAATATTCCGTAAAACATTTTTCTACAGAGGAAACATCGAATACCGTTCGTGCTCAAATAAAAAAACGCTCGTCCACCACTTTTTTTCTCCTGTAGAATATAAAAAACGTCCGAGATTGCAAAAATCCGACTATTTCCCTCGAATGCTTCATTTAACGGTTGCACCCAATTTATGTTAACCTTCCCGTTCCTCCTTTCGCGAGAGCACTCGTAGTAGATAGAGACGATATTTCCGTCCAGATGAACCTGTCTCGTTCACCCGTGGTGGCACCTCGCTTCGCCTCGGTCGGAGGTGGCTACGACGCCCTGCTAGCACCGCCAATCAGACATCCGACGTTGGCCCCCCCCGTCGATCGCGATCACAGAAGATGCAGCTCGGTTACCTGTAGCAGTACCGGAAGTAGTTATCTGGAACGAAGGGGTTCAGCCATGGCGATGCCGTGCCTTCCGCCTCCTCCATCCTTTCCGCGTCACGCCGAGCCGTACGACGGGCCATGGGATTTATATTACCCTATCGATATCCAGGTACACCCGACATTTTTTTTGCACAAATCGCCCTTTCGGAAACTGTGCGCGTCTCTCTTTCTTAATCGCCAGCCCTTTTTCCCCGTGATCTGTGAATATATTTATAAATTCTCCCCGTCTTCGCGGTGTCCTGCTCTGTGTAAACAAATATTGTAGTAAATATTTTATGTGTGTAGTAGATATTATAGTTTAGACGGTCGAACTATACAGTAAGTTGTTGTGTTTTATATATTTTTCGAGATTATACGGTAAACAACATTGATCGAAAATCTTGGGGAAGAAAGTTTTAGTAGATTGCATCGAGCGGTTAATTTATATACTGAGAACTTTTGTTGTACGATATTGTACCAGGTAATACAGCCAACGCCGGATTTATCGCCAAGCGGTAGCGAGGCCGGTCTTTACGCCGGCGCGGTCAGCAACCTCCCGGCGACGTCCGGCAAAAGGGCGCCGTTGGCGTCGATGGGCAGCGTGGATCCCCCCGATCCTGACTCCAGGTCGCTCGGTTCCGACTCCGTGTTCCTGAAGAACGAGGACGAGGAGCAGTGCGTCGACACGGAGGACGAGGTCTCGGGCTTCTCCACGGACTCGGACGCGCCCGGGCCAAGCTGTCGGCGGTTCCTGCGGGTGCCTTCTAGGAAAAAGCGCGCCCTCGAAAAGTGGGACGGTTGTGCGGGCTGCGTGCCCAGGCGACGGGCCGGCGGCAAACCCTGCCAAGAGTGTATGACCATCAGTGCCGCCGTCGAAACCTCCAGGTAAAATTTCTCATCGAACTTCAGGCGAAAAACATTACTTAAATAAAAAAGTGAATTATTGCAAAACTTTAAGCTTGTGATCAAAGAATTAATTTCACATGTACAATTAATTTAAACAGTTTTTTGTTAAAAATTTTGAATTTTACTTGTAAAACTATACATTTCTATATTATGTACAAAATAAAGCAGAACGAGAATCTACATTTGCGCTTTTCTTATTCTGATTTCATACAAATTAATTTCTTTGTCTTCTTCATCACTCTCTTTTTGAAGACTTCTTTTTATCTTTTCTATCGGCAACCTTTTGACGTTAGGTCGCAACCAGCCTCAACGACGACCAGTAGCAGTCAGAGTAGCGTGGGCTCGCCACCGTGTTCACCGCCGATCGAGCTGAGGCACAGACCACCGCCAACACCGTTGACATCAATCCCGCCGATATGGTCCCAGGAAACGCTGTTCTAGAACGCGTCTTTCGTAGTGAGCATGTCCCTCGACCAGTTTTTATCGAGACGCGAAAGTTCAACCCAGAATGTCGATAATCGAGGAAAACATTTGCCCGCACAAAACAAAAAACAAAAAACAAAAAAAAACAAAACTCGAACCACAACGCTTTATCCGACTCTTTTTAATCGCTCTGAAACATATTTTTTTTTCGCGGACTCCAAGTTCCACTCGGCGAATCGGTCACGGGCGAACATAAACGAGAATTTATACGAGAAGCGACAATCATTGTAACGCAAGGTCGTCATAAAAAATACAATCTCTCAGCGAATTTCTCATGGAATTATTAGAAAAATATACAAAAAAAAAAAAATAATAATAATAATATACACGTGTAAACCTCTCGACTCGGCGCCAAATGAGAAGCAAATAAAATTGTATTATTAAATTGTTGCGTAACCTTCATAAACTTAAAACAAAAAAAAAAAGAAACAAATGAGAAAAACTTTCCAAAGGACAGAGGTTAATCGCGTAACCGACGACGAGAAACGGGCGAGACGCGGCAAACGACGGAGAGCATTTTTCGTTGCGACGGCGAAGAAATATCTGAGATTTCCGATATTACGGCGATTTCCCGTCCTGGAGCAAACCCATCTTATAGCGCGGTCTGGATCGAAGCACATTTCACGTCGTACTGTGGCGGGTACACATTCCGGTGGCGAGTACGAGAGAGAGACTTGGGGTCGGATTACCTCGTCGGTCGAGAACGGGAACGCGACCCGCAGCCGATGATGTTCCGCAGGATGAGGCCGCTGCGACGGCTGCTTTCAGAGAATTGGAGTCTACCTCAAGATTTTATCTGCCGACATATATTTTCAGACGTTTCCCTGCGCTTACCCGAAGCAAGAAGTTCGCCGAAACAGGACACCGCATTCGCTCGCGTTATCCGAAGTTTCACTGCATTACGATCCTATTAGCATCCAGCATCCCGCAACTCACGGGATATCTCGCCAAGAAGAAGAAGAAGAAGAAGAAATCTAGATAAAGCTCCGCGTTTATCTTACGGAGATGCCGCAAGTTGTACCTTGTTCGGAAGCGATGCTCGCTCTTATTCAAGTCGGGACTACGAGAAGAAACTCCGGGGCGCGTCTTCATTATTTTCCGTCACGAGTGCTATTCTTCGAGCAGCAAAATCCGCGGGCGGGTGTACGAGACACATTGCGGCTGACGTCGCGATTCTATTTTGACAACGAAAGCAAAGCAAATGCACTTTCCTCGCTTGGACACATTCGTTGCGTCTCCGAGATTGGCGCGCGTCGAGATTTCACGGGGGAACAGCCGGAAATACGAGATATGTGAGAGGAAAAGGTGATCTTATATATCGCACAAAAAAATATACTCGTTCCGAGTCGACCAGAGAGTGAGATAATCAGCGAGGTTCGGGAGAGACGGTGGCCGAACGCGACGACGATGGAGGAACGTATCGACGACGACCGCGTCGCGGGGTGTGGGGGAAATAGGGAATTATTTTTATATAAAAGCGCGACGATAATCAAGCTCGTGGAGAAACTGATCGTGATGCTTCTCGTGGAAGCAATATAACACGCGCGCAAGTACTAATCGACTGTATGACGTCAGAGTGCGACATGTGACGTTGTCGTCAACGAGACCGGAATGGGGAGGGGGGGGAGGGAAAAACGAAGAAGACGAAGAGGAAGAAAAAATCCGAGAAAAACTGGGAGAGAGGAGGAAAGAAGCACTCTGGTTCGCGCGGACAGCCGGCGAATCAATTTTTCCGCGATCCCTTCCGGCGGGAAAAATCGCCGCCTCCGTCAATTCCGACGATATATTCCTAAATGCGAGGAAATGAAATGTATTTCTATTCGTATAACCTTGTGTAAGCTCTGTAAGCTCTTTTTTGTTTTTCGGGGTATACGTGTCTGTAGCCCTCTTGCGTAAACGACAGATAAAACTCCGTGCTCTCGATGGAGGGGAACCGGAAACATACACACACACACACACACACACTCACACACCACCGAGTGCGATTTTCTATCGTGAACGGCCGCCGAAGTTTTGCCCCAAGGTTTTTCCGAGCGTGTTTTTCGCGAAGCGCACGAGATTTGTCGGCCGTCTCGCCTCAAAACATCTTCGAGCAAATTTCCACACCGAATTTGAAAGAATTACCCGATCGACTCGATGTATTTCCCGCGGAAATCCCGCAATCAGGCGTGCAATCTGTCAAAAACAACAAACAAACAAAAAAAACAAAAAAAAAGAAGAGAAATTCGTGAGAAACTAAAACTGTACAAAGAATATAGTTTCGGCAGTTCAGTGATATTAGCTGACGAGAAGCTCGCTGGATGTAGACATATCGAATTTACTAAAGTGTTAGAGCGTCGTTGTAAAAACAAAACAAAAAAAAAAACAAAAAAAGAAAAAGAAAACTATGTAGTAGGTGACATATTTATCGTTAACGAGAGCAATTTCTATAAACGCGTCGTCTATATATATTTTCGATAAATAAAAAAAAAAAAAAAGAGATAGAAGAAGAAGAAAAAGCCTCTCTCTCTCTACATCCGGAAGAGACTTCTCCGCGGAAGCTAAGCTATCACTGCCGGCGAGTCCCTCCAGAAGACGCAGGACGATAAAAAGACAACAAGAAAAAGCAGCTTGAAAAAAAAAAAAAAAAAAAAAAAAACCTAAGAGTAAGACGATGCGTTCGCGTAAAAAAGTGCGAGACGCGCACGAGGACTACCAAAACAAAACAAAAAATAATAATAATAAATAAAAAAAAAATAAATAAGAAAACTATACCACGTTGTTTTAGCCGAGAATTTGTATAGTAGACGAATAAGAGGACGAGCCGTGTGAATAAGTTGTTCCCTCTCTGTTCTGGAGAGGAGAAAAAATCTAACTCGTAATAGGCGCCGCGCGCACCCAGTGCCGCGTCACTTTTTAGATAGGTGTACATAACATATAAACCCGTCATGTGTTACGACGCGTTAAAACGTAACGAGCGAACGACGACGAATCGCTTCCTTCGATTGACAGAGCGCGAAGGGATGCGAGACTTTCTGACGTCGTCGTCGTCGTCGTCGTCTGCGTGAGAAAGAGAGACTTTATATTACACATTGGCCGCGTTCCAAAACTTCGCCTCCAACGCGCGGAGCGAAACACGAGGGTTGCGCGTATTCAACAAGCCGCGACAAGACCGCGTAAAGTAGTACACGAGAGAGAAAGAGAGAGAGAGAGAGAGAGAGAGAGAGAGACTACGTATGACTACGCGAGAACACGTCGTTGTGTAATTCCCTCTAGTAATTTATACGGCTATCTGTTACACTCTCGACCATTATAGGTGGAAACGTCAACTTTTGCGGAACCTAAGTAAGAGATTACGGGGAAAGTTTTGCGCCCGAAGACGGAGAGGAAGGAGCGTCCAAACTTCCGAAATATATACACGCACGGTTGGGTGAAAGTTTCGTGATAAATAGGACCGAGTCCCTTAATTGGATATCGTATGCCTTATGTATATTGAATCATTGTTGCGCGAGTCGTTGCGAAAGCCGAGAGACAACTACGAGAGAGGAGAATTACGATGTTGCGTTGTGTGTGTATGTAAAGAAAAAAAAAAAAAAACTAAGTTACTCCGCGAACAGAGAGGCGAAGTTTCGGCGGAGACGCGGCTTCAAGCAGGGGAATAAAACAAGAATTATTATTATCGCGGAGAATGCTCTCGCTGCGCGCGTCGACGCGAACCGACAGAATTTCGAGATAATTGTTTTTTCTCTTTTCTCTTCGCTCTTTTAACATTTTACGCGAAAATGTTTACTTTCGCGCAAAGAAAAACAAACTTCTTTCCAAATTTCCTCGCGATAATCTTGTTCAGGAGCAACTTCGTGAACTATCTGAATAATTTTCCGCGAAGATTATGTGACATTAAAAAAAATTGAATTATTAAACAAATTTCAAAACTAAGAATATGTATTTTTCAAAAATGTCTGATAATTTTTTATCTTATGAGACAGTTTTTAAATTTAATCGTCTCCATTTCGTCGGAACGAACGTAATTCTTTACGCGAGACGAGCGAGAACGAAGCTTTTCATAGCTTCGCAGTTTTATCGGGCGCTGACGTTATTAGCGAGAAATACATGAGGTGTCTCATTTACGAACGAAGTCATTATCGGGCGCTTTAAGCGGCGCGCGCAGCAAAGTAGCTCCGTAGTCGCGCGTTAAGACAAGGAGCTTGAAAACTCGCGAGTGCTGCCGAATTGCCAAATGTAACAATCAAACAGTGTCTAGTGTGTTGACGTAAAACAAAGAAAAAAAAAAAAGAAAAAAAATTCAAAGGAAGAAGATTGATAACGCGGATCAATGCACGCGAGCGTGCGTGTGAGTGCGCAATTGTGCGTGCGAGAGAGAAAGAGTGTGTGTGTGTGTGTGTGCGTGCCAAGTAGTTTAGCGCGACTTTTAGGCGGACCGAACGTATATATTATACATATATATACATACAAATAATAAGGGACGAGTGTGTGTGTGCGCGAGACTTTTTAGAGACTGTACACACGAGTGTTGTTCGTGTCGTCGATTGATTTTAGCGTCTAGAGCCTGGCAGATATCCGCGCGCATGAGTTTCAAGCTACATACATATATATACATATATATATATATATATATATATATATGTATGTATGTATATTCGCAACAAAGAGAGAACAATGTGTGAACACGTACGCGGGTGAATGCCGGGCTTAACGTTCGTACAACCACGTGAACCTTCTCTCGGTGCCTTTCTGCTGCACTTCTTCCATCGTCGTTTAGAAAAATATACACTGTCTCTCTTTTCTCTATACTGTCCTTTGTATCAGTCACTCTTCTCCCGACTCTCATCCCTTCCTCTCTCCCCTTTCCCTCATATTCCTGACTCCTCAGGAGTGTTTCCGCGCGATGCCGCCAGGACCGTTCCGTGAAGTGAAATTTCGCGAGTTTTTTTTATCTTTTTTCCTTTTCTCGGTTCGATTACGCGATCAATTCTTACGCTTTTTTTGCTTCGCTTTTTGGGTCGCGTCTTTTCTCGAGTTGAATCCGAGAAAAATTCATTCGAAACCAAAAAAGATCACGCTCGATCGCAAACGTTTTTCCTCAAGATGCTTTGTTGAAAATTGATCGATTGTTGAACAATTTCTATATATTTTAATCTCCGGGTTGTTTTGTGCATCTTAGAGAACTGTTAACGGCTGAGGTCTCGAAACTAGTTTTTTTTTTTATTGGGTAAACTGTTATATTTATTAAACTTTTTAAACTCCGCGCATAACGCGCCGTGTATTAAAAATTAAAATAGTTCGTGAGACGGAAAAGAGACAAAGAAACACAGAAGAGGTTTATTTGCCACAGTAAAGAGAAACACTGTGTGTGCGCGTGTTTTACATTATATAGAATATTTTCTAAAAAAAAAAAAAAAAAGAAAAAACAGCTATATTAGACAGAGAAAATCAAAAAATCAAACAAAAAACCGCAAAGAAGCGGCCGCACGGAACCTCTCTCATATTGACGATTATAGACCTTCGTACTTTTATATGATTTTTCTACTCTCTTCGACTCTAGATACTTTTAAGAGTAAGAAACACTATTCTATCTCTAGAACTCGCGCCTGGAACTCATTGAAACATTCGATACAATAATTGGACAATCATTTCTCACACACCTCGAATCACACACCTCGTTTCAAAACACAACGCATTTTCCCATTCTTCTCCCGTTGTGATTGTGTAATTTTTTTTTTTTTTTAATATTAAAATATATTTGTGTGTGTCATTAATTATAGCATTTACGATTAATTCTCTGTGTCACACACACACAATGATGTCAATTAACAGTTAATCTTTCTTTTTCCGTGTGTATATATATATAATTTTTACATATGTGTTTCTTTTCCCCTTTCATTAGAATCACTAATTGATAAATTAAATTTATACCGTGCCAAAAAGTCAATATACATATTTACGTAAGTCGGCAAGAAATTTCGGGGGAAAAGATTTTTCTATTCGACATATTATTCTTCCTCTCTCGTTTTTTTGTATATCTTTTTGTAAAAGTGAAAAAAAAAAAAAAAAACGAAACTTTTCTAATGTAGAACTACATTTTCTCTCTGTTAGGTTTTGCTGTCTCAGAATTGTAATAATTCTTAAATTTTTATATAACTCTCGTGTCTGATTATACTTAGACGCTCACTACTACTACTTCCAAACAAGTGCACAGTAGAAAGACGCATGTTTGTTACGCTAATTTGAAAAATCACTTGCAATGTCGTATCGCGACGATAATAATAATAATAATATGTATATACAAAATATTTATCTATATTTTATTACAAATAAATATATATATATATGTATAAATACTAAAAATATATATATTCAAATATATTTTGTTAAGATGAAAAAACTCTCTACTATGAATTTTTCAGTGTGCTAAATTTTTCAATCAGAAATCTCTTGTTTTGTAAATGTGAGCTTAGCGAGAATCAATTAGCGAGAATCAAACGTGCGCCTTTGAAATGTGCACCGTTCGACACGAGAAGTTTTTAGTTGATATACTCTAGATCTCGAAACAAAAAAAAATAAAAAAATAAACGATCCCTCTCGAACGTCCTGAAATTCGGTGATGTGAGAGTCCGTGCGAACGTGTTGGCGAGAGGATGCGCGTGTTACCATGAGCGGACGCCTATTAATTGCGTTGTCGTGTAGAAGCGAAGGAACACAAAAAAACCGATAATGGCTCGATAATTAGCTCGCGCGATAAATTAAAAAAAACAAAAAAAAAAAACAAAAAAACGCAGGCGCAGTCGTTAAGTGTTCCGTTTTGTAAATAGTTCCATTGCGAGAATCGTATTAATTGCGTGAACACGAGACGTGGGCTTGGCGGGGGGAGGGGGGAGAAGTGCGAGAAAATGCAAGACAAATGATAACGAAAAAACCAAAGCGTAAAGCGCAAGAACGGCCTCAAAAACAAAAAAAAAAAAAAAAAAAAAAACCAAAAACCAACGGTGTAGAAATATTCCGTAGATCGACACAACGGTTCGCATTTGGTTTTGATGAACAATTAAATGTGGCATGTGAATTCTCGCGATGAATATTAAAACGAATTGCAAACTGACTTAATTATTTTTCTTTTGCCATAGAATGGGGCTCGTCATAAAATATTCAACGCGCTCGGTAGAAATTTTTCTATATAAGTACAAATATTACTTTTTTACGCGACCAGAAAGAAATATCGTACAATTTTAATTTATTTTTTTCGCGCGTAATTTCTATTGTAAAGGATGGCCGCGAGTTAATTAGCAATTTGCGTCAAATATAATAAATTTCTGACACGCTATTCTCGCACTTTTATTTTTCATTCGCGGTCGCGTTCTTCTATTCGCGATCATTATCGAAATTGCCATTGACCGAACGTCACTCTATTACGAAAACCAATTAGAGAAGCCGGACAGAGTCAACATGATGGTAAATTTATGTCGAACAAACATCACTAATACGTGCTACAACAACAAGTCCCGTTCTGTCGATCGTCGGAATAGAACTCGAAAGCCGAACGTTTCTGTTCGACGTCGATGGCTCTTTTTTTTACCTGATAAGCGATCGATCGTGAAACTCCAGCCGTGCTAGATCGCGCGCGCGCGCGTGATCGATCGATCGATCGATCGATATCGAAGATGAAGCGTTTATATCGGGCAACGTAATACAATAAGTTATACCCAAAATGTTATTCGAAGCGTTAAAGGGAAAAAAAAACCAAGCAGCAAAGGCGATGGAAACAGTGACATACACGCTTACAGATACACAGATATATACACACACATATATACACACATACAAGATGTTAATAAATTGGAATAAATGTTACGAGTATATTTCAAGACGTCTACCGTTTCTTTTTTACTTGACTTGAATCGACCATCTGAATTAGCAATGAGCATGAGAAGAGAAAAATACATACATTTTATACGTAATTAAGTTTTTTTNNAAAAAAAAAAAAAAAAAAAATACGTTAGATAATAAAAGACAGTTTTTATACATAATATATTTGTTTTTCTGCAGTTATATCGGAATTATTATTTTCTCTTTTTTTTTTCACTGTATATTTTGAAATATATATATACATGTATTTGCGCAGACTACGCGCTTCTATTTTTTTCTATTAACATTTTTTATATATTCTATTATTTTTGTTTAAAATTATTCGAATTAATTGTAGAGTAAGAAAACGATTCTAATATAAAACGGAATATATTGCACAATATTGCGACTCTCTCACACAGCTGCTCTTATCAAAAGATAAAGACTTGTTTACTACTTGTGTCAGTAGTGTTTGTACATTAAGGCCCGATCCACACTATCGGTTCGCTCACGATTCGCTCACGCTCCGCTCCCACAGTCCGATCAAATGTTATTTCATACTGCATTTGAGAGTGTTACCCATAGTGTGAGTACGTTCTTTCTTGTAAACAATACGATATCTGATCGGACTGAGAGCGGAACGTGAGCGAATCGACAGTGTGGATCGAGCCGAAATCTCTTCACTCCCTCCGCGCCAACATGACGCAGACTTAAAACGGTGTAAACTATAAGATCATCGGAGTTTTACGACAGTCACTGCTACGCGCGGCGGAAAATCATCGCAAAATGGATTACACCAAGTTTTACGCTAAGATCACCGGCAAACGAAGAACAAACTTAATAAGACAGTTAAGTAAGTCGTTATTGCTCAATTTTAGACTCTTCGTTCTTTGCGCATTTTTTCCACACGATGGAAGTGTGTATTTTTTGAACTGTTCTTTTTGTTACAATGTTTAACTCACACGCGTTAATTAGCCAAGCTCCATGCGAATCGGCCGAACTGCATTACCCTCGCCGCTGGTATGCCAAACGTCGCCACGTTTCCCATTGAAGATATTTCCGTGACGTACAAGCACAACATCGCGCTGCAACTTGACAAACATTCCCTGTCCACGGCGTTGCAATACGGATCTTCGCAAGGGTGAGTTAATTTTTTTTTTTAAACTCTCCGAAAATTTTTGTGAAAATTATAAAAATTCATCTCTTTCTCTTTTTGATCTCCTTCTCATCTTCGTATCATGCGTATGTTCTTATTTTTTTCACAAAAAGCTACTTACCGTTATTGGAAAAATGGAAAGAGCTTCAAAATACTTGGCACACACCGAGACGAAACGATTGGAATGTCGCGCTCACGAACGGTTCGCTGGACGGTTGCAACAAAATCTTCGAGATGATGATCGACGAAAATGATCCGGTCATGGTCCAAACGCCGACGTATACCGGAATACTTGGAGCGGTTGGTTATATTTCAAATTAATTATATCGCAAAAATTCACGTAGATTTAAAAATTTAGTATTTAACAACATATATCTCATATCTCTCTCATATCTCTAATGACGTTATCTTTCTCGTATCGATATAGATTTTATATTATTTTATATTACGTAACTTGGGCAGCTAGCACCGTTGGCGCCGGAAGTTATAGAAATCAATCAAGACGCCGAAGGAATAATCCCCGAGGAAATCGCCGACCACTGCGAGCGAAGACTCGCAGATGGAAAATCAATGCCCAAGGTGAAACAACTTCGCAACTGTGCAAAATATTTCTCTATTATATGTAGCAACGTAGTAACAATAACAATTCTATTTTCTTTCAATAAGATATACACGTCTCGAGTAAAGTGTGAATCTTTCACAGTTGATTTATGTCAATCCAACGGCCGCGAATCCTACGGGCGCCACCTTGTCGGAGATCCGACGAAAGCGAGTTTACGAATTAGCGCGGAAATACAACTTCCTGATCGTCGAGGACGATCCTTACTGCTTTCTGCACTTTCTGGACAAACAGCCGACGTCGTTCTTCTCGCTCGACACCGACGGTCGTGTAATCAGATTGGATTCGTTCAGCAAATTTATCAGCGCAGGACTTCGCGTGGGTGTCGTCACAGCTCACAAAGATATTGTCGACAAGCTGGTCGTTCACATAGAAAATTCCATTCTCCATCCGTCTTCTCTGTCGCAAGTGAGATTTTTTTCTTTCTCGTAAATCGTAATCTTCTCTCTCTTATAAAACACATTATCACGCATTTTCAATTTTCTTCAGATGCTTCTTTGCAAACTGTTTGAAATTTGGACTCCGAACAAGTTCGAGAAACATTTCGAGGACATACGGAAGTTTTATCGAGACCGACGTGACGTAATGCTGACGATGATGGAGAAACATTTGACTGGTATTTTATCGTCACGCGCGCGCTATCGGGATTTTTCGTGTTTCAAAATCGTTTTGCGAGAAAGACAGACGTAAACATAAAGATTCTCACAATTTTTCATTGCAGGTTTAGCGGAATGGTACGTGTCTCAAGGCGGAATGTTTCTCTGGGTCAAAGTATTGGCTGTGAGTGACGTACTGGACTTAGTGATGAATAAATGCGTGCCCCAAGGCGTCTTCGTTCTTCCCGGCAACGTTTTCCATTACAATCCTGATAAACCCAATTGTCACTTGAGACTTAGCTACAGCTACGCCTCGCCTGAAGAAATGGACAAGGTATCCAGGAACTCGTTAGTTCTCGCGCAAAATTCGCAGTAAATATAGCGTCTGAAAGTAGTAACCGATATGTTACTCGTGTCTCTTACTTTTACAGGGTCTGTCCGTATTGGCGAATATAATACGCGAAGAAGCGGCAGCTCGCGCAACTGAAGAAAGATAATGTGAAGACGTGTTTCTCTACGCACACATTCTATTCACAATGTCCAAGTATTATTGTTAACACTTTACATATACACTATATGTAAATTTGATGAAGCAAACAGCAATAAAAAAACCAATTTTACTATAATTTATTATTTATTATTTATTATTTATTTTCTCTACGTCACATTAACCGTATATTTCAATAAATGACAAATTGGAGGTGAGTTTTAGACCTGATGATTGTGTTTTGTTTTTTTTTTAACGCCGATTTGTAGCCTGATCGACTCACGTCGTAAACAGTATGAGTCAAAATATAATATACGTCTAGTTGTTTTTGTATTCGAGTTGGTTTTGCACAATTATCAAATTATAATCTTATTTTCATATATGTATATATATATATATGTGGAACACAGAAAGAGATAGTAGTTTTTGAAACAATTTTATCAAAAATTTAATTTTATTAGAAAACACTTTTCACATACTCGGCTAAAAACGTTCGCGCCGAATGTTGTGGAAATCGACCAAGACGTCGATAGGATAATTCTCGAGGAAATTGCGCGAGAATGCGAGAAGAGACTTACAGATGGCGGGTCAATGCCAAAAGTAAAAAAACCAAAACCTAGATATGTTAAGTGAGTTTCTATAAATTAAATATATCCGTGTGGTAACACATTTTCCATTTATACGAACAAATTTTATCTCTAGTCGCGCTGACTGAATCTTTCAATTGCTTTATGTCAACCCAACAACCGCGAATCCCACGGGCGCCACCTTAACGGAGACTCGACAAAAGCGAGTGTGCGAATTGGCGCGGAAATACAACTTCTTGATCGTCGAGGACGATTCCTACTGCTTTTCACACTTCTTGGATAAACAGCCCACGTTGTTCTTTTCGCTCGACACCGACGGTCAGGTGAAATCAGATTGGGGATTCGTTCAGCAAAATTATCAGCGCCGAAATTTCGCGACTAAGTGTCGTCACAGCTCACGACATTTCGTACAAGTTGATTCTTCATCTATGGAAAATTCTATTTTCTCCCTTTCCTGTCGCAAGCGAAGCTTTTTTTCACATTTTTTTAAGTCGTCAAGCATTAAAAATTTTTTTACATATAATACAAATATTGTACACGTGACATATTGTAATTATTGCAGTTGGAAAAAACTTGATAGAAAGCGTATATTTCTCTTGGAAAAATGTCGTTTATCTCGATAATTGACATTTCTCTCTCTTTTCTATTTTTGTATTGCGAGACAGTATTGATCGTCCGAAATAATTGAAGCATTTTGTCACCTTTTGTCTCAGGGACTCTTCGTACTGGCTGAAATAATACAAAACGAAGCGGCAAAAAAAAAACAATATATCGGAGTATATACGAAAAGAATTAATACTTTCAAAATAAACAAATGCAAGTGCGTGTTTATTCTCGAAAAACTTTGTTCGATATTACATTAATACGCAATGCGCTATAAATATGCACACACATGTTGTGTTTAAATGTTAAAACAATATACTAGAAGAAAATTATGATATCGCGTTACAGGCGAAATGTGCAAAAATATATTTTATTGTTTTAAATATGTTTAAACCGTCGGTAACGTCAGTTCTTCGTGAGCCTTTATCCAGAGCTTCAGAGGGTCTTTAACCCTCAGAACGTACAATATCGATCTGTGGAATTGCTATTTCGGTAAACGTTTAAAAATATACAAACTTAATTTACGTTGTTTGCTTTGATAACGAAATTAATCTCGAAAATATTTATTTTATCTATATTGCATTATCTTATTTTTTAAAAAATCCATAAAATGTTCGAATTTAAAAAGTAAAAAAATTACCGCAATTTCTCTTTCTTCTAAAAATAATTGGACGAGTTAGCAATCCGTCACATAAATTTTGTGACGTTTCGTGATGAAACACTGTCCATTAGTGTGACACTCGTAATAATAGACGGACTCGAAAGATAACGCTCGCAAAAGATAATCGCGTTATCAGCGATCCATAAAAGATCACAAATTATATTATCGGATCTGTCACTGCGTGGATAACAGTTTGTTACGTAACGAAATGTTTGTTATAACGAAACAATAAAATTGACACGTGCGATTTTATTGTTTTGTTATTTGTTCAATCTTCCTCTTCTTTCTCCCATCTACGTATCGCGCAAAACTTTTGCGTATTGTCGATAGAAAAGAATCAATTTGTCAATATGTACATGTCTTTTCTGAAACATATTGTGTAAGAATATTTTCAATTCTATCGCCAAGCAACGGTTGTCTTTCAATATTACACAGTTACTCTCGTAAATTATTTCGATGCTGTCGCGATTCTCCTGCAAAACAAAAATATCATCCGCCACCCCTCAAGGGGGTGCGGTATCGATAAGAGATGTCGCCTTGGTCGCGCCACCCTTGTCAAAACTCTCTGACGTTCTACACAAGATAGGCAAGTCTTTTTCTTAACAGAGATAGACGTGACAGCACGTGCTACATATCGGAAAAGAGAGATGAGGATGGCGCGTTTTAACAAACTTCCCCGCGTTCTCTCTTTCTTTCGCACCCTTCATTCGCGTCCCATCTCGGAATAAACGTCACGTTACATCGCGTCACAAAAAGATCCATTATGTATTTTTTTTTCTCTTTTTACATTTTATTTCCGAAATATAAAGCTGAATTAATTAAGAACTCAAATAAAGCAGCGACATCAATTGTCTCTCTCGATATTTGTCCCGACCGGCGAATGTTCTCGGGTCAACGCGCACCAACGGTACTACCACCCCCGGTCTACAACAAATTGCCAACTCGCTCTCTCTTTCTTTCTTTCTCTCTCTCTCTCTTTTCCCTCTCTTCTCTCTCGCCGCCGACGCGACACTTATAGAGAATTAATAGCGGCTTTTATTGCGAGTTCTCCAAGTAACTGGCGGAATTGCCAAAAAAGTTTAAGTCGATCTATGACGACGACGACGCACGCGCAAACGTGCCGTTTCCATGGCGCCGTTGCTACACGGTTAGGTAATGCTGGATTAGACGGTAGTACGCCGTTTGCCGACCCTCTCCGGGGTAACGCTCAGTACACCCTAAACCATCGTCGCGGTTAGAAGACGATCTCTCGCATCATCACACTCGCACGTGCGTACACACGCACACACACACATACACAGACAGTCAGACATATGCACACATGCACGCGGGCGTAATAATAACATTGTGTGTCGCACACCTGTACGTCGTACGCACGTACCGGCGTCCCTCGCACCCCTTTGTGGAGCGAGAACGCGCGCGGCTGTTTAACTCGCTGTTTACGACACACACGCTCTTCTCATCTGGTCTGCACATCCAACCAGCTCTTGTTTGTTTATTCGACCGCCACGATCCACTCCGCTTTTCCGGGATCTCTGACGCGGATTTTCCGTTCATTCATATCGGGTTTCCAACGCGGCGGTTCATTTATTCGACCGCATTTGCTCTGTTCTTCCGCGTTTGCTTTAGTGAATTTGTTGTATTCTCTCAATTACATATATATCTTACAATTCCATTTATATATATATATATATATGTTATATATATATATATGTGTGTGTATATATATAATATATATATATATATATATATGCCATAGTCTTACCACGTTCCCGTTGCTTCGCGTACACCGAAGTCGGTCTCACCGGCCTCGCTGAAATCCAAGCGGACTGAGTATTTTGTTTGCTCCTCGGGGTGCATTTGGACGCACCACCACCACAACCACCACCACCATCACCGCCGCCGCTGCCGGCGTGGACCTTAAAATCCAGGCTGCGTGCACGTAATCGAGCACAGTGTCGTGGGACGAAAGTGGCGGGTGGTGTGTTTACTGTGGTGGCGGCGACGGTATTATCCTGACGGGACTAAGACTGGTCAGGTCAGTAACACGGGGTGAGTGGAGTTACTTGGATTCTTGGTAAAGTGTGTTTTTTTTTTTCACGCTTCTTTGTTTTTAAACATAGAATCTTTGTTTCCCTGCTTGCACTTGTTTTTAGCATCTTTGTATGCAATCACACGTGTCTGTTAATTGTTTTTATTTTTAGGAAAAATATGTGTCTTTAAAAACGCACCCCCGTACTGGCATGTTTCCGGATAATTTTGGCATCCAGAAAATTTTAATCATTTCTTGTGTTCTCTCTCTCTCTCTCTCTCTCTCTCTCTCTCTCTCTCTCTCTCTCTCTCTCTCTCTCTCTCTCTATCTATCTCTCTCTCTCTTTCCTTCTCTCTTCTAATGTACATAAAGCATCTCTCCGACTTTCCAACTTTTTAAATTGTTTCAGTAAATTTTATATTCTTCGAGAATAAAGTTTTCAACAAAATAAAGAACACTTCTTTATGTCTCGTCATAAAAGTGCGCTTTGTTTGGTATATATTTAATAAACGATATTTTAAAACAATTTCAATTCTCTCTCAGGTAATTTTAATTTTAGAACAAAGTTGAAACTTTATTTGCAACGGCAAATAATACGCTTTTTGTGTTTGCAACTCTTTTGCGATGTTTTCACGTGTACAAGGAAGAAAGTAAAACTGGTCGAGGATATACAAAACATTCCTTTCACGTGTAATATATGTGTATATATATATATATATATATATATATATATATATATATTACAATGCGCAGCAATGGGGTACTTGCTGTTAATGCAACGCACAACAAACTAAGTATTCCCGCGTTATACACTCGATGCCTTTTGTCTCATAAAATGTGTTACATTGCAACAATTAGCTAAACGCCAAACAAACCATAATTAATTCCTAACAATTACAAGCGACAAACTCTTGCGTTGCATATATCAATGTTATTTCTAAAGAGAATTCAGCAAGTCCGAGGCGAGTTGCGCGCGTGTTTCGCAAACTCTCTCGCGAAAGCGCGCGAGCAAATAGAACGCTCGCTCGCACGCGCCAAGCGAAGCGAATGATCAAGAATGCATATTACCATTAATCGTGCAGACGTGCATCCCACATGTGCAATCGTCGTCGCTGTTGGACGAGACAAAAACGACTTGGTTGTATTGTTTTTTTTGTTTTTTTTTTGTTTTTTTTTTTTTTTCGTTTTTCGCTCTCTTTCTTTCTCCCGTCCTAGATTTTCGCGCGGCAGACACGCGGCGCGGTGCGACGCGTCACGGAATGCGGAAAACGCGCCCGCCTCGCGCGGCGCATATATATTTTCGCGTGCGAACCATTAAAATGATCGATACACGACGGGTTGCTATGACAAAAATAGACAAATGTTCGTAATGTCTTTGCGCGGAAGGGTAAATATACTCCGGGTCGCTAACACACATACCGGCGTTCTCGCGTATGCAGATAGATATAAATATAAACGACACATATATAGATAGGCATATGTATATATATATATATATATATATACACACATGTATAGAGTACATATACGTGCTCACATAAGGGTGACGTGTGTGACACGGCGGAGGACTCGCGCAGGCGCTACCTGTAGACTCAGCGGAATACGTGATGATAAATACTAAATTTAACCCCCGGGGGGTGAAACGGCGCGACGTCAGGGTATCCGGATCGATAACACTTTTCTAGCGTCGTGCTTTCTTTTTTTATCGGCAAAACGTGACTTCGCGCGTGTATGTAGGGCGTTTTATATAAATCGTTGACCGCGGAGGTCGCGAAGAGAAAAGCGCGTATGTGTGTGTGTACGCGCGCTATCATATCCTCGCGCGATACGTCCTGATGTACGTATTGTGTGACAAAAGATCTTTTATTAAAATTCCACGCCGGTTGCACGTGCGTAAAACATTCTTCTCGCCGTTGGTTCCGAAAATTTGCGGAAGATTACGAAAGAAACCGCGGCGGGGCAATATTAACCGTTCGTGTATAATAATGCGCTCACAAGAGAGGGAAGCTTCTCGCGCGGATGAAACTTTTTAATAATACCGAAATAATACTCTTTTAATCGACGTAGCGTTAGAACGATTTTTTTTTGCACATTCCGATAATTAAAAAATTCATTACACGTTCGTATAATCGGTTAAAACCAATTATACGCCGCAATGATCAAATTTGTTAATAGCATGAAACGGATATAAAAATACTTTTTCGTATATATTTTATTTTATTTCTTACCAAAAATATATATATATATATATATATTCCGTATTTTCACAAATAATGATTTTAGTTTAGAAATTTTCGCTCGTCTCTCTCGCGTATCCTCTCTTGTGTCTTGATTACGTAATATATTTAAACAATTAATGTTTACATAATTTATTAATATATTTCTCACCGACGAATTTATAATTCATCAGTGTACGTACTACCGCGAAAGTTCAAAGCGCAGATAATCTGTCTGTCAGTAGAAGGAATATTCTCCGTCTACGGATAATATTCAATATTCTGTAATATTCCGTAAATGAACTAATTCAGAGAGGTGTGTGTATATATACATATACATATACACGATAAGCATGCAAATAATGCCGCTACCAGATACGTTGTTCTATTTATTCGACCGCTCAAAGAAAAGAAACTGGAACGGTCGAAAAAAAGTTACGTTATTTGCATTGAAGACAGCAAAGAGAAAGCGGGAAATGCTATTTAGTTTATAAAAAAAAAAAAAAAGAAAGAAAAAAAACAGCGAGTTTTACTTTGTGCATTGTGTATCTCAATTCACAATCGAAGCGTAATAGTAGTTTAACCCACTTCTTCAGAGAGAATTGAAACACATTAATCTACATTTAATTTTCCTCATTCGAATGTTCGAAAGCAAAGTGCTAATCATTCTCCTTCCCTTCAATTTTCACATGCGCTTTTTCGCCTTTTAGAAATTTCAACACAAATTTCATCGGTTTCGTAACGCGCGCAAAAACGAGGATCGAAAATATATAGGTATTCGATATTTTTCGGTTTTTTTCGTATGTACATATGTAATGAGATAAAGAAAACGGCAATGCTCTTTAATAACACGTTTACACAAACACAATTGGAACAAATTATTCTTTCGTAGCGCTGTATATTCATTTATTAAAAAAAAAAAAAAAAAAAAAACCTGATATAAAATATTTCGCATAGATAATGCGTGTGTTCGAAAATAAAATATGCATTTTACCAAATCCGCCGCGTATTTGCGTCAATGTCTATGTAACGTATGTACAGCGTTGTGTTCAAAATAAATTTCACGTAAACGAATGCAGGACGTAGTCTATCAAATACGGCACGTCAAAATTCATTTATTTACACATATTGTTGAATCCGCGTGTCAACGTAATTCGTCGCGCTGCTGCTCGGTCGAACTTGCATGCATTAAAAATACATCGAGATACGAAAAAAAAAAAAAAACAAAAACCAAACAACTTACAGGGTATTTCAATGGAAAATGAAATAATTGTCACGAGAGAAAGAAAGAGAGAGAACTTAATGTAATAAAATTAAAATAATTATCTTCCCGTAACTCTAGTAGTTACGTGTATATACATATATATATATATATATATATATATATATATATATATACACATACATATATATATATATACAGAATGCTGTTACATTGATTCTCGCATTGCGGAGATGTGACCTCTATTTCTAACACGAAACGTGATTAATTAATTTAATGACGAGATCTTCCGTACATCCATTTTGCACTCTTCGGTTTATTTTCTCTCAAACATTTTTTATTTCTAATAAACATTTTATTTCTAATAAACATTTTTTTTTTTTTTATTATATTTGTTATTTAACAATTACTTCGAAGACATCTTGTTTACGTCTCGTCTGAAAGAGCTAGTTTTCACCTCGCTGTCACCGTGGTTGATGGAATATCTGTCAATCAACTCGGAATTCACCGTTTTGAGATCGTACGCCCAACCCAACCAAGCCATGAAATCTATAAAAGCGGTCGACAGATTTGAACGATACAGGGGCAACTCCGCGGCCTTATAGTCCCACGGGAAGCAATGATGGTAATTGTGCCAGCCCTCGCCGAGGGTGATGAAAGACACTGCCGGATTCTCCGTTGGCTTAATAGTTCTGGAACAAGAACGAGAGAAGGGAGAAGTGTTTCCACTCGGTTTGATCTGGACCAACACCAACTTCTGCCCGGAATCTCGTGCAACAGATTATTTAAGCGGAATAACACTTTATAACTTCTGCTTATTACGAACGAAGAGTGTCTCCGTGCAAGTAATTCTCTTTTCGATTTATCTCTTCCGAAGGACAATGATCGATGTCTACGACGCGTTCACTTTTTTTTCTTTCTTTTTTTTTTTTTTTATTTAAAAACTTAAGAGAAACTGCGCAATTGGAGTTTCTTGATCAGTTTATTTTATATTTTTGGAATTTTGTGTTTTTTTTTCTTTATTATCACAATTGATATTATTTGTTTTTGTGATGTTAAAATACTTGCTCCTTTAGAGAGATTACATTATGGTTTTCTAAAAGACTGGAACGAAGTATTTTATCATTTAAATTTAGAACAACATGGATAAACGCGGAATTAGTGGGTGAATCGGATTTCAAGGTAGAAATTTGCGTCCCTGAAAAAGTGCGGTGCTTGCTCACAAGATTAATCACCTCTTGACTAGGAAAGTTAGCAAAGCAAGTTAAAACGCGCGCGCGCGCGCGCACACACACACACACATATCCCCGCACACACACACGCACGAGCACATTACGGTAAACGAATTCTTAATTGAAGATTCAGTACACACTTCAATTTCCATACTTACGTAAAAATGTCGAAAAATATTCAAACTCTGTTTTCTAATGCAAATTTGAACGTTTTTTCTCTTCCGGAATATCAAGGAATTAATAGTTTTCGGAATTATGCAATCAAAAATGATTAATTTTTTTGCAAAATATAAAAATACTGTTTTGCCTCGGAGCTGTTACTTAGTGACAAATATGTTTTTTCTCATATAGTCTCAGCAAACTGTATATTTTTTACCGGAATTTCAAAAAGCTTCAAATCTACTAATTAGTAAACTTTTTCGTGAGATTGAAGAAAACCTTGAAAGAAAATTTTAAAAACCATAATCTTTCGTCTAAAATATTAAAACTTAGAAAATCGTTCAAAAATTATATCATAAAGCACAAAAGTGTTACAAAACTTCAAAAACACTTTTATGATATCTATTAATTAGGAAACATCAATGTAAATCAGATTTGACGGATTATTGTTCTCAATCGATATATAAATTCACACCTCTTCTATTTTATATATATTATACTCCTTTCTTTGTTGTTTTTTTTTTTCTTATTACGTTATCCATTTACTGTTGTTGTACTGTTTATATTACCTTAGGTAGCTGTTGTTGTGCACTCTTTCGGAATTCACTCCATTCGAAATGATTTCGAGTTTCATCGGTTCTTTTTTTTTTTTGCCTTTGAAAAGATAAGGAAAAACTAAACAAAAATTATTCCGGTCGGAATTGATTTCGAAAAAGCACGGCAACAGCTACTCCCGATCGTCTTATTTGTCTGTATCACACCGTGTGGTGACCGAATCTGCCGAGCAATCGTGCAAAAAGGGATTAACCGTTAAGATACCTGTTGTACGGTCGATTGCCCCAAATGTGAGCGACACTGTTGACGAGAAAAGTCGAGTTCAACAGTATCACGTAGCGTATAATGTTGGAACCTATGCTCACGTGCCAGGCTTCGTTCCACACGTAGACCGGCACCAAGACCGGCACTACAAACGCCAAAGACACCATGATCGGCGGATAATATCTGCAATGAGAACACGCGCGTTTCGCGAGTCATTCACGTTTTAATACGCGCGCCCGAGCTTATTGCGCGCGTACATTTCTCCGCTTTACGATTCGCGCGAAGGATACACCGCGCGCGAGAGAATACATAAATCAAAGTGGATTGCGAGCGATACGTGCTCTCAATCCACGTCCTCGATCTTTGATGAGACACGTCTTCCAATTAATCTTACTTAATCTCTCTCATCGAGGAATGTCACGCACGCGATTTCGAGCGCTCCGAACAATTACGAGACGATCTTGAGGCAACCCAATTTCGATGTGACGACTTTCTTACGAGTGTCGAGTGTTCTCTTTCCCTCTTTTTTCACGTAAATCCGAATCGAGCGGATCGTTATAGAATATTATCGTTTACGTGCCCCAATCGTCTTGATTTCTTCTCTCGTTTTTTTTCTTATTTTACGCGCGGACAGCGCGCGTTAATAAATTTAAGCACTGATTGTTTGCGCTATATAATTGTTTTTTGTTTTTTTTTTTAATCTATTGTTGGAATATATTTATCTCAACAACGGAGATTTATTTTAAGAACACGGAATGTGTCAAACAAAAAATGGCTAAAACAATTTTGTTTATTTTTTCTTTCTACAAAAAACAGCATCGTTCGAGAGAAAATAAAATAATAGAAGAATAATGCAAAAGAACCGCGCTTATTCCCGGTTATTATCTCTATATTAATTTTCGTTTTTACAACGGTGAAAAAATACAAAAGTGGACGAACACACGCCACGTGAAAAAGCTGACAAGCTTCATTGTGCGCGTTCAGACTCGGATTGCGGCACTGACCAGTCGATGGCAATTGAGGCTGATTGCCGGGGCATATTTGACAGATCAGATTCCACTCGCCACAAACTCGACCACTCGAACCGCCCTGTGCCTCATAAACGCGGAGTGTTTTATCAGAAATTGAGGAATGTGCCGAACGCACTGAAACGTTAAACTCACTTGTCGACGAAGCGTATCACAGGATCGGCCGCCATGTCGCTCATATCCACTTTGCCGTACTTCTTGACGTCCGGATGATGTTTCATCATCAGCCAGCCGATGTGTGAGAAGAAAAATCCGCGGTTCGAGTTGTGCGGATCCGCAGACGTGTCCGTGAATTTGTGATGGGTTCGATGGACGCGAACCCATTTCGATGGATGAGTCTGCAAAAGACGGAATATTGCTATGCGAAAGTAGTTGAAATTCCAATAGTTCAAAACCAAAAAAATATATATATATATAAATAAATAAATAAACGGAGAGAGAATTTTGGCAAAATTGCCCAAAAAATGATTCAAATGATGATTACTACGCAACGAGAGATCTTACCTGACCAGCCATGCAGTACAGATAAGCGATTAGTATTTTGAGTGGCAATCTGGCTTTGTAGCTCCTGTGCGCCCAGAGACGATGAGCGCCCGCCGTTATGCCAACACCGGCCGTATATGCGTACACAAATTCTAAACAAGTAATACGTGCGAGCGATAATTTTCAATTAATTAACTATACAAAGCGCGTCGGACTGTACAGATATTTTCAGTTATTATTACAACGGAGAAAAAAAACCAAAACAAAAAAAAAAGTGAAACAATGCGTCGACGAGCGCGCGAGCGAAAACTGTTGTCGAAAATATCTGTGTGAAAAAAAAAAAAAAAAAAGATCAAAAATAAATAAAACCGAACACACACCGAGTTTCACAATCACCGCGTGTGCGCCGCGAAGAGATTAAGCTCCGTGTAAAACTCCTCGCTTGTCGATAAAATGAAATTCTGATGGGAATCTAATTGGCGGTTAATAAATGCGTACCCCAAATCCAGGTCCAAAATTTTGCCTCGTGATACCGCGTGGCGAACAAATAGATCGCCACGACGTGGAGACTGGCGATGACGATGATATTGCGCCAAATTAATGGCTGTGCCGCCGGTATGTGCTCTTTCGACGGTTGATTGAGAACCGAACACCTGCCATTTTCCGTTCCCGTTGACTTTCGGCCTTTATTGTCCTCGTATTCGGTTATCGTTGAACTGTACATTGCTGCTGAAACGAAAATGTTTGCGGCTGAGAGCGTGTGATGGTATGTGTACGATTTGTTTATTTCATCCGCGTATACGCTATTAATCACACACGCGTGTTCGGAAATATATATTCTGGCAAATCGCCCTTCCCCCCCCCCTCTCACTCTCCCTCTTCCCTTACTCCCAAAAATTCACACTATCTCGGGAGAAATAACTACGATAAATCATAGTCCTGTGTATAGTCAATTTGTCATGTTTTGTGTGTGCGCGCGCGCCCTTTTGTGTGTGCGTGTGTGAAATTTGTTTAGTCCTTTCGAATCGGCGTAATTTTTGCTTTTCACAATCGTGTTGCTGCGCTTTTTTTTTTTTTTTTTTTCATCTCTCCAAATGTCGAGTAAATTATTAATGACAATATAAAAAATCTGTCACGTGAGTTCTATTGATAAATTTAATATGCAAAGAACGGTAACATAACAATCTATTAGTAACGTGTTATTAGAAGTTTTTCTAGCGCTTTAACTTCTTCTGAAAAAAAAATGGCAATGTATATGATAAACCTGTTATCTTTGTGCAATAAATGGTTTGTAATGATGCAAAAGTAAAGACCGGGACAAATGAGCTGCTGTTAAAAACAAATGATTTTCCAACGTGTAATTTGGGAAATTACACGTCGTAGATGTACCGAACCGAGACTGAAGATCTCGTATCGGTCTCATTAGAAGGGGGACGATCTCGCTTTAACAAGCGGCCATTGTTAGCCGCTATAACTGCCGCCTCGGCAGTGTATAATTGCGTCCGCATTAGACGGGGCGTCTAAATCGGCGAGACGCCGCCATTCGTCTTGTGCCGTCGACGATGGTATAAGCTTTCCCGTTCGTGCGAGTATAACGAGCGATAATTGCATCCGCGCACTCTCCCGAGATGTAAGACGACGCGCGCAAAAAATAATCGCAAGTTCGCGGCCAAGGCAATCGCGCGCGTCACGCATTGCTGAGTCTGTGTTCCGCAGGCGTGCGTTTGATCATCGAGTTGCGAAAGTAAAAGCCGCACGCGGTGTTTACTTCGCATGAGCGCCGCAGACGCATCGTCACGCGTTATTTATTGACGGGTAAAATTTATTATTTATGACCTTATCGCGCGTTGAACTTCAAACATTTGTTTATTTAAGAGATTATTACGTATGTAAAATTACAACTCGCGCGTTGAAATCGCGTATTCCATATTTGATGTGCGTAAAATTGTATGTTTTGTAGAGAGAGAGAGAGAGAGAGAGTGAATAAGAGATACGTTTTTGCAAACAGATTATGGCTCTTCTGTATCATAAATTTGACCCCAATTCGCACAAGTGATTTTATGAACAAGTGACTCTAGGATCTCATTTTACGGGCTCGAAAGAGCCCGTTGCTCACGTTTCGAGGAAGATTCGCGCGACTTTTCGCTCTTATTAGATCAACTACGGCGCGCTTGAAATGCAACTCGTGAACGACGACGAACCGCAAACACTCTGATCTGCTTGATTAAACAATCGATTGCGGAAACACCTGTGGCGAAATGCACTTTTATTGGAATGAAGGCAATTTGTACGACAAACGTCCAATTTCCGATCGATAGACGTGAAGAGGCGCGCGCGCGCGCGCACGCAGAGTGAAAGTGCGTTTAAACAAAAACGTGCATATAAAATCCGAGGGCGATTATTCATTCTGCTGCGTGACGAGTCAATTATACATATCCGGATGTATCCGGTCATGCGATATACAATTCGACGCGCAAAATATATCGCGCGTGAGAATTCGCCGCACCGCGTGTTACGTTTTCCGCGACAACACAAATTATCGCGTAATTGCAACACAAACACAATCGCACACGAAACTCGATAATAAATAATATGCTGTCATCATTATGATGTTGGCGTACGCGCGAAGAGATCTTGATGATGCGGTTTTCTTTTCGCCGTTTCTGTGTGTGCGTCGCACAAATCAATTCCGGAAATGTATCGGAAGCACAATCTCATCTCGTCCATTAAGCATGATTCGCGTTCTCGTTTACGACTATTAATTTTCCTGTGAATGGATGTCGGCGAGATTTTTATCTCCTTCACAGAGAAATTGTTTGAATATGTCCGCGACTCGAGAGAGTCGGAAAGTGGAAAATTCACGATACTTAAACATATTGTAAATTTATTATTATTTTAGTAATTTCTTTTTTAAAAGTTCGTCGGATCCGATTCTTTTAATTCGACAGTTAATATTTAAATTCGACACACTAAACTTATTTACACGACACGGCCGACAAACTCACACAATGTCTCAAAGTCATGTATGTTTTCACGACACAAACCAAGGGCAATAATGCTCGCGACACGACAATATCAAATATGAATTTCAACGACAATCGGCGGAATTAAATCAACAGACTCACACACTCTTTCCTTTGTTGGTTTAACAAATAATTTATTTACAATAGAGAATAGAGTTGATACCATTTGACATCGGCAATGTTTAACGACGATTCGGCGGAGATTATCCCGACCCGACAATCTCGACTTCGACTTTCGACACGACTTATTTTTCGACTGTTCAGATCGCCGGTTTTAACCAGAGTCTCTCTCCCCAAAGCTTCGCCGGCACATGCCTCTTGTTTTACGATTATCGAGAGGTCACATATCAGCTCATCAACAGGCGCGTCGATCGCGGCCACCCGGATGTGGCTCCGCCGCACAGCTGATATCTTACAATATTGACACAATATTTATCGCGTGCGCCATTTGATTTTAATATTCTTCCTCATCGCGCGCGCGAAACTAACTTCCACACCTGTATTTTGATTTTTAATAATTGTTTTCAAATTCGATTCGATTTATTCATTTTCAACAATGTTGAAAAGTTTGTTTTTTTTTTGTTTTTCCACCGACGCTTTTCGCATTCGATCTCGCTCAGGTTTTCGCGGAAATTTTATCGGCCCGTTATTCACACATCGTCTGATTCCGGCAAGCAACGCGTCGTAATTTACGGTATAATAACGCGCGGGGGAAGAAACGACGGCACATATACATACCCGGAGGCCTCATAAAGCGCGGCGGGTCGCGATTTCCCGACCGTTTTGTTTTCCGCGCGTACGGTCCGTGTAAGGACTTCGCGGAGCAATGACTTATGTTAATATGTATGAACCGGGGGATTTCTGGCGGCGTAAATGCGAATAATGCGCGCCGCTATCGCTGCCGACGCCGCCGCCGTCGCCTGCGTTACGACGGTTTACAACCGCCCTTTCCCGTAATCCCACCTCGGGTTTAACGTGGCGAAAACGCGTCCTGAATCGTCGTCGCGCGATATCGCGAAACAAGAAAGCGCGATTGCGCGCAAAAGTACGACGTTGAAGTCGCTGTCGGGTTCGCTGTCGCGTCAGAATGTTGCTTGAATATATTATTGAATATTCCAACCGAATAATATAATATTCTGACGAGAATTAATTAATTATACGAAGCGAGAGAGAACGAGAGAGAGAGAGAGAGAATATATGTATATACATATAGCGCGTATTGATGTTTGCCAAATGTTGTATTATGTATGTGTCGATATAACGCGACACTGAGCGAGACGTGAAATATAAATGTGCGTGGGTAACTTATACGCGGATTAAAATCGCGAGCGCGCGCGATTGCAAAGTGATATTTTCAAGCGGTTTATCCAATTTATTAATTTTGCATATTTGTATTCGCATTTAGACCGAAAGAAAGGGGAAAAACACTGGAATCGATTGCGCGATAAAACGCACCGCCGAAATTATCAAGTAGTAGCAATCAATTTCAGAGCGCACGTTGACAAACAACATTGACGTATTTAGTTTATTTGCTATTTACATCCGCGCGTGTATATTTCATCGCGTTCGGTCAGTTCGCGCGATAACGTTATTTCACACAAACGCGTTCTTTCTCCCGTGTTATATTCTTTCCCCCGTGTTCCTCCGTCGCGCACAGAGAGGAACCATGACACGGGAAATATTTGACACATCACGTCGATATATCTAACTTTCATGAGAGCCCCCGTCAAAGTTACGATCCGGTAAGAGGAAAATCATGCCGGTGGCTCATTGAGAAAGTATGTCTATCCGCATTGTGATACAATGGGGTCGATGCTGCAATACGTGTCGATAAGCGGTCCGTTTCAGCGTTTCCCACTCGATCCTTTAATTACACCCAATCGCGTAGCCCTCTCGGAACGGATGAAAAGAACGGCGCGACTGAAACAACAATTTCTAGATTACGAGATTTTTGCAATAATAAAAATGTAATTAGTAGACAAATGTTCTAGATTTGTTTTGTTTTCGTTTGTAAAAAAATTTTTTCATGAAAAACCAGAACAAAAAAAAAATAACAACATCCTTTCATTCAATATAAATATAAATATGGAACCAAATTACACAGGGGCGATATTAAATATTGTTAGAGCAAACACAAAATAAAAACAAATGCGTGTGCGATTTCGAGAAAATAGAGATACATATTTTGTTTATAATACATCGTTCGAATGTGTCGCGCGCAAAATTATCGATATTTATAATACTTCGCGCGCTCGACGTCGAAAGTCGTCTGACGGTGTATTAACTCACAAAAAAAAAAGAATATATAAAAAAAAAAAAAACCTCCCCTCTGTGTACACTCCCTGCCGTCGGGAGTAAAACTCGGCTACGTCCGCGCGCGCGTCTCACAATGCGCGATCGACGAAAACTCATCCTTTTAAACTTTTAAATTAACGATAGTTTGCTGCATACTTACTGCGAACAGTTCGATCCGCGCAAATGCACTGGGAGGATATTAAACGCGCTGAAAGACCGAACGGAATGTATCGAATCGCAAATGCAACGTATTGCTACTCTCCGCAATCTCGTCCAAAAACCTTCCGCGAGATATACGCCGCAGCATCGCGTTTATATAGAGCCTCGACATGATGTCGAGGATATCGCATTAGATTCTGACCACCATGGTAGTAGGGAAGGAGATGCGGTCGGTCCGTGATGTGATTGAAAAACGTTTCTCGTCAACCCTTCTCCAACGAACTTTCGCTATAAGTGTGGTTTTTCAACATCTTGCACTCGCGTATATTTTCTCTCCGTGCAATCTACGCCTTGTTTGCGCATGTTCTTTTTTGAAATGTCTACTTAACAAGTTTCGGACATTATTGTAAAACAATGTCCACAACACTCGACACGTACGATTGTGCGGCAATATTATATACGGAATGGTGTCAAAACGAAGAGACTTTCCGAGCTCGCGACGAAAAGGAGCTGCGGCGAGATTAGCACTTATTAATCTTTTCTACAAGAAAAATAAAAGACACGGAAAAGAAATCTGGAAGCAATTATTAATAATTAGTCTCTTTGGCGAAAGAAGCGAGGCGTATGATAAGAGAGACAAATGGTCTTTTTTTCCGTACAAACGTACGGAAAAAAAAAAAAAAAAAAAGCCATTGCTCCGCAATAGGCGAAAAATACTTCGCGATATACAATAAATGTTTTAATCTTCGATCTCGCTCATCCGAGCGTTCTTATAAAAGCGGCGTTCTTACGTAAGAGCGTTCTTATAAAAAATAAAAGATCCCATTTCACGGAATTGGTTATTTAGGTTAGATTTTTTTAAATTTCATTATATCTGTCTTTTACTCGAGGATAAATCGAAGCACGAGACGAAACAATTGGGACGAAATCGGCGACAGAGAGATTTTCGTACGATTTCTTGATCGGCGCATGCGAGTATAATTTAAAATAAAAAGAGAGAGAGAGAGAGACTTTCACGTACAATGAGTTATTAACATACGAGACGCATCTTGTTTTTGATACATTTTAAAAAATCTCTCGTAATTCATTAACTGCGCTTAAGTATCTAGATTTCACTTATCTAAATCACGCGCAATAAACAGGTTTCACTTTGTATTGAGATCGATGCTTTATTTTTCCGCTTAATCGTCCGTCGCGAGCGTTGTATCACAGAGCGGAAACGTGCAAACTATTATTCGTTTTCATTGAAAAAAAGAGGATTGAAAAATCCGGTATCATAAACAATGCCATTTACGCTTATTTTTTTGTTTTTATGAAAACCGATTGCCGCAAATAGCACGGCGAACGTCGTCACGGGCGACACGTATATTTCTCGAATATTACACGTAATTTTTTTTATATAATATAATACACGGACGCGCTGTTATATGGATATTGCTGTCACCAAATAAATTAGACTTACAGCGCGTTGAAACAAATAAATAATCGTATATCTCGGAAAGGGGCGTTTTGCCATATAAAAAAAATAAAAATAATCAGAAAATATAACGTAATCAAATTTTGATAACAACATATATACACACACATACATATATTTCAACGCTCGCAGTTTTTTTATCTCTCTCTCTTTCTCTTTCTCTTTCTCTCTCAAAATAAAATATGTATATTTAATATATTGTATAGAATCGCTGACGAAATTATTTCGGTATGCAATTTGTGATTGAAAAGTATGCTTGGACATTCCTGAAAGCAAATGAAAAAGCAGATAAAATTGAAGCGAAATTCAAACGATACCGTCGAAATGATACCGCGACATACTTTCAATTGATATAAATTGCAATGAGTTACCTCGTTACGTCAAGTTAATTTTATTGTACTCATAGACACGCGCCGTTTATGCGAATAGCTTGTACCGTTCACTTTTATTACTGAATCGTCTACACGCATGTACATACATACATACAGAAGAGTGCACCATATCGTTCTGCTCCGGGGGAAATTTTTTCTCTGAAATTTCTCTTCTGACTGCTCCTATTACCGCGTGCCGTACTCCTTCGATCTCCGTTAGCGGCCCGAGATTGAAGAAAAACGGCGCGGGGATAGTAGAAACAGCCGGAGAAGAAGAAATATCCGAAAAATACTTCCCCTGGACCGGAACGATATGGTGCTCATATGTACACTCCTCTGTATATATATACGTGACGCGTTACGCGGAACAATAAAGATGCATACGCAAACTTTCGCCTCGTTCGAATCGCTATTAATTACTTTTTTACGTGATAAAAAACGATTTTAAAACCCTGCGGTTTTACACACAGAAAGTACTCGCATTTATTATAGAACGGGAATCCTCTTTACGTTTTTTTTTTTTTTTTTTCGATCGCGACCAAAACGGATTTTTCAAATTTGTCGCAGTTATCAACCGTCCAAGTTTCACAATCGGACGCGCGTTGTGCAGAGTCGTTTCAAAGCCGGCGATTCAATTGGAAGAGTACCCATAATCGAACGCAATACTCAAATCAAAACGATGTTACACGCTGTACGTTGCCGCGCACAAGAACCGAATTGTTTCGATCGCGGAATAAAAAAAAAAATTCGCGATCAGGTTCAAAGACAAGTGAGTCAATTTTACGTTGTATTTCCACACCGCGCGCTGATATTTCGCGATATTGCGGATCATTTTTCAAAACGTAATTATTTTCACACTGTTACTCGACACACCCGCGCGCGCGTGTGAAAGAAATTTTTTTCATTTTTCAACAAATTCTCGAAAAAAAAAAACCTGATGATATTGCGTTACGTAGTAGTTCGTCGCGATGGCATAATCATCTCATTCATAAAAAAGTACGCAGCGGTGTAAAAAAAAGGCTCTTCTCCCTTCTTTATGATATGAATATAAAATTATATTCTCTTTCACAATTATACATTTCGCGAAATATCGTATGTAATTATTTAATTATAATTTACATTACTTTCGAGAATATTTGCGATTTTTTTATTGGAAAATTAATCATTTTTTAATAGACAATTAATTTGATTTTTTTAACAACTGGAGAGAAAGAGAAAAAAGCTCATAAACAACGTTATCGCGTCGATAAGTAAATGTGAAATTCAAGAAAAAATTGGCGAAAAAATCAAATTACACGGTATAGCCGATTGAAAAATGGAATTCCCTCTTGAAATAGGAGTCAATCAGCAGCTACCTGCGTAACCGACAACGTATATACATTGTCGGCATGAATGACGAAAGTGATGATGGTGCGCGCGCAAACTCTTTAGTAATAGAATTGAAGAGGACAGAACGGTCCAATGGCAATAACGAGGTAAAACATCGGAGCTGTGAGCGAAACAAGTTGGACGTGGTTGCAATCGACAGCACAAAGGATACAGTTTGCGAGAAGACGACGACGTAGGCGACGAAAGAGAAGGCGGAGAAGAACGTCTTCTCTTTCCTCTTTCCGTGATACCGATTGTTGTCGTGTTTCTTCGATTTGCTCGACGTTGGAGAACGCTTTTCTGAAAGCCGTTCCGTTGTCCTTTATCGTGTGTCCTTTCGCTTTCGCTCTCGCGGCAGCCATTCGCTTTGACATGTGCGCAGAAAAGAAATCTCGTATTTTTCTCACATATCTCCTTTTTTGGTGCGCGACAGGGGGGTACGCGCGTTATTCAACATTCTCTCGCGATATCAGATAAAGTTGTTTAATTTTTCCCATGTCCGATTTCCTCGCGCGATAATAACTTTGTTGTTCGAGAAATATTTGTTGCAGAATTATAAAAGAAAAAAAACATTGTTTTTTGTTTTTGTGTCGAGGACACGTTCTCCTTCCCCAACCCCCGACTAAAACTGACAATTAGAATTCGAACGTACTTTTATTTCGAATTAATATCGTATTAAATGTGCAGAGTTTGATGATAAGAGTTCAATGAAAGGCTCTTCAACAGAATTAAACGGTCGGGGGGAAAATGCACGCTTGCCTGCTATTTTTTTAATTAATTACCCGGCCCTTCGCTCTCGCGTGTTGAATATTCGCGAGAATAAACGAATCATTCTCTGTTTGAAAGTCTTTCATCAACGACAAACGCGTGTTTTTATCGCGTGTTTGTTTTGTATATAAAACACACGTTTTTCGTGAATAAAATACATGTCCAATCGTCGAAAAACGAAACTGTTTTGGCGCGATGTAAACGTAACTGCATTTTCTCTTTTAACAAAATGCAGTTTCTTTTTATTAGGAAGTAAATTCTTTTTAATAAACCTGGATTTTTCGCGCTTTTCAAAGATAAGAAATTTTCAAGAGAAAATCCGCACCCGAACAACTAAATCAGTTAGAAGTTAAGTCTGAGGCATTCGTCTAAGAATAAGCGCCTTCGTCTTTGTTCTCGTTCCCGTCTTCCTGTTCTACAACCTCGTTCTCCAACTGCATGCAAGACTCGGACGGTTTGGATATAATTTCGCTCGAGATTATTTCCGTCATGACGCATTTGTCGAGATAACTGATTCGGATGCGGAGCGAAATTGTAGCTTTGGTCTCCTGGAAGTCCCCGTCCAGCAGAGTATACGTTCCACTTGTGGACCTGAAATCATATATTCAACGGTGTTACTGCGATTCTGAAATTACACGGATTTCTCTCCGTCCGCGCGAGACCTGCACAAACGCCGCATACATTAGCAACATCTTTTTTATTATCGCGTTTAAGATAACATTGTTAATAAAATTTTAATACAATTTTTATCTTCTCCAACAATATCGGGGACCGTTCGATTTTCGTTCAATGAACGTGTCCCGTGAAACAAACGACGCGACGGAACGATCAGATCGAAGAAGAAGAAGAAGAAGAAGAAGAAGAAGAAAAGAGAAAGAAAGAGAAAGAAAGAAAGAAAGAGTTTTCGCGATAAAACGTTCTACCGCACGATCAACAACCGTCCTCTCGATTTTCGGGGGCGCTATCACCTCGAGATAATCTGCTGGTTATAGAAGTCCGACAAGTGTTCCGCCCATTTGTTCCGCTCGCGGAGTTGCCGCGCGATGTCGTTCAGAAGATCGTCGACGGGCACGGTGATGAAACCGACTTTATGGAATCGGTCCATTTTGAAATACTCGCTGGTTTCCTTGTGCACGCAGAGCTGAACGTCGACGCCACTAGCCTCTTTTTCGTGGAAGTTTGCCGGGACGGGAAAAACAACGGACGCGCCGCTACAAAACTTTTCGAGTTGTTCACTGTTGCCGCGATGGGAATGACGATCGGATTGATTCGGCAGCAACGATATCCATTCGTAGTCCAGTATGCGAAACATGATTTTGGTTTTTTTCAATGTAATTTCATCGAACGTCGACGTCCGGGGAACGAACAACTGGCGATCGGATAATTTTAACCACACACAATGTAATATAATGTCGGTGTGTTACAATTAAAATAATTGTTTTATTTGAAATTTATAATAATTATTATACGTCCAGTTGGATTTGTGTTATTTACTTTACTACAAAATTATTCGTTAAAACTGAAGCACAGCGCGAGTGAATTAATTTTCGATATGTTATATTGTTATTACGAGCGGATTTGTAAAATATGTCTGTGTGTTATAAATTTTATGAGAGAAATATATCATACGAGAAAATATGTATTATATTAAACGTAGAAGAATATTTTCACTCACGTTTTCCGCGGCAATTTCGAGCAACATAAGTGGGAACCCTTCGAGTTGTAAAAGGACCGTAGATGCCATTGTTTACACGCTTAGAGTGTACATCTATTTTCAACAATTTTACTCCATTGTTCCCGCTTTTGTCTCACCGTTGCGGTATTTGCCAAACACATATCGGTTATATATACAATTCATTTTTTGCTTGCGTTTTTTTTTTTACATTTTTTTACAACTATAATTTGAGGTTCGAATGCGCTCTCGAAACTATTAGTCGGAAGCGCGTATCTCGATTGCGTATATCGATAATAAAACATTCCTGAAATTGCTGACATCTATAAACTATTTTTTTTTTTTTTATAGAGACATATTACCCGCGTACGGTTATGCGCATACGAACACACCACCAGAATGAGGCTGAAGAACCCCGACCTATAAAACTTACGTAAAAAATTTTAGCAAAAAATAAATAACGACAATATTTTCTCGTATCTCAAAATTTTGCAAATTATTTTAAGCTTGTATTAATTCCGCGTGTGTGCGCGCGCACTTGTAGATATAATTTACTTAGAGATGTCATATCAAAAGAAAAACATGTTTTGCAATGCGTTGACGTATTTTTAAATTTGTGACTTCCAGTGTTGTTTTGCAATGTCTGCGAAGATGACCAAATAAATACGGTCGAAACTTAGCGATGTCATAGCAAAAAAAATAACATATTTTGCGGTGCGTTGACGCAATTTTAAATTGGTGACCTCCAGTGTTGTTTTGCTATATCTACTGAAGATGACCCAATAAATGCAATCTAAACGTTCGGAAAAAACATATTGCCATATATTATTTGCATGAGATCCCGCACTCCGGTTCTATACAGCTGAGTTAATCAAAGTAATTATTGGTACATATAATTTATTTATTTTGACTATTAAGAAAATTAACTTCAAAATTAATTAGCTAAACAGTCTTGCGAGTATTAATGCGGTAGCGACGCGCATGAAGCGTGCTATATATAATATTCAAAGCAACTTGGTCAAAAGTTACTTGATGTTTTCTTGCGAACTCTCATGTAGTAAGAAACTGGATTTTAGTGAAAGAAACGCCAATCCTTCTGAGATTCATTAAACCGAAGTTTCATTATGAAACTTTACGTCATTAGTAACTCACAAAAGAAGAAAACATACTTTACACGTTTATAATCGTCCGCCAAAAACAGGACACATCAGTCATAATCATTTGTCAAATTGTCCGCCTCGTGTCACGCACGCGCCGCTTTATTCCACTCTTTCCTATTAACCAAATAAAATTTGTCAGCAAAACGTCTACTTTATTTAACATGATATTTGATTTTTTTAATCTCTTTTAATTTTCCCGTCAAGAGCGTTGCAAAAAAAAAACATCTTTTAACGCGGTTAAAAAAAAATATATATCAGAGCGAAGTGTTTTACTTGTGTGCGCGCTAAAACGATTGTAATTGTGTCTTTAATAAAAGCATAAATGAGATTATAAAGCACAAATCAATGCAATAACATGCGAGGACAAAATGATCACTCATACATGTGCACACGTATATATACGGATATTCGTATCGGCAATATTTTTAGTTAATTGCGATCATCAAATAATTCGACAAATTTTACAGAGATAACAATTACATATACATTCCGCTGTCCAGTTGCTCGATGGTCATAATTTAACAGCGCGTACACGATACGCATCCAGAATTACCTGCGCCTTCATTTTCCACACGCTTCTCAATTTCAAACGCAATTTAACGAGAAGTCCGGCAAAATGGAAAAGTCGTAGCGGTAGTTGCACGTCATAAATATCAAACGGCTTACATCGGCTCGGCAACATCGGTTTGCATTGCTTCATTCTTTCTCTATCGATGCCTCTATAAATTCTTTATTGTCCCGAACGCGTTACGCGCGCGCTATATTTTCCAAAAACATAAATCGCGAAGATTCGTAAGTTATATTCCACGGTTGCGTGTTTACAACAAGCGGGGGGGTTAAACTTTTGTAAAACAAAAAAAAAAAAGAAAAAATCCGGATCGAAACGTCGATACGATTTGACGTAACGTGTACATGGAACAATAAATTGATATCGATCGTTCCTATGTTTTGCGTACAATATTTTAATACAGATTAGACGATGTGAAAAAAGCAGTGTCTTTCTTTTTTTTAATTTTATCATTACATGGAATAAAATGAAGAATAAAATTATATTATTACTAATTATGAAGAATAAAATTGTATAAAATTTATATGAGAATTCTTGCACCAAAACAAACAAAAGAAAAATCCTTGATATTTTTATGTATTTCATATTATTTGTATTAGTTGCTTTTTAATTAATGCTTTGTATTTTTGTTAAAACTTATTTTTTCCCTTCCTTTCTCTCTCTCTCTCTCTCTTTCTCTTTCTCATCTTACACGTTCACTCATTAAACAGAAATACGCCGAGCTGTGTTTTTTCTCACTGTAAAAGCTGCAACCGCGGTAGTTCACAAAAGAATAGAAATGAAAATTCGCACTCGATATCATCCATGCCACCGTCTATCACCACCAGAGAGCTACAGTTTTGCACGACTTCTTCTTTGCTTCCTCCGTTGTCAGGTTGCCCACCACTTGGTCCATTTGCTATAACCAGCTTTCGCTATCGAATCTCCTAATACCGTCGCCCACTCGCCTTCCTGATAAAGGTCGTGTACACCCAACCAAGCCTGGATTGTCAAGGGATATCTCACATCCTCACTCAAGTTCCGTCCGGTTAAATATATCCAACAATATCTGAAAGAAATTTAACAAAAAATATACATATAATTAGTTGGATAATGTTATATCGAGAGGATAAAATAAATATGTGAAATATCTTTGATAAAAAGAATATTTTTGTAGAGACTATTTTTACATTCATTTCAGCACGTATATTTTTAATACGTAACTTGGAATCATAAATTGAACAAAAATATTTTTGTCATTCGATTCGACGAGCTTCCGAGTGTCTTCTTTGTAAATATTTTTGTTCTTTCCGAGAACAACCAGATTGAACGACGACAAACGAATATCAGATATTGCGCGCTCAAAGGTGCTTACAAGTAACATTCGAAACGGAAGAGATCTTAGCGACTTACTTGCGCCTAGGTAAAGCTGTTGATGATGGCGAGGTGACCGCCTTCCTCGTTGCATGTCTTCCTGGCTTCGTTCCATGTGGCGGGTTTTGTGTGCGCTCCGATACCTATCGTGTAACGATAATCATCCCGATGACCGCTACGTATATGCGACATGGAGCACATGCACATCATGCCGGGCATCAGCACGTTCTGGATGTTAAACTGATGCGTCAACATGTTCGACGATTGTTGGTAGAAAGTCGCCATGGTATTCGCTGATGTCGAACACGGACAGGATTTCTGGTTATGGTATTGTCACCCCAGTTGTATCGACGCGCGCGTCTTGCGTGATAAACCGAACCTTTCGATAGGGCCGAAACAAACGATTCTCGGCTGACGTCCAGCGCGATCACGCTCAGAAGACTCGTAAGACGAACGCCATAATTCTTCACCAACTCGTCGCGGGAATCAATCTGCGAATCGCGCTCCCTCCTGCAAAATCGGAATCATCGAGATTCGAAAGAGAAGATACGGATTATTTGTTTCTTTTTTCTTTCTTTTTTCTTTTTTTTTTTTTGGTTTTTTTTCAACCAAATGAAGAGAAAACGTTGGAAATTATATGCTAATAGCACGGGCAAAGATTATTCTGTTTATCTCTGTCTATCTATCTCTCTCTGCGAATTATTTCCCGTTACTTCTCGAAGTTGTTTGCCCGCGGATTATCTCGTTCTTAATATCCCGGATTGTGGATAAATGCGCGCGCGTAACAAGCCGAGATCAAAGAAGAACTGAGAAGGACTAAGATCCTTACGTTGTAAGCAAGATTCTAAATCCCCAACTAACTCTGCATTGGCATACAGAGACAGGCTAAACCACAGGCTAAACCCCGGCGCACAGAAGCGCAAGCTTGACCCGTCTGAAAAGGCACCGCTCTGTTCTGTTATCAGCAATCGTTCAAAGTACTGACGGTAGCGGCACGCAAACGACATCATAAATACCGCTGTTGTGTGCGAGTCGAGCATCTGGGAGGTCGAACCGAATCGTTTAATTTTTTAATTACATGTTCCAAATCGTCAAATTGAATCGAATCTTTCGTAAGTTTCACGTCGAATTAAATCGAATCGAATCTCTTTGATCCAAATCGAATCAAACTTTTCTGGATTTACGTTACACGCTGCAATTTAAATGTATGTTAGTTTCAGTTTAGGTGTGTTACAAGAAAAAGTAAACAATTTGACAAAAGCGTGAGGGAAAAAAAATAAATAAAAAAATAAGACTTATTAAACTCTTGTAATTAACATAAAGTAATATTTTATTTAAACAATAATATAAGAAACGAAAGTATAGTTTCGAGAATAAAATTTTACGGTGTGCAAATCGAACATTTGCGAGATCGAATCGAATTGTTGATTACATGATCGAAATCGAATTAAATCGAATTAAACTTTCTTAGATTTACATTACGTGGTTATTTAAACAAATTGGGTTTTTAATTATTAATTTAAGTGTTGTCAGAAAAAATAAACAAATTATACGATAAAAGTATATCGAAGCTTTTTGTATTCACCATTTTGTGATAAGTTGAATATCTAAAGATAATAGAGAATTTTCAATGTGTTTATTCGATGATAAATCGATGATACACGAATAAGCGCACGCACGAGAATTGGTGGAAGCGACAAGATCGGTCGCGCGAGAGATATAAGTGAAGCAATCAAAACGGGCGATCGAACCATCAACGATTCAAAATATTCGAACTGTTTGAACCTTTCAGATTAGAAAAAACGAACTCGAATTCCATTGTGATTCGATTCGATTCGAATTCGAACTATTCGCTCACCTCTCTGCTGTTGCGCCTCGCGCGCGTCCGCCCGTTGTAAAATCTGTCAGTTCGGGAATATTTCGAGACACAATAGAGAGAAAAATCGACTCATTCAATTCGATAAATTCATTTTTCACGTTGAAAATATCTTCTTTGGCAAAGTGAAAGAAATATTTTAAATGAGAAATCTGCTAAGTGGCGAATGAGATTGAAACGATCGAAATAAATATTGAAAATTTCTGATTACTTTCTGTATTACTTTCTGTATTACTCTCTTCTTAACAGTTCGCGCTGTTGTGCCAAGATGTGTTCTGTGACAAGATAAATCAAATCTCTTAAAACTGCGAGCAACTGTCAGCGAATCATTCATTTCGAGAGTATTTATTTTAATAGAACGTCCTTCCATAAAGAGATAAAATATACGTGATGGAAAAATATTCTAAAAGTATAATCACATTACATGTAACGGTAATAAAAGTATTCATCGATCTTTAAATAAAATTTTTAAAAACTTGTTTCATCAATCTCGAAACTACGTGTTGTTTCCAGGAAAAAAGTAATCGTTAATTTTCCGAAGATAAGATTCTCTTCTCTCGCTCGTTCTACAAAAATATTACGTAATCAAATACGTAGAATCTCTCTGACAAACAACAATGCGATTTAAATACAAAATTTTATTGTGAAAAGTTTAGATTATATGGGCTCTGCAAATGTAACAAAAATAAAATAAAACACACAAAGGAACAAAAGTGACAATAAAATAATAAAATTTTATTTATTTAATATTTTAATGTAACATTTTAATGTAAAATGTTAAATCAATATTATTATATATAAACAATAATGTTCAATGTTATTAAAACTTTCCCCAAGATTAATGCTTTCTATCAAATACCAATGACAATACAATACGGTAATTAAATAATAATATGTACAATAATAAATAATAATAGAGATTAAGTATAAACAATAATATGCAATAATAATAAATAATAAGTATTGTTATATATATATATATCATCTCGCGTATGTACCAATTAATGTACGCGGTGACAACTACTTACCGTCTTACAAAAAGCTTTTCCTCCAACATCTTGCCAACTGCACCTTTTGTGTGTGTCGCGATTCAATTTCGCTTCTCAACGAAAATCGTGCGCTTGCATACGATACCCTTGCGATTCGTATACAAATGCCATTCTTACGGTAAACTTTCCGAGCGTCGCCGCGCGCGCGTGGCGGGTATAAAATATAGACCAACCGCCGCGTTCAAAGTTAATCGGAAGATTTAAGACGGGCCAACCTCTACCGTGTAAACGTCTCCGGGATATAGCACTGTAAATTGCCCAGACATACAGAATCACACAGCGATTTCCAGCTCTTTCGTTTCTCGCGGCACACACATATCTATCGGAAAAGCCAGTGTGGCGCGCGCTTCCACTGGATTAGGAAGAACATAAATTACAAAACGGTTAGATAATTGAAAAAGAATAAATTCCTTCCGCGGGGTCGAGATATTAAACTGACTCTCTTCTCTCTCCCCGGGGGTTGGGGAGGAAGAGTGAGAGTTGGACGGAACAATGCCTGTCGCGCCGCCGCCGCGTAGCGCGGTAAAAAAAAAAAAATTGAGATTAAACATTCCAATTGTTGAAATACGAGGCCAACCGGAAATAATGGTTTTTGTAACGCTCTATTTTATACGTGTAACATTATGAAACTTCTAATTGTTTTAAATTAATTCAATTCATTAAGTGAAAATTCGTGTAACGGGAATATGTTCGGTGCGTTAATATTTTACGGAAACAAATATTCTGTACTGGGAATTTCTTTTTTTTTTTTTTTTTCACAAATCGTTGGAAACGGAATTCCACTTCTGTCTGAAAGCCATCAATGTAACTGAATAATCCATATCGGATTTAGGTACAGGGTATCGTTATTGAGTTACCTACTCTTATAAGATATCCCTTTTCTTTATTTCCCATCCGTGGAACGACAATAACAACAACAATAACAACATTAATCAAAAAACAGACAAGAAGAAACTGTGCAATGTATGTCATGTAATTTCTGATATATTTTTCAGATGCGACTAAAACCCTGCTTCGCGAGCTTCTATCTCCTGTTGCTTTCAATCGTCTCGATCTTTACCATCCCTGCGCTCGGTTCTGATCTTGTTCGTTACAAGGTAAATATATATTATATTTATATATATATATTATATATATATATATGTACACGTGCTTTGTTGAGAGATGTTTTAATATAGCGCGCGCGCGCGCTTTTATTTTAAAATATCGCGTACATTTAACAAAGAAAAAGTTTTAATTTTATATATTAATTCCCGTATAATATAATTTAGAAAATATGTTGCGTTGGTGAAAAATATATAAAAAAGTAAAAAGAGACAGCCATTTGTTTACATATCGAGAGAAAAATTACTTTGAAATAATTTTAATTAAACCGCACGTCTCTCTCTCGGCGCAGAAAGACCGAGAAAATGAGCGATTCTTAAGACAGAAGGTAATTCAGTAATTGAACGATTAACAAGGCTTTTCTTGCGTCCCCATTTCCCGTCTTAAGTTGAACATAATTACTGCAATCACGTTTAATCAATTTTCTTGCGCTTCCGCCGTCATAATCGAAAACTTATATATTCTTCATGTAATACTGCTTCTAATAAATAAATAAATAAATAAATAAAATTGACATTTTTTGCAAAGTACACTTTACACACAATCTTCTAAAAAAATAACGCTCTTAAACATATCCTAAATGTTATCAAATAAAGCGAGATCTATTGCACACTAAAAATTAATGTGAGTAAAATTACGTTCCTTCTGTAAAAATTTATCTCGCAATTTCAAATCGCGAAAAAAAAAACTTATCGTTCTATTATAGAACGCGCGAATCCCTCGGCGCATCTTCGCCGTATTCTTTCGTCGTGAACGTTATTTTTCTCGTATAAACCCTTGTCTACGAGCTGATGACCGTTAGATGAGCGCCCTCCTCCAGAGCGGATCTTCGCTGGCTTCGTTCCAAGTAGCGGATTTCGCGCGCGACTCACGCCAACCGATAGCAGCTGTAATCCGCGGCTCTTCATCTGTGTGTATACATTGACATCGCACCGTGTTCATTTTGAGCGAGAGACCAAGAAGCGCCCGGGCGCTCGCAAGGGGTCGGGGCGAAGGATCGATCCGCATAATTCCAACCGTGACTCCGTTCCGGAAAACCGACGAATCCGCGTAACCGCCCCTCGTTTCCTCGGTGCGTACGGTCAACTTCCGGGAACCTGAAGCGATCCGGATTGTCGGCGACGGGTAACGCGGACGCTCCCGAAAACGTGCGGAGAAGCTTCACATGAAGTACCTCACGGGCCATTAACTTCCCCGGGAATGCGCCGCGATTCCGTTCTCGGATGTGGAAACGATTTTCCGACAGTGCTCTCGTGAAATCCTGTCGTTAAAGAAGAGGTTATTCTTCAGGAAGATAATTCAGGGTCATATATATATATAGGTGTGTCTTTTGTGACGGAACGCGTGATATAAACTTTTGTTGTGCACAACGCGAACACAAAGAAATACACAAAAACTATACCCGATAAATAAACGCTTTTCAAATATTTCCCATTCGCGCTTTCGGATAGATAATATATCCGAAAAGACGAAAACAATGAAAACACACACACACTCCCGAAGTTTCGATAAAAATAATACAAGTACACGCGACAAAAAGCTGAATTAAAAAAAAAAAAAATATATATATAACAAAAATATCGTTCCGTGAAAGATATACACAAAAGATCTGAAGTTCTGCTCTGACAGTTTGAAACGTGGATGTAACCTCTGACGCTCGACGTTTCGTCGTGTTTTCAGCGCTCGAGACATCATTATTTTACAGACGACGATGACGGCGTGGTATCACCGAGCGCGGGAGGAGCTCTGTCCACAACGCCAATCCCGATCGAGGATGGAGGATCCGCAAACTCCGAGAACCGGCACGTTCAAAGGAGTGAGTAGATAACCGCTTTTAGAGAACTGGAGCCTCGTATCTACGTCAATGTTAATTAGTAATTTGTACACCGGTTCACCGTGCGCGGATTCGAGAAGTTTAATCGGGAGATGTTATTTCTCCCCGCAACAATTTACCGTGATCGCTTCGTAATCGCGTACATGTGTGCGCGCGCGTCCGTCATTAGACCAGATCGTACGCGACCGAAATCGCGTACAGAACCAATCCTACAATCAATAAAATCGCGACACCATAAAAAACCGCGCACATGGCGAACTCGCTGAAAAAAAACGCACGTATCTCGCCAACGTGAATAAAAGAAGAACGGCGCGACGAGTAACGGTCGAAACATATGCAGAAAGACAAATTTTGTTGCAAAACAGAATACGCGTCGTTACGGAATATATTACGCAAAATATGTATGTATATGTATATATACATATATATATATATATATATATTGTCTTTTTTTAAGCAGAATGTTAATTAAAACACAAAACGTATCGAAAACTAAATCACAAATTTTAGATTTTTAAAATATACTTAATTAAAAAAAAAAAAAAGAAAGATAGAGAATATATTTTTTTAAAAGTGTAACCTGCATATCTGTCTCTTCAAGAACACTTGATGACAATTAAAATTCGAAGCATACTGCAACAACGGGACGTTCATCTCGCTCGAAATTCCAGCTTAGAAATGCTTAAGTCGTTTATATTCGCTTCCCCGTGGAATATATCCGCGCGCGTGAGCGGCTCTTTAAACAACAAAATTCCAATTCCGAAGTACACAAAGCGGAAAAAGAATAATGGCTATAAAATGAATCGGCACACATACACACATACACACACACACGCACACATATGCACATACAGTTATAATGATATTCCGCGAGGGGGAGGGGATCGTAGGGGGGAAGTGCCACGTAACGGTGCGCTTGAACCGAGGTGATTTATTGCAACAAGATAGAATGGCCGCATTACCGGGGATGATTGGCAATTCTATCGTGAATGGACGCGTATTCGCGAAGGCCGCGAGATATTCCGCTTTCGCGCATATATAAGATCGCGCCATCAATCGCGCGGCAGCAGAGGCCCCCGCGCCGTAACACGCGGTTGACGGGAAACATTCGCCCGTCGGCCGCATTCAAGGTTGCACTCGATACGCTCCCCACGGTGCATACATATTTCACACGGAATATCGGCGCGGATATTCTCGCCGTCGCAATATGTATGCATCGCGTGACGGGGGAGGAAGAGGAGAAAAAAAGAGAGAGAGAGAGAGAGAGAGAGAGAGAGAGAGCGAACGAAAAGAGAAGCCGGAGACGAATGCAATATTTTTTTATTTTTTCTCTCTTTTTTTTTTTTTTACAGACAACAATCCCTGTCTCGAGAAGTATTGCGGCGCGGGAAGAGAGTGCCAAGTTTCCGCGGACGGCGAGAGAATCGTCGCGGTGTGCGTCTGCGTTCGAAGATGCGCGCGGAGGCATCGACCGGTCTGTGCGAGCAACGGCAGGGTGTATGCCAATCACTGCGAGCTGCATCGCGCGGCCTGCAACGTCGGGACGCGGCTGACCGCGCGAAGGCTCTCCAGATGTTTGAGCAATGGTGAGAACGCCGCCGCGGACGCCGGTCAGTACGTGTGTTCCCCTTAATTGCACCGCAACCCCGAGAGAGCGGAAAGACAGCTGTTCTCCCCATCGGAATCCGAGACGTGTGACTCGAATTTTATCCCCACTGAGCGTTTTTTTTTCCTTTTTGTTTTCTTTCGATTTTTACTTATCGTTATTCGCAATTGGTGTCAAGCGACACTATATGAAAAAAAGAAAGCAAAAATTTAAATTTCTGTAAACTCTTATTTATCTTCTTTTTTTCACACTGGGGAGAGGGAGTAGAATCTTTGAAAATAATATTATAAATATACTTATATAAATTCCAATTTTTGTGGTTGAATTCCGATTTCCTTTTATTGTGAGGTTCATTGATCTCTTGACTGTGCGCAACGAACCGCGCACCAGTCCACCTGATTTTATAATTGTCTGTCTATTTAATCTGTAATTACGGAATCCGTAGATTGTCTTTTCAGTTTTTGACGAACTTATCGGACTATTTATCTCAGACAGCTTGACATATTTGATTTAGCGAATAAATTAAATCTATTAATACGATATCACGCTCATTTCTCGGATACCTCAAATTGGTGAATTCGATGATATCTGAGACAAAATGAAATTGGCACACACGTCGTTGGGCAAAATTGACAAAATGTAGTTAGACTATATATATACAGACATCACGTGGAAGTGTAATTAGCAATTGAGTGTAATTTTCAAATTGATTCTCGCATTAAACCCGAATGGGGAATCACAATAGCGTATAAATCTCGTCTCAGACTCATCAAATAAAGATCGCTCGCGGATACCCTCCGCCCGATACTTCGAGGCTTCGATTCCGCTGTTTACTTTAAGAGAAAACCTCGATCTTTAGCTCACGAGCTCGCGAAACTTTGCTTTCATTATAAACTCAATAATAACTTGAGAGAGTTTTCTATTAATTTATGGCGACCGCTCAGTTTGTTAAGAGTAAGGACAAGAAAACAAAACAAAAAAAAAAAAAAGAAAAAAGAAAAGAGAAAAAAAGAAACGAGATGTTACGCGTGGGGAAAACTCTCTCCGAGAGAGTTTATGATGGAATGTCCCATCATTTCCAGGTAATTACAGCGCGCAGGCACGGAAGGATTTTCTCGCGTACCACGCTCTATCGAAGGACAAGAGTGCGCCGTACACCACCAAGACCAAGAACAAGATGAAGCATCATTCGGCGGGTAAATCGATCCCGCAAAAAAACAGCCACGAGGAGTGTTCGGCGCAGGAATACGAAATTATGAAAGTATGTCATCGATTTTGAATCACGATAATTTCCGATACGTACAAGAGAACGCGCGCGAGAATATCTGATGAAGATTTTTCGTTAAAAAACAAACCAAAAAAAAAAAAAAAAAAAAAAAAAAAAAAAAANACAGCCACGAGGAGTGTTCGGCGCAGGAATACGAAATTATGAAAGTATGTCATCGATTTTGAATCACGATAATTTCCGATACGTACAAGAGAACGAGCGCGAGAATATCTGATGAAGATTTTTCGTTAAAAAACAAGTCAAAAAAAAAAAAAAAAAAAAAAAAAAAACAGAAAAAGGAAGAAGCTTCCTCTCTTATCTCTTCTCGCGAATTACGAATACACGGCCCTGTTTTATTATTAATACCAACCGGAGCAACACGAAATGTAGCTTCGAAATGTAGCAACAAAGAAAAAGCAACCTAGCTGTGTACCTAGCGCGCGGGAACACATTTAACGCATTTGTTAGAAAGAAAAAAAAAATCTATATGTAAAAACTGTGCATACGAGTATAAATATATATAAATGAATTTGAAATATTTAGAAAGAGGGATGGTAAAGAAAAGCATGTTTCAATCTCCCCGCAGGATAATCTGCTCTTGTACAGTCACGCCAGATTAATGGCCGAGGATAATCACAGCAAGGAGTATTTGGTCAGCATCATGTTTTCTCATTATGACAGAAACAATGACGGTAATCTGGAACGGGAGGAACTCGAACAGGTGATTAAGCGTGGTGATTTTCTTTCGCGCGTTTTCTCATTAGAGTTTCCACATTTGTTTAAATAAAAGCATGTACGCGATAAGATTTATATTCGACGTTATTCTAAACACGGCGCGCGCGTTTCACCTCGTAAAACAAGATTTTTCCATCCGTGCACGCTGAGAGATACGCTTCTCTCATTCTCTCACCTCGCGCGCGCGAGGACAGCGGCTTTGTAACACCGCGGCTCAAGTTCGCTTGATATCATTCAGATCGCCAAGGAGGAAAACATGGAGGAACTGTGCGCCGGATGTAATCTTAGCCACATGATCAGCTACGATGACACCGACGGCGATGGAAGATTGAACGTTAACGAGTTCTACATGGCCTTCAGCAAGCTTTACAGTGAGTACCGTCTGCGTCGTTTATCACGAGGGATTTCATTTTATTTTTTTTTCCTTTGTTTGTCTTCGCGCGCGCGCGCGCGCACCGACGGCCGAGATAAAGACATTATTGTATTAAATAGCGCGGATATTTTCAAACGAGTTCAATTTTTCTTGCGACACTTTTTTTGCGCAAAGAAAAAAAAAAGCACGGATCGCGCAACCCTTTCTTATAAACATAGTCTTCCCGCATCACCGCATCACGCCGCCATATTTGTCGGCCAAGATAAATTACTATATTGCGCTCGGCGTTAACGGGCTTGATCTTTTATCGCGGCGATTTCGTATAACGATTAATCGTTCGCGATAATTTTCTTATGGTAATCCGTGTTATAACCGGTCTCCCAGAACGCATTGTCCGCGGACAATAGCGTCACCGTAAATTGTCAGACTCTGCACACGTGACCAGCACCGTCGTTGCCGTCGCGCGCGCGCGTGCATATATAAACGAGGCCGCGAGGAATTATTATGCAAAGTTTGCACGATGCTTCGCGAAACGATCGGCCATTCAATTTAGTCCGGGCTATACGTAACGCGGTAATACACAAAGAGGCGGACTTTCCTTTCTCTCTTTCTCTCTCTCTCTCTCTCTCTCTCTCTCTCTCTCTCTCTCTCTCTCTCTCTCTCTCTCTCTTTCTCTGTCTATCTATCTGATCTGCGCAGGTGTATCGGTGGTGTCGTTGGACAAATCCCTCGAAGTGAATCACATATCCGCGCGAGTCGGGGACAACGTGGAGATTAAGTGCGACGTCACCGGAACGCCACCCCCACCCTTGATCTGGCGACGTTACGGCATCGACGTGGAAACCCTGAGCGAGCCGGAGGTATTCCTGATCATGCGATAACTCGATCTTTCCCTCATTTACTGTTAACCCTCGGTAATATCGATAAAATTTTTGTTCAACACACACGAACGAGATATTACAATATCTTAGACAAAAAGAAACTTTTATACTATTTTTTTAAATCGATTTTAAAAACAAAAACGATGAGCGCGAATGATTTTTTTTTTGCAGATTCGCGTTTTCAACGACGGCAGTCTCTACCTGTCGAACTTGCAGCTCGAACACGCCGGCAATTACACGTGCCACGCTCTCAGAAATCAAGATGTGGTGCAGACTCACATGCTCACTATATACAGTAAGTTTTTGCGCGGACGAAGACAGAAATACGGAAATGTATAGAAATTTGAAAATTGAAAGAAAAATGCTATCTTATACATGTGTTAAAATATAATTCGTATTCTATTGAGAATGATAAAAAACTGTCCTTAAACCGTTCAGCCGTGCCCGAGGTCAGGGTAACACCGCAATTTCAATCCAAACGGCCGAAGGGGATCGCGAGAATGAGGTGCCACGTGGTGGGCGAACCTCTCCCTCGGGTTCGATGGCTAAAGAATGATAAGCCCCTGAGCGAGGATCAACCGGATAAGTACGAGGTGATCGGGAACGGTACCAAACTGCTAATCAGGAAAGTCGATTATGCCGATACCGGGGCGTACATGTGCGAAGCGACCAGCATCGGAGGCCTTACAAGAGACATCAGCAGTCTTGTGATCCAAGAAGAACCTACACCGAGTGAGTATAATACATATGTGTATATACGAACAAAATCTATATTTAAAAAAAAATATCGAATCTAAAAATTATATTTCTGTTAATTTCTGTATTTAAAGAAAAAACTCTTTTTAAAAACTTTTTTATTAACTTTTAAAAACGCAATATCTAATAAAAATAATATTTGTCAATAATTCTGCTTTCACGTTGTATGAATTATTCATTAGAATTTAAATTAACAATAAATTGGCCATTTGAATTTAATCGATATAATTAGAAAGTTGTAAAAACATTTATAATATATCTGTACCTATTATTATTCCGTTATCAATGTGATATTCGCGCGCGCACACACACACACAGTCGCAACGGACGAAGAGCGCAGATTCTTTTCCTTTCACGAATGGGGTATTTTGGTGTACGAACCCTCCACGTGTCACGCGTTACACGAAATTCAATCCACGGACATAATACCCGGCACCCAGGTATGCGAGAATCCAGTATCTTGTCTTTTCTACGAAGCTCTTTATTTGACGCTGTCACTTTATTGTATCCGTTTTCGTTTTTTTTTTTTTTTCTCGTACGTTTTTAGGAATATGTCTGCGGGCCGAAAAACGTTCCGTGCTCCTGGGGACGAGCCATAAACGTTGCCAACACGTACGTGTACGTCAGTCAACCGGACAAGGATCGGGTGCTGGTAATCAGCGAGGCGCAGATGATGATTATCGACGTGCGTATTATTTTTTCTTTCTTTTTTTTTTTTTTTTTAATTTCCATCGTAAGGTCGTGCACGGGGGAATGTAAGCGAGTGATTTTTGCATCAGGTGGTGGCCACGGACAAAAATCCCGTGGATTTGTGGTACTTGCCGAGCCTCGACTACGTCTGGGTGTTGAACTGGAGAAGCGAGATGGACGTCGGTATCAAGACCGTGCAAATCATCAAGGAAGCTGCCCAACGAAAGAAGCACCACACCATGCGACCCGAGCCCATCGACGCGCAATTCGATCTCGTTAAGGGCTTGTTCATCCCCCAGCAGCGAGTAAGCGTTTCTTCAACACGTGTTGAACACCACACAACAAACTAACAAATATATCTCAAATGTTATAAAATAAATTTGTTAATAAAAATTTATTCACAAAGATCAATTTGAGTTTGCGCTATGTTTTGAGAGAGAACCTCCCCCACGTGTGCTCACGAAATTTGTTTTCTCTTTACAGGACACGAAGCACACGTTCAAATATGGTTACGTGACGCACACGAATCAGCACGGAATGTACAAGCTCGATCTGACCAATATGAGATACACCCGGACCGTGAATCTGGCCAGCTACAACTGCGTACCGGCAAGCGTGGAATTTTCCGATCTTTGTGCGTAATATATATATATCGCATACTTCTCATTTTTATCCCTCACATCTTTTTTTTTTTTTTGGTTTTTTTATATCTTCAGCTCGCGTTTATTATCACTCAACGAGACCTTTATCTGTTTTTTTTTTGTTTTTTTTTTTTTTTTGGTTTTTTTATATCTTCAGCTCGCGTTTATTATCACTCAACGAGACCTTTATCTGTTTTTTTTTTGTTTTTTTTTTTTTTCCAGACGGTTTTGTGATACTGGAATGCGAGGAACCGATCACCGGACGTCCGACCGGCCAAGTGCTGTTGGATTATCTCACTGACAGCGTTCTCGCCCATAAAGCGAACATCCTGGGAAAACCGGCAATTTCCCCCGATTCCAGATATCTGGTTACCCTCGACAAACAGGACACCGGCGTCACTCTCGTGGTGCAGGAGATACTGCGTAATTAATAATTTTCCCATTTCATTTGTTTTTAGCGAGATCCGAGAAATTTTTGATGGAAATACGATATTCGAGTCTCGAACTTACATCGGATCGAACAATGAAACGCGAGAAGAATCTCGTATACACAAAGTTTGAGACGTGTTCACGCAATGAGATATACATTTCGTGTTGTATTTTTTGTTTTTCAGCGAACGGATTGAAATTCGCATTTGACGTGAAAACGACCTTAAACATCAGCGACATCGCCTTCTATCCGTCGCAAACGACGCACAGCTACGACATATACGCTTCGTCGACGGACAAAGAGGACATTCTATTTCTGGACTTAACCACCGGTAAGAGTTTCTTGACATTGCCCGTCGTTCGTGTTCGATTTCCAAAACTCTCGTATTGTTTACCGGATAAATTGCATCACTCCTCTCTCAGAGGAGGAGAGATACACGAGAGTACAAATTATCTACGTATAAAGTTACGAGAGACGCGAAACTATACAGTGTCTTTGTGTGTCTCAATGCGTTCACAGGTAAAGTGGAAATGATAACAGGCGTGGGAAAGGCTACACCGCCGCATCTAACCAAGTGGGGTAACCCGAATAGACCGATAATACAAAGCGGTATATTTGGTCGATACATGGTAAGCCCTTCCAACCAGGCGCTCTTTGTTCTCAACGGGGAAACCCGCACGGTGAATTGCGAGATTGGTGGCCTTATACATCCCGGCGCGATTGTCTGGTTCACTGTTTCGCTGCGTTAACGAATGTAGCTTTGCAACGACGACAATATGAGAGAGAGAGAGAGAGAGAGAGAGAGAGAGAGAGGAATGACGTACGTATATAAATTGTGAACATACAGAAGGGTCCGAGGATGCGGATGTATACAATATATCGGAGTGTCGAGCAACTTCAGACGAAAATTTAAAAAGACACACGTTAGAGATAAAGCACGGCGCTACTTCGGAGGAAGCTCTCTCGTCTTTGCGAGTAGTTATTTTCAGAATTGATACCGGACGTTTGCGCGCAACTGCTCGCTGTGAAGGAAAACAGCGACGAGATTAATCGAAACATCGAAGCGCAAATAGAAAAGGAGATAGAAATTATTTGCACAAGAAGTGAGAAATAATAATATTTTTCAATTCTCGATTTCGAAGACCAACGATTTGTGAGATTTTACGAAGACAGTTGTTACATCGCGCTTCAAAACGTCTCTTTTATATCGGAACATTTTTTCTAAATACGGACGTATTAGTAAGTTTAATTAATTAAAATTGCCGTAATTTCTTACAATTGTCCCAACTTTTCGAAAGACGATCAATTTTTTGGTGTAAATTATAACAAATTGTTCCGAATGTAAAATATATGCCATATAAATTGTTACCAGTACATATCACTCGTTAACTGCCAACTTGTTGAATATCACTACTAACGTTGTTTTCTTGTTTACGCGAGCAGTTGTACAAAAATTATCCACGAATATGAGTTGAAACAAGTTGTGATATTTACACTGAAATCGAATTTCAATTGAATAAGCAAACGCTTGACGATTATTTCCTCCGTGTTTATTCAGACGCGCGCATGCGATATAAAAACAGAAACCATTAATAATTGATATAAACTATTTTTTTCTGTGTTGTGTCTGCACACGATCGGAAATTCAATCTCAGCTTTCTTCTTTCGCAAAATTACTACAAAAAATTTAAAGAATATAATAAAAACACACAGTTCTGAAAATATCTAACTTAAGACAAAGGCTTTGCATTATATATACATATATCATTGAGCGCGCGTCTCAAGAGCGATAAAAAACGATAAAAAAATAAAAAAAAAATAAATAAATAAACGACAAAAAGATGGCCGTAATAATGAAGCCAGGGAAGAGTTTAACGATAAGCTAATACGTAATTTAAATATAACATAAACATTGTGTAAACAAGCTATTATTAAATTATAAATGACGAAATAATGTGCATGTAGGGCAGATGCACCAGTGAGAGAAATTGCAAGATTGGAGAAGAAAGAGAGGGATGTTAATTAAATAATTTTTCGGTAATTCCTTTTTCGTAAACTATATATACGAAAACTATATGCAATTTCGTTGTGTTGATTATATCGTTTAGCGATAGCGTATAAGAGTTGAAATTTTAAATGTTGTCTATTTTGCATCGAAGATGACTATTTAACACGTTAGAAGTAATAAAAGAGAGAGTAGAAGTTTGTGAAACTGCTATTATTACATATATTACAACTCTCTGTACTTTAAGTAATAAGTGTATGATATTTTTATTATATAACTGTATAATAATAATATATTACCGTAGTTTCTGTTTTAGATAAAAAAATAATAATAATAATGATAATATTTGAATTATATAACTTTATATACGTGTAGGTATAGAAAAGAGTAACGAAAAATCACGATGTGTTTATTTAACACACAAAAAATTATATTCGCTGATACACCTACCCTACGATAAAGAACTCGTGTGAATGTACAATGCATTGTGTGCACTGGGAGGTACGAGTACAAATATTACAAAAATAAGTATAAATTCGGCAAAAAAATTGTGTAAACAATTATATACACACACTTGATAGACAAAATTTATACTTACCGTGTTAAAAATTACATTGGCGTCTTTTATACAAATATACAAATTTAGAAGAGAAACCGCCACTGTGACGGATAACATAGTGGCGACATCTTTTTACAACTTTGGAAAATGTCCTCAGTACTCTTAAGCCACGAACACACGAAAAAAAATTGAGCAAATCAACCAATCGCAGGTCGGCGTAATTCTCTCCAATGACCCAACCCACGTTCAAAAGAATGTCGGCCTGTGATTGGTTGAATGGCGACAATACAAAATAACCACAAACAAGCAATTATACAACGAATATACGTATATCGCACTACGCAAATTTTTTATTGGTAAAATAGAGTTTCAACCATTTTTCAAATTCAGTTTAACAAACATAAAAGAACGTAAGTATCGCGTTTTTCAACAAAGACAAGAAGCTGAAGACATTAGAAAAAAATATATTGCGCATAAATGTAAAATATAAAAAAAGACAACAACAATAAAATCTCTCGTTTCTAAAAATTGTTTTCCTGCAAGAAAAAAATCATTTTCATAAATGTGCTATTCGATATGTGAGTGCGTACGCTCCAGTGACATTCGCGCGAGTTCGCTACATTAATAATAATTACGAGAAGTGGGCAAATGTGTTAGATTCTTTCGTAATCCGAGAAAACCGCTATTTAAATGTGGAGACAGTAGCCGTTGTTTTGTACCAGAGATGTTGGAAACCGAATCGATTTTCACAATAAATTATCGCATAAGAAGTGTTTGAAAGCCGATTCGGATTGCAATCCAAGAGTTAACGCGATGCATGTTATACACAAAAAAAAATTTATATAGCATAATCCGAAACGCGCGTGTATGAAACATCAGTGTTACACCGATTATACATGTTGAGATTACTCTGCGACTAGTATCTTGTAATAAAATTGCAATATGAACTAATTTAATAAATAATCCGTAAACGTAATTGCACTTTACCATGTATATTCCGCCTTTCTCTCTCTTTTTTTTTACAATCTTTTTCTCGCGCGTATAACAAGGTATTGCGTGCGAAAGAGAAATCAGATTAAAAAAAAAAAAACGAAATTTTGTTTTTCGCTGCTAAGCAAAAAATTTGCTCTCGCTTTTCCGAGAAAGACAATATGACGTGGCGCAAGTATATCTTTTGTCGTTGACATGGGTAGTTTTTTTTTTTTTTTTAGTCCAAGTTCGATTTGAAGTATGACGTTTGTCTTTATTCACTAATAAATTACGTGTCTTATAGAGAATTCTTGAGTTCTACAGAGTTTTTTTTTTTTTTAACCATCTACTGTACAAATTCGACGTACGTTTACAATATATGCAGTACAAATACGTTCAGTTCTCTCGGAATCCGCGAAATGAATCAGGCCTAAGCTGCACGTCGACGCGGAACGCCATCCAACGAAATGTCGCTCCGCGCGAAGAACAAAGTTTGTTTCCTACTTGTTGTCGAAAAAAAACCGTGTGCCGACCTCAACGCACAAGACAATACCTATCAATATTTCGCAATAATCATTCGCGCGCAAATCGATACACGATGCGTCTCGTGTATCGATAGTACGCAACGCGCGTTCCAACAAATGTACATCAGCGAACATCCGGAAACTAAGGGAACTCGCGTTAACGAACATTTCGGTCCCCCTTATTCTGTAACCGTTAACGAGAAAACAAATTTCGTTATCGTTGCGCAGCTATTGTGCGATGTGTTTTTAGTATCCGCGCAAAAAGACACACAACGCGCACGCATTTTGTTTACAAATGCGTTACGAAGTTACAGAATAGATCAACTGGAATTGTACGCGAATAAACGTCCACGTAACTGAGTATTTATACTATAAAGATAAACTCGTTTCTAGAGAAGAAGGTAGGAGTTGTATGCTCTCAGGGAGACGCAGGGAGAGGGGAGGGCGCAACCAAAAGGAATAAAACCTGTGAAACTTATAAGATATGCGAACGATCCGTAAAGGAAAACGCGCGTGGAAGAACGCAAATGTCAACCCCTCCCCTTGTTATTTTTTTTTTTATTATGTTTTTTTTTTATCCTACCACAACTGTCCTTTTTCTCTCCGATCGACGTGTTCTATCGGCTAACAAGTTCGACACACCACTTGTTATATATTGCACGGTTTTAAGTTGGTCCCTTGTCGACTATAAAACAATATATACGCATTGCTGAAGTCCTCTTCTTGCGGTTTCTGCCTGCTCGTGATCTCGTCATTATAATAATACCACACGTCCGTGCGAGGATTTTTCGCGTAAGCCGTGTAATGACCCGCCGACACACCTGAAATTTCATTCGTTTTTACGAAACATATGTTCACAGTCTCTGTACCTACATTCAAATAAGTAAATTGAAATGAATTATTTCATGAATTTTCTAAACGTTGATACTTTATAATTTGTTTATCAGTCGTTACATTACTTGACAAAATAAAATGTTACTTCGAAGAAAAAAATACTGCTCTGAAAAAACATAAATAAAACATGCCATATGAAATGTAAATACATGTACGAAGCATTCCATTATCGTTCTATATATATATGTCGCTTATTGTACACAAATAAAATGCGTTTTCCATATACATAATTACAATGTGTTTTCACTCATATATAAATTTATGCAAAAAAAACACTTTATAGAAATTAAAATAATGTAAAACAATAAGACGTATGTGGTTACGAGAATTTTCAACATAAATTTATAAAAATCAAAATTAATTACGTAAATGACATATATTGTGTTTGGATGCAACACAAGCTTTTACGCACCTCCAAAATGACAAACGCAGGCATAGAGATCATAAAGGTGGCGTCCCACACTCAGACCCACCAGAGGGAATGTGACCTTGTCGTCTAGCTTCATGCTCGCGCATTCATAAAACACAAATCTACAACCAAGAAGATGCTTGAATCTATCCATGACAATATAAATCATCCATTACAAGATACTTTGTCGCGATCGCGAGAGTCTGTAGAGCATTTTTCGTAATTGATTTCTGTTTTTTTTTTTTATACCTACCGTTTTAGATATACAATAAGGAACTTGGGATATCGATGTACCGTGAGTGTTTTCGTGGCACATTGGTTACGCCCACATTTCGGACAAAACCAAGGATTATGTTCGTCTAGAGTTTCGCTATAAGTATCACACAGAAAAGATTCGTATATTAAATACATGGCAAATATTAATAAAAACAAAACTATAAATATATGTGTGTATTTTAGTATGCACATTTTAAAATTATATTCTCAATATATTTTGCGTGTTTTGTAACATCTGTTAAATTCACTTAAAAGTTAACATTAATCAATTACCTTTGACTAAACGCTTGAAGGCAATCGTAAAGAGATAGTGGATGATGTGGACGTTGCTTACTGACACTAACGTGATCGATAGGATGTTGAATCTTAGGAACATATTCGGTATAACGAACTGCAAGCGTATCACCGTTCTGTAGCGCGACCATTCCCGTTTCAGGCACGCTACATCCTGTACAATGCGCGGTGTACATGCATCGCGAACAATGATGACCCTGCAAACATGTTTTTTGTTTCTTTTTGTCTCGATTTTAAAATTATGTATAACTTAATAAATTGTTTTAATATTTTTTTCAAAAAATTTGTAACTTCCTTGCTATAAAATATTTAAATACTTAATAGTATAGTAAAAATATCTCACCTGTCCGTCAACAAAATGGATTGTATAGTGACCTTCGTGAGGCACGTTTTTCTTAACGACTTCATATAAATCACGTGCGTTCACTCTCGACGGAAGCCGTATCAGATGCGGATAATCGAACAGCTTCGTGCTCTTGCGGTTGTTCGTCGTTTCATTCGTTGTGTCGTGCCTCAACACCAAAGGTACGTTCAGAATACGTACTGTAGGTCTCGGCCGACCCGTCTGGTCTATCTTCGTAAACGACGATGCTGTCATATACGTGGAACACATCGGACACGGTTGAGGTTCCGTTTGATTCTTGAAGTAATTCTATCAAACACAAAGAGCTTTGGGCTTTGATTTGAGTTTACGCAGTGTGATTACTGTTTTATTGAAAAAAAATAAAATGTGAAAATCACAAAAACCCTCAGTGTACAGCGGCAGTGTCAGATTAGTCTGAATTGAGTTCCAGGTATGAAAATAATACCTGGCTTGTAGATTGGACTAAAAAAGCGGGTCATACAAGCTTCCACTTTCCTGTTTTCCGATCATCTCTGCTTTGATAAAAGCGTCCCTGACATTCAGAGAACAGGAAACTCATTTCTGGTTCCTGTACGTATCGTTGTGATACCGTCCGTCTAGAACGTTGACGACCTTTTCTCAGACCTTCCCGGGGTGAAAATAATGACAACGTGTGCCTCGCTTGTACACCCCTTCCACAAGATTGACACTGCCACTTTCATCATTGGGTAGAGATCGAATACGATTTAAAAAAAGAAACCAACGACTTTAATCTCTGACTATAAAAAACGTGATTTCTAAATTTATACGATTGTCATATTTTACTCAGCTTCAAGAGAAAATCGCGGAGGTAACTTTAAATATATTTTAAAAACTTCTTATTAAAAATACAGAAATTTTATATAACACGTGTGTACTTTCTCTCAAAATCGCACAAATTATATAATTGGAAACACAGCGAGAGAGAAATTTCGCAATTTGCAACTGCATTTAAAACGACCGGACTCACCTCGATGCACATATCGCACATGATGATGTTACAGTTATTTCCGCTGTGCTTCTTCAAGTCGCCGTCCAACTCCTCGAGACAGATCATGCACGGCACCTCCTCGCCCGTGACGGTGCATTTCTGGCAAGAGTCCGTCTCCGCTGGACGATCCCCACCGCCATCAGGTACTGAAGTGTACGCGTCGGGAGGTTCCGTGAGTTCAAAGGCGTATATCGATCGATTCGTATCATTGACGTGTCTCAAGAGTGTATTGTCGTCCTTAAATTTAAAACCTTGATGTAGAATCCAACAGAGAGTGATGTCTCCGCCTAAGTACGATAAGCTACAGCAAGCAAGTAATTCCCGATACCTACGGTGCAAGGGGAAAATAATATAGTCAAAAAGCAACAGCCGTGAAAAGACTGGCGGCGTGTTTTTTTGGCGCAAAAATCATAACGAAGGGAGTGAGAACAAAAGGAGACACCCGAGATAAAGGAAAAAAAAAAAAAAAATAACAGGAAAACCGAACAAGTAGAAGAATCAGTTCAGTGAATCTGTGTAAGATGAAATGTAGCCCCGTAACTATACTTCACGCTACGAGAATGTTCTTTCATAAAATGTTCTTTAGGAAAGCAGTATCGGCGATAATCGAGCCTAATCGATATACCACCTTCTTAACTTTCCAGGTTAGGTATTATTTCTTAACGGTATGGTTAAAACACGCATGAGACTTAATTGCGACACGACAATCGAAAGAACGCATTCTTGCGTTCTTTTTCTATCAAACGATAACAGTATATTTCTAATTCAATCTACAACGACATAAATAAATCCATCGCAATTATTGTTAACACATACGGCACAATATATATATATATATGTTCGTCAGATCATACTTTCTCAAACAATCCACACACTGCAAAATATTATCACTAATACAAAACCAAAAACAAACTGTTAAACCTTAGGTTTAGAATTAAAAATTATATTAAACAAATATTTCTTTTCGGCGTACCTACCAGAATCTTCGCTATGTGATTCTCCAGAACCTCCGCGAGTGCGATATTCGTCACCGAAATATTCTCCTTGCCTAGTGTCTTTAATAACTCTTCCTTCAACTTCCCGACACGAGACTGCTTGTTTAAGGAAACGACGCATCTTATGGGCTGTTCTCCGTTCGCGGGAATATACGTGACGTTTAACTGCCTCTCCATAGCGTGAGGCAGCGGTACCGACAAATACATAAAAGGTTCGTACGTAACGGAAATGTGATTACAGACCGAGCAAACGACCTGTAACACGTTCGAATCAAAATTTGATTAACAGAGAAGATAAGACGAGAGTGCTGTAGATACACATAATATTTGGAAAAAAAACTATAAATAATGAATTGTAATAGTAGAATGAGTCATGCCTGTGATCTCATTCACGAGGCACGGTGGAAATCCACTATGATTTAATCTGGGAGATTTTATACAGCAAGTACCGACGATTGACGGTATCGCCCCAACGTTTTAATCTCCCCCAATACAGATGTACTACATCCGTTGTGTATCTTACCGTGCTCTTAAACTGGCCTTGAAAGGTGTCAACAATGATACTCCTGTTGGATCGCAGATGCTTCACCCAATGTTTGTCCGCCTCGATCTCCTCTTGCGCGGCTATAGCGCCGTTTCCGTAATTCTGCGGGATTCGCGCGCACTGAGTGCTCTCGCTACCAAGACCGTCGTGCTTGTGATTCTTCTCTTGATCGTCCAGTCTCATTCGTTTCACGTTACACTTTTCCAAACCGCTATCGTACTCGATGTCGCTCGACGCGTGATCGAGACTGCCGTTTACCTTCTGAACGTTCACCTCCTTTATGCGCTTGATGCTGACGCTCTTATTGTCAAAATCGTGATTCTCCATTAGATTCGAATTGTCTAACGGCATCCTGCGAACATTTTCCTTGGGAAATTTCTGCGAGTCGTAATGGATCTCGTTATTACACTCTTGTTGTGTTACTAGGAAATTGGCATTACTGGTCTTGGCTTCTTTGTGAATGTCATACAAGCCGTTGTACTGCGGCACGTTTTTCGACAATTCTATCAACGTGTCCAGTCTCAACGATCGCGACGAGGTGACGTCGCTTGTGCCCTCCTCGTTCACTTTGTTGTGAATAAAAGTGCTCGATTTCGCTTCGACGGTCTCGTCTGAATCGAGCGTCTCCTCGTCGTCTTCGCCATTCAACGGCGAATCTCTCGGCGAATTCGTGATACTGTCAAGCTCGCCGATCGACGAATCGAAATCTAGATAACATTGAAAAGCGAGATTGAAAATAAAAACATTTAAGATACAACTGCGCGCGCACGTAATATGAAGAATTCCCGTACCTCTCGGCGAGCCGGCCATAGTTACGTTCGGACTATTCGGGCATTCTGGCGACAAGCATTCGTACATGTCCAAGAGATCGGAATTACAATTTGAGTTGGCCGTGGCAGTGACGGGAGAAAGGGTCTTTCCGCTTGAATTTTCAATTGAATTAAAATTGGCAGTGGTCGAGAGCGGAACTTGACAATTCTTGGCACACTTTGCCGTGTTCATTTGTTCGTGGAGGGAATCCAGCAAAAGCGCCAGAAACTCTTGACAGTCGTGCTGCAATACACGAATCTTTCAGTACCAGATACCAAATAATGAATTATTATCGATCACATGTGTCGCGAATTGCACAAACTTACCTGTCTATAATCCTTAAATTGCGAATGGTAGGCGCCTAAAGTTTGCTTAAATTCTGTCGGTCTGAGCACGCTGTATCTTCCAGACCACATTTTCCCGAGAAGTACACTAAAGTGCGCCATTAGTGATCCAGGTGGCGGCACTTTTTCTCCTTTCTGCTGTAAATCCAAGAAATGTCGTAGAACAGGAGGAGTCGCGGTCAAACATTGCAACCCAGCTGCCATAAAACAGGTATTACCCAAATTACGAAGACCGCACACGCCTGCAGGCAGGATAACTACCTCTAAAATTTTTCGTGAACAAAGATGTTACACACACGCTGTTATGTGTTTTGCACAGTATGGGTTTATCACGTAATAAACTTACCCATGGGCGAGTCATCGTGAGAATCTCCAGCTTCCGCAAAAAGATTGTTAAGTGCTGGTGTGCCAGGTGGCAGGAAAGGACCATGCTCTATGCCCGTTCCGGAATCGATAGGATCGGCCCCAACATCCGAGAAATCACTTAATCCCGATGGCGGTGGAAGGGGAATTGCATAATCTGACGTTGAACTATTCGCTTCGGTCCTAATACAATACGATAATAAATAGACTCTAACAATCTCATAGACTCTGTCACAAAATTACACATAGAACAAATAAATTGTACCATGTATCCTCAATGCCCATGTTAACTTCGGAAAGAGTTTTTTCCTCTTGCAGCGTGAGAGCTTGATCCAGAGAAGAGGTTAAGGGACTAAGACCAGTGGATTCTAATACATCCGATATTTCTGGGACGTCAGGTAGGTGAAAAATTCCAGATGTTCCAATCATTGAAATATTTTCAACCTCGGAAACATCTACCTTATTGTCCATTCAGATAGTAAGATACTGGACACTGTCTAAAACAAGACAAAGGTTTCTCTTGCACATGTATTATTGATTTTCCAAATCTTAATCCATGTTTTATATATATGCAAGTAGCTATAAATCAATAGAAGTAAAAAAAAAACTATGTGTGTGTGTGTGTACGCATGTTTGATCGACTTTTAACAATATAAGAGAACATGTATTATTACAAACACATTAGTTTTACTATATATATTACTATATATATTTCATGTATATAAAGTATACAAAATTAAAAATCAAATAGAAGACTGTGTGGTTTCTATTTTTACATGTTTCTTTGTGCTAATTAATTTCGATGACTAATATCTGCTGTGTAAATCCAAGTCTAATGATATAACACACACAAAGAAAACTGCAAACTCTGTTGTTTCACAACTGTTGTGAAGTTTTCGTTTGAAATTGAAATAAATATATTACCAAAGCACTGAGAAAGAAAACAAATTTGGAAGAGACGGGAAACGAACACGGATATATATATATACAATACGTGATGCGGAGAGATTGCGAGAGATAGAAGAAACGTATCGTTTCCCGCGAAGAGCGGGAAACTGTTAGGTGGTCTAACGGAAGTTCGTTATTTGAGCGGCGATACCGCAGTTTTTTTCACTCGAGTCGCATTATTTCGGCGTGGCTCGCGATAAACAAATGGGGAGCGACTCGGCCGTTTGTACTCGTCACGTCCTTGAGCGAAAAGAGAAAGAGAGAGAGAGATCACGAATTTTCACAAACAGCACGCTCGTCGATGTTGCACGATACCCGCCGTGTCATCCTAACCTGATACACACCTCGCGATTCCGCGCAAACACGCAATACGCATCTCGTATCGCGCGTGCGAAAGACGACGAGCCGTTTATTATCGACACAGGTCCGAGATTTCTTCCGAGGTAACGGAGATATTGGGCGTGCGAAATCTGACGAATCCAGTTCAATATGGAAGAGAGAGCGAGCGAACGCGATTTCTCGAAAGTACGGGCGGGCAGCGGAACGGATTGAAGTTTGTCGCGGGCGCGTCGTGACGCCGCATTTGCCGCGTCGGCGAACGCCGTCGTCGATCGGCCACTTCGGTTGAGAGACCGTGGCTGGGCATCGCGCGAGAAAAAAAAAACCGATGCACACAAAATCCAAAGAGAATTTCGATTACTTACACCGTGAGAAAGCCGAGCCTCGCGCCGAGATGTCTACACCGCCATTGTAGCGCACGGCATGGCCGTAAGATGCGCGCGGGATGAAGATTCGTCTACGGCGCCTCAGGAAATGAACGTGTTTTTGAATCTAACACTGCGCTCTAACCATTACCACGGGATGTTGCAACGATCATGGCGGTCGCCGCTTGACGACAAATGATCGTCGAGAAGGAGAGAGATGGCGCGGCACGAGATTCCGGTTTTCTCCAACAGTCGCGCGTGCGCACGTGCAGTTCTCGTGGAGTGTAGCGCCATCTTACGTTTCCGATGCAAAAAAAAACGACTTTTTCAAGTTTCCCAACAGTAATTTTACGTGAGATGAAAAATTATCAATTTTTATTTAATATTTAATATAGTTAATATACAGAGTGTCTGACAAATTTTAATCAAGACGAAGGAGGGGGGGGGTAGATTAGAATAATGTGAACCTGAATTTTTTCTTAAATTGAAAATCATACATACACGTCTGCGGAATCCGGATCATCGCATCCCACGTGCTCTTCTCGCGCGCTCACATGTGTTAATTAATTAATCCAATCACTATTGCAATCAATTTTGCAAATACGTGACTTTTCCGGTTCAGATTAATCCGATCTACTTACTTTCATACTTCAGCTTCGAAATTTGTCAGACACTATATAGTTAATATGTATGTTAACAGTTCGTATAAATTGTTATGATGATTTAATGTGCTAGTGGAACGCGTAATTTACATTTGCGTGTAATAATTTCTGATCGTATGGTAATATACATTGAATTACATGTAATTTCGTTGACAAGTGTAAACGCCGCATGTGCGTGCAGCTACATCTTTACAGATCATTACTAAGTAAGCTAGTAAAAATATTCAATAAAAATATTTAACATTTAACAAACATTTGCTGTTTTATATTCGAACTGTAGATATGAATAATTTGTAAATTAAATTTTGTCTCGAAACTTATTTAGCATAAAGTATAAACTCGAAAACATTGATTAGAAATGATTAAGTAACTTAATCGATATATTCACCGATAATATAACTTTGTTTTTTTATTACTAAGTACTCGTTTATTCGACCAAAATGTTACATTAAATAATTATAGCAAATCTCGTTTAAACAACCTTTGTGTTATTTTTAGTTTTCCATTTGATATAAAAAAAAAGTATATATATACAGGGTGTCCCAGAATTGCCGTACAATCTGTCGTAGGCAGGTAGAAGGAGTAAAATTGAGTCGAAAAGTCCTGAACCATTTTTCTCTATTATTTATAATAAAGGAGTAATTATTGAGTAAATCAGGCCAATCAGAGCAGACCTTTAGCCAGACGCGCGTCAGTGAGCCGCGCGCCTGGTGTGTGGGATGCGCTGATTGGCCTGATTTACTCAATAATTACTCCTTTATTATAAATAATANAAAAAAATGGTTCAGGACTTTTCGACTCAGTTTTACTCCTTCTANCTGCCTACGAGAGATTGTACGGCAATTCTGGGACACCCTGTATATATACGTATATAATTATACGTTTTCGATTCTGAATTTCAAAAATGCGGTCACACAACTCCATGACCAAACAAGACAACAGTATGTGAAGCTTTTTATAGTTCATTAATTTTCGCGACTAAAGAAGATTCTAGTTAGATGCCGAAACGTTTCGTGAACTCTGTGAAATTTCAAGAAATATATATTGCACCAACACCTTCATCGCTCGTTATTGAGCTTTATTTCAACTACCTGTATTTAACTTAACCTAACAGTATATGAAATATATCTTGACAATCCTCTTTTTCATTTTAATAGATTGCGACTATGAATTTTTGTGTCAGAACTTTTATCGCTCGTTTTTTGCTTCGTTCCATGTGATCCATTTTTTTTTTCTTGCATGATCCTAAGCATAAGGTAATTTGTCCGCGCTTAACATGTACTAAAGTTTTTTCACTTAAGATTGCTTATTTAAGATTTATTTGTTTTTTCTTGTGTTATGCTTATTTAAGATTTATTTATTTATTTTTTTTTTTTTTTGTAAATCGTAAAAATTGTTTTTACATATTTTTTCATCTTGGTTTCTACGACACACACGATTCTGCATAAAAAGTATTGTATGTGTTTACGCACGCATGTATAATAACATGATATACATAAACGTCGATGTCCGTTAGTCGACAGTATTCTTTCGTCACTTAGGTCGGTTGGGCTCCGCGATTCGCACGCACGCAAAATGTGGTAGTAACAAACTCGCTATCTCGCAAAACTCTTTATCTCGATTAAGGTGTTAAAGATTCGGTCAAGTTGTTAACGTTATCGCAAAGAAAGCCTTGCTGGAACGAGCATCTTGTTTTGTTTCGTTTGCTCGCACGTGTGCAACGCAGTAAGAGAGAAGAAAAGAAATTTAGAAAGAGAACAGAGGAGAAGTGAAAAGAGTGAACGCACGCGCACATCCACACACACACACACACATTGCTCTAAAGTGGCAACGCGAAGATTTGCAATCCTATATAAATTTCACCTCGTTACATTCATTACGCTAATATTGTGACGTCGAGACAGTATAGAAACAGAAGAATGTCGAGACAGAATGAAGTCTACATGACTACCGTAAGGTTCATTCTTGTTTTTAAAACTGAGCGCGTTTAATTTTTAGAAAATTTAATAACTTTATTCGGAAAAAAATTCCCCTCACGTACGAACGCGATTTCCACATCTGATTATGTATATTTATATACTGTCTACATCTAGTTATGTATAAATTATATACTGTATCATACAATGCGAAAGAGAAATTGTCCCAATTTCATATCAAGAGATACGGACAGTATCAACCCTGATAGGAAAACATTTACAAAATTATGTGACAAAATCTTGCACTAAAATTATAATTTGCAATTAAACAGATATATTTTAGAAAATAGATGTAAAAACATTGATCTTTTATAAATTATTTGTAGTTGTTTGCAAATTTACTTTGCAAATACTATTTCGTCAAAAGAATAACGATATGGCGAAATCATCTTAGTGCAATTATTGCAGGATCGTCGTTATTCATGATGCCAGTTTTGTACAATATTTTCACAATTTGCCTATTAGGGAAGTGTATGCGCAGCGATGTAACCGACCGTAATCGGACAGTTCAATCGAGCTGTCAAAAACTTTGTATATCTCAGCAAAACTAAAATAATTAAATTTTAGCCACCTGATTAAATTCGTGTCAATCGAAAGCTGAGATTTTAACACGAAAAGAAACTGGGTTTTTTTTTTTTTTTTCATGTCTAATTGGGTTTTTAATGACACGAATAAGATAGATTTTTAATACAACTGTTTCATAGATTTTGGTTTGGATTTAGATTTATGAAATATTTTTATGTGTACACACACACACATTGAAATTTATTTAGTCGGCTTTGGTGGCCGAATTAGGAAAATGTTTGCACGGAGTGCGGAAAATTCGGAATCTGGTTAAGGTGTCTTTTTCGCAATGTGTGTCTTTTTCACAATTTTTTAATTTCTATGGGAGAAAGAAAGAAGTAAATTAGGTATTTCACATATAAGTGATGCATCTTATGTGAATTTTCGAATTAAATTTAATTCGAATTTCTATGTGTATTAATGTTTAAGAAAAGTAACAATAAATATATATTGCACGTATCCGAGTCGATCTACCTTAATGCTTAGTTGTAAACTTCATAAACATCCTTGGTTTTAATTGTCTCACTCATGCACAATTCATGTATGATAATCACAAATTAAATACAGTATACATTTTCATCAAGTTTAACATTGGAAAAAACCGGCAAGATTCGAGCAGATCTATTTGATGGAGATTTGCGAAGCAGATCTGCTCGGAATTTGATGCTAATTTTTTGACGGTGACATAATACGTATATAGTAGAAGAGATCTGTCATCCTCCCTCTGATAACATCTCTCAGATCGGATTTACAGATTAGACTCGGCTTTGTTCGATATTTTACTCGAACTTCTAGCCAATCTGTTCGCAGTTTGTTAGCAATTCTCATAGTACTAGATATCTTTTCTTGCTTACTTTTTTGTAGTAGAACCACGTACGGTATTATTACACGGTATATTATAGCTGTCAAACCTTGACTTATGACCTATTTGTGTATTTATTACGTATTACGTTTCGCGCGATGAAAGAAAATTCCGGAATATTTTAGCCAAACCCTTACGAAAAAGAACTACTGCCGATTACATATAAATAAAGTCAGTAATATAAATATTACTGACAATCACATAAGAATATTATTAGATATTACAGGAATCACTGAGAATATTATTGGCAATTACACAGAATGCCAGTAATTTTTTCGTACCACTGCCGCAATATATTACTGCCAGTAGTTCTTTTTCGTAAGGGAAGCCCGAGACATGAGCTATTAATAGCTCAATAATAAACTAAATTATTCCGCTTCGAGATATTCAACAATTTGTTGCGAAGATCACATATTTCAATGTCAAGAGAGAGCACTTTAGCTTTTTTTGGTCATATTTTAAACTTTTTTTTTACACACTTTGTCTTCTATTCAATTCTTATTATCTTCTTATTGTCTTTAACTTTTGATTGATTTAGTGTTTTTTTTTTTTTTAAGACAGCAACATTACGCAATTGAATGAGACAAGATAAATATTTTCAATGTGGAAAAAATGTGTACGCGCATAAAACATTAAACAAAACATATAAGTGTACGATTAAAAGTACGATACAAGAATTAACTGAGAAGGAATTACACACACCTAATCGTCTTATGCAATTCCAGCCCGAACTGATTGAAGCTCACGGTTATATAGCGGAAACTCATCAGGTTTGGACCAAAGATGACTATTGTTTGCGTGTGCATCGTGTAATTTCGCCCAACGATCGGGTATCATCAAATAACGACGTTCTCACAGACACCGATACATCGGCTACCGATAATAATGCAGATGATCAGTCAGTTCCTCTCAACTGCAATCAAGACGTTCGCATATCCTGTACAGGCTTAAAATTACCAATTCTTCTCAATCACGGACTCCTATCCAGTTCCGCAGATTTTGTGCTGCTAGGACCTCGTAGAGCTCTCGGTTATTATATATTTTTGTCATATAAATTTCTTCTTAATTTGAATTGTATTTTTTATTTCGTCTTCTCTTTCTTTTTTTTTTTTTTTATTTCTTATTACTCGGTGGTAAAATATCTTTTAACAACTAAGATATTGAATTTGTTTTTATTACGACGCAGCGTATTTACTTTGCGACAATGGATTCGACGTCTGGCTTACAAACTGTCGTGGCAACACGTACTCGAAGCACCACAAGTTTTATTCACGCAAAGACAAAGAATTCTGGAACTTCAGGTAATGAAACAAGTGTAGTAGATAAAAAAAAAAAAGAAAGCAAACAAAATAAAAAATATAGAAAAGCAACGATATGTACATGTAATACATTTTTCTGTTACAGTTTCCATGATATCGGATGCTATGACTTACCCGCAACGATAGATTATATTCTCGAGAAAACTGGTCATTCTAAACTGTACTTTATTGGTCACAGTCAAGGCGCAGCTTCATTTTACATTATGGGCAGTGAGAAACCCGAATATATCGCGAAAATCAAGGGAATGATTAGTTTGGCGCCCGCAGCATTCGTAGGAAATCAGAAAAGTTTGCTGTTGAAATATATCTCATATTGGCGCAATATTTTAGAGGTAATGTTTTGCATTTTTCGATTCTTATCTTATAGTTTTCTTACAACATATGCAGACGTTATACATCACGAGCGTATGTGGTTTTTTTTTAGTGGGGATTTGATGCATGCAATATGTATCAGGTTTTTCCTAGGTTCAATAAGTGGCAAACGAATATATTGAGCACTTTTCTGCACAAAGCTCCTTACGTGGTGACCAAAAGCATTTACAGTACATGGTTTTATTTTCTTGCTGGATACGGTAGCAATCAATTCGAAAAAACTATGGCACCTTTGATATTCGCACATTTTCCGGCGGGAGCTTCGTCCAAGCAATTGACTCATTACAATCAACTGATATACTCCAGTGAGTGAACTAATGTCGAGTGATGTATTGTAAAACACAACATACTGACTCTTCTATTTTCTAACTTAAAAATGAGGAGGAATATATTACGTACGATTTGCTTTTTGCAGAATCTTTTCAAAAGTACGATCATGGTGCTAAAAAAAATCTGACGCTTTATGGCTCCACCGAACCACCCAAGTACAATCTTGAAAGACTAACAGTACCCATAGCCATATTTTATAGTCACAATGATCGCTTCCTTGATTACGCTGTAAGTTCTACTATGATACAACTTGACGAATATTTAACGTCGCATCTTATCTGTTTTCGCGTTGAGTATCGATCCTTAATTTAAAAAAATTTTTATAAATGTATCTTCTCTTCTAAAGACCATGTTTGAAACTATTGACTTTAATGCGCAAATATAAAATAAAATTTATAGAAGCATATATGCAATATGTCTGTCTATAATTGAGATTAAAATTGAATTAAATTGTTTGCAAAACTTTCATGATTTGTGATCGTTTCAGGATGTTGAGACATTGGTGAGCAAATTACCGAATGTTGTACAAATTGAGGCAATATCGTACAAAATGTTTAATCATGTCGATTTTCTGTGGGGCCGCGATGCGAAGGAACTCTTATACGACAAGATCCTATCTGCGCTAAAAAATTTTTGACATATATTTTGATATATGTGACTATTGATTAAAGATCTGCCCAGTTTTTTTAATAAGTCGTGAAATATCACTACGTGCAAATCAGTAAACTGATTAATAGAATGTCTACGCAGTAAAAAGTGGTTTCACATGCAAATTTACATGTATCAATTTAGATTTAAACAAACTGAATTTACCAAGCACAAATAAAATACTTCTAAAAAAAATGTATTATACAAGAAAAACGATTTTTATAATAATACATGTAATAATTTATGTATATACATATATTTACATGTGTATATAAGTAAGGAGTTTTGACTCACGCATGCGCAAAGCTTACAGTTGTAACCATGTGGTGGGAAAAGCGATGAAAGGGAAAATATACGTTTTGAGAGGCGTGTGCGTTCTGTATAAAGTTCTATTGTATTATAGTTTATAAGTTTATGTAAAACTTAACTTTTTTACAAAAGGAATAAAGGATGAATGTTTTTATACTTTATGGATTGTCTATTTATGTTATTCTTCATCTATATGCGTGCATATGCGTATATTCTCGTTTTGTCTCTCTTTTTCTTCTCTCGTAGCAGTCACGAGCGAATGTAACACTGTGACATCGTGGCGATGAGTGTGCGATTGTTACGTACACTTTGATATAAAAACAAAAGAAACTTATCGAACATAAAATGTGATTTGAAATCGTCGTTTCATAAAAATATTTATAAGCGATTAAGAGTTCGTGCGTATAATGTCACGCGCATTTTAATTTCCGCATAGCAAATCCGGTTTTTTGTGCATTTGAGATGAGAATGTGCGGAAATTTGTAAACACAAAAAAAAAACAAATTTATATAAAATACGAGATTTTTATTATTTATGTTACAAAGATATTTTTATCACTTTAATGTACGTGGTTTTTATCGATGATTCCAGAATTACTTATCTCTTGATAACTTCCGCATTTTTTTTATCGCACATGCACAGATAAAAATGGATTATATAATACGTCGATGATCACATTCTGATAATTAATAAACGTTTATTTTCCAAGGTGTCACGTCGCTAAGCGTTGTTTTACGGACAATTGTTTTGCAAATATGGTCTTGAAATTTGCCAGTAACCTATCTTTTATGTTCACGGAGGCTCCCAATATTGTGGACAGATATCAGCTGGCCAAGCAAGCTGGTTTTAAAGCGGTCGAAAGCGGATTCCCTTTTGGCTTTTCCGTTCAGCAAGTTGCTGAAGCCAAGAAGAAGGCAAATGTCGATCAAATATTATTAAACGTGTTTACAGGTATATATGTGCCTTGTCTTCTTACATATAACACTTCACAATGTAAAAATAAACAATTCTTGGATACGGCTTGTCTATATATAAGACCTAATTTGTTTTAAAGTATTATCTAAACTTATTTTTATAATGTAGATCTTGTCTTATTTCTCTGGAATAATATTTTATTATTTAATTAACTAAAACAAACATGTTAGAGAAATTAACTTTCATTAGACATATAATTCTAATATTACAAAAAAAGGTGATGTCACAAAGGGAGAACTGGGCTTTGCTGCAATCCCGGGTGAGGAAGAGAACTTCAAGAAAAGCATTGAGAAAACTATAGAATATGCAAAATCTCTGGATTGTAAAATGTAAGTGTGACTGTAACAATAAAAGAAACCACAAACATTTATATAAAGAAAGAATTGTTGCAATATCGAATTACACGTAATTACAAGGATTCATGTAATGTCTGGAAAAGTGGAAACACCCACGGCTGCCAATGACGTGGCTTATGAAAATAATTTGTTGTACGCTGTTGAAAAGTGCAAAAAGGAAGATATTGTTGTCGTGATCGAACCAATTAATAATTACAGCGTGCCAAATTATTACATGAATAATTTCCAAAAAGGTGCGAGATTTATAAAAACTTTGTTGCTAATTTGATTGATATATTACTTGTTTTTGTAATAACAAATTAAAATTTTGTCTTCTCGACACACAGGTTTCAATTTGGTAAAGAAGATAAACAGTTCGCATTTAAAATTGCAACTGGATATTTTTCATTTGCAACATTGCTGTGGCAACATTACAAAAAGCGTACAAGAATTTTTACCTTATGTGGGTTAGTCTTTTTACAATATATTAATTTTTAAACTTCTCGTAGTATTTTCAATTTTTCACAAATACAAAATAAAAATAAATGTAAAATAAATAAATGTCGTTATTTGTATTTATTTGCTAAACTATTTGTATAAGACAATAATTTCCTCCTTTTTCTTTGATACAGGTCACATTCAAATAGCTCAAGTGCCTGATAGACACGAGCCAGATACATCAGGAGAAATTGATTACAAATATGTCCTCTCATTGTTAGAAACGGCTGGCTACGCTGGATATATTGGTTTGGAATATCGGCCGAAATCGTCAACAACAGAAGGATTGAATTGGATTAAAAAATACGGTTACAGTCTGTAAACAAATATTTATATATGTATATATGTTGACAGCATATAAACCTTATATATGAAGTTTCAGTATTTTTATACACATCTTAAGCAAGCGATATACAGTTTTGCATTTATTACAATTATTTTATAATATTTGCGTCTTACATGTATAAACATGTTTGTTTTTGATCAATAAACAAATAAAACGGAAGAATTTCTTTAGTTAACAATATTGCATCAATCATTTCAATGAACAAATTGCGAAAAGTAAACTTTTTTTTTAGATGAACAGAATTATATGAGAAATATATGCACGTTTAACTCCGACTGTTAACACTTTTTACATGTATATCGTACTGACCACACAAACGCACAAATATTGCTTATATACTCCGTGAATAGTTTGTAAGAACGAATATATAAGAGCTACATGGCAATCCAACAAACTTTATATAGGTTCTATGCAAAATTCTCATAAAGATAAAAACAACTAAAGTGTAAATATCTCAATTTTATAATATATATGTGTAAAAATTTATTTTATATATTTTATATATATTCATATATAAAACTGAGAAATACATCTTCTGTTCTCTCTGACAACTTATATATTTAAATAAGATAAAGCGTGTCGACAATCATAAGTACACAGGCGTCTCCAGGTGTGTTTGTATATATGTGTATATACAAATAATATACACATATGCACACATCGCACTGTGTAACCAAGATTGAACTGAGAAATGGCACTTAAAACAAATTTTAGAAACTAAATAATTTGTATTAAGTTGGCTATTTCAAAATTTTAATAGAATCGATTCCCTCGCCGTTCAAGATAGCTTTATACATTGCGCTCTCTCTTAAAAGAAATAATATTATTTTATATAAATATATTTTACAGTTTGTTTTTTCAACTTTTACATAAGTTGTATGTAAAAATATTCATGAAGAAGTTAGCGAACTTAGAATCATCATACGTAGTTTCACAGTAAGATATGGACGAATTTTCATTTTTGTCATAATTTCTCTTGTTCTGTGTTCAATACTTATACATGTTACGCATCCGACAACAATATCAATATTATGTATAAGGTAATTTTTTTGTTTTGTTTTAATTATATCATGTGAGATACTCTCTCTATGGTAATATTATGCGAGTAATTAAAAACAAATATCTTTAACAACGATCCGTGTATATATAATATATATATATAATACAGTTAATAGTTAAATTATCTTAGTGCGAGACAACGCGTGAGGTTAAAACATGTTGCATTTATCGCAATAACAATTCAGAGTGTCAATTTTTTTATCGCAACAATGATACGGTGAAATCTCTCAACGCTTTTACGGTGCCGGAAATGAAACTTCCGTTTTTGAAATATAAAAAAAAGCATGAAACGTAAACTAATACATACATATATATATAAGTAATATATGTATATCTAACTTACAGTCGCGAAGTAATATCGTGAAGTAAAATTGCGATTGTACATAACTGATGTCTCAATGATGCTAGCTAGACAGGTTCTGTGGTATTCACCAACGGTTGATTCACATCAACAGAGGGACCTATCACAGCAGTGCTGTAAAATAGTTTTTCGTTTATTATATTGAGAATTGTACAATTGTAGTTTCTGAAAAACGTGATGTAGCAGCGTGAAACGAAGCTTAGACAAGAGATAGCAGAACAAACAAATATCTAAATGTCTTCGAATCACGTACTGCGTAAGTAAACAAACAAGAGCTTCCGTGTATAGCTTTCCCACAAATTGTTAACCCGATCGGTGCAAAAATAAAAAGCGGTGTTACACTTTATCCCTCACGCATGAAGTACACAATTGTGTAAAGTTGCGAATAATTGAAGTCTTAAGCAAGTTAAATATAGAGAGAAAGAGAGATTTAAAAATAAAAAAGATAAATATTCGAATAAATTTTTTATATACACGCGTGCATGCAAGTATTAATTTGATTAAGCTCTAATATATAAATTAGAACTACAAATTACCCAGTGCCAAGAGCCAAAATAGTAGCTTCTTCTAACAAAGTCATTTGTTCAATGATGGACCTGTAGTCAATTAAATATTCAGTACAATGAATAGCATAGATTTCTTTTTATGTAAAAAAAAAAAAGAAAAGATATGTTATATTTACCTATAATTTTTGTAATTGCATAATGAACTTCAGAATCGCATGTTTTAATTAGCTATTTACGAATAAATTTAAAATATAAGTTTTCTTACAAATAAGATTTACAAATTGTTTTAAATCAAGTAAGAAAACTGTGTAGAATTGCATATGAGACATTTGGTTTTATATTTCTAAACAAACATACTAATGAATTTGTGATAAGTGATAAGTTAGTAGTAGTGGTATGGACCAAGTTTCAAATAAGTTGTTTCAGCAGATCAATTTAGAATTATTAAAAAGGTCAAGTTAAAAGCAATTAAATGGCTTGTAAATTCACTATTAGTTTGTCAAGGAAGCAAGAAACTTGTCAAAAAAGAAACGCATGTATAAATTTGATTGAAACTTACTGTAATTTCGTAGCGTGATGCAATTTGTACAAGCTTATCTGTATATTTTTATGATATCTTAAAAAGTGCAATTCACAAGATCAATCATTTGTAATCGAGTAATTATTTATTGATATTTTTATATTCTCGTTCAGGAAAAAGTCAATATATCAAATTTGTCAGACAATTCATTACTACTATTATGTTTACAAAATAGAATATCTTACTTGAACAATTATTATTGCATATAAATATAAAGTACTTAAGTATCAACAAACATCTATGCTCAAGTCATTTTTATACACAGTGAAATTAAATAGATAAATGCGATATAATACTTTTGCTTTGTGCGATTTAAATACAAATTATTGTCACGGTCTAAAAATCATATTTAGTACCTGATTTTATGTAGGAAGGTGGGAGAGAGTTGAACCACTCGGTTTCACCACTGTTGGGTGCCGGGGCCCAACAGAGTACGAGCATCCTCGCTACACAGCTGCTCGGGAAAGTTTACCCCATCTCCAAAACTGCAAGCCATACCCTACCTTCTACTCGATGTTATCCCATGTCCACTACCCTCATGGTGTAACTATTTCACCATATCTTCTCATCACCTTCTTATCTTTTTCTTTTACTCATTTTAATTTAATTATGCGATAATTATAACGAGGAAGAATTGTTAAGGCAGATAAAAGAAAGATACTTCCTTCACAAAAAAGAAGGATGATGTAGTACATAGTTACACCATTTTTTGTATTGTTACAAGGTATTGTCTGTAAGAACCAGATGCACAATATCTCCCGTAATAACTGCACAAATTTTATCACCCTCATCTTCACAACTTAATAATTGTGACATATATATATGACACATGCAAAGTAACATACAAAAAAATTAATACGCATATTTCTTCCTTAATGTAGTCTCTAAATTGTCGTTGTTGTTATTAAATATCAATTCTCTCTTCGAAATAAATGTGTAACTAAAATAATATATAAAGAAACGTCATATGTGTATGTGTGTAATTGAGAAAAAAATGCTTGTAATATAAATATTTTTATAATATACCTGTGTGTTAGATTGAAAAACTCTTTCGTTTTATAGTACATCACATGTTCTTTTATTACCTTTCTCAATTCTTTTAAAATAATTTTAGTGAGAAAGCACAAAGAAACGCAAAACCATAACTTGAAAACTGTAAATTGCCAATTCTGCGTAACGTGATTAAAGATTGCGAAGAATATCTTTTTTGGAAGCAAAGTGAATAAAGAGAATTCAATTCACAGAGTTCGCAGAACAATATAAAAAAGCTTTTAGAAGAAACGATTGAAAAGAGTAGTAGGAGCTGTAGAAGTGATAGCGAGTGCCAAATTAAACTATTAGTACAAAAATGCATGCAGAGCCTGAACACACTTAAGATGTACATTAATAAAAGTTCTGGAACTCCACACAGAAGAAAGAAACCAAAATTCACAAAACTCCAAACAAAAATTAAGGGAGAATATTGTGAATAAATTAAAGATGTCAAAATGAGAGATTAAACCAAAAAAAAAAAAAAAAAAACAAGAATGAATTTTGAATTCTTTCTAATTTTAGAAAACATGTTTTTTTTTCTAGATTTAGCCACAAATTTAAGATGTGTGATGTCTGTGTGTACTCATCAAACAGTTTTTTTTTTTTTTTTTTTTTTTTAATCAAAAATATGAACGAGTTCCATAGTAAAGAATGATAAAATGATAATTAACTGTATTGAACGTTTTATAATGCTGACCTGTTTTGAGTACTGCCCATGGAGTCATAAGTATTGGATGTGCCCTGGTGTTGCGATCTTACTGGATAGACGACACCATTTCCCAGACTAGAACACATTCAACGCAACCACTCCAATGTAAAAAAACCGAATCTATGATATTTTACGAAATGTAAAAGTGTGCAAAAGAATTAAACGTGGTGCCCACATGAAACTAATCGTGTAGAAGTTGCATACTAGTTAAAAAGTGCACCGAAAACTTTTCAACATCAATTTCTTATCAAAATCTCTCTAAACAACTGTGTGTTCGCATTAGAAAATAAAGTTTTATGCAAAATAAAAAAAAAAAAAAGATAAATTTCAACATATATATATATAAAATTTTCTTTCTGCTTCTCTCTTCATACACATACATATATACACATAAAACATTGTTTACTGTGTGATAAATGTTACAGAGTTTGTTCTTTCTTTCGTAATTTGCCATACACAAATATATAATAAAGCAATTTTACCACATATATCTTTCCTGCTTCACTAATACCTAACAGTGTTTTAAACCTTGTTTTTATATGAGAAAGTAAAATAATAAATTACATAGTTGCTACACACACATAAAACCAGAGAGCATTCTACATATATAATTGAAATATACATGGAAAAAGAGAATACTCTTTTTCTCTCTCTTCAATCTTAGAAATAATGTAGAGTATAATAAAAAAACAAATAATCTAGTACAATAAACACATGCAGTTCCTTTGCTTTTTAAGTCTGTGAAAAAAATTAAACTCTGAAAAAATTAAAATTGCTCACACTTTTATTCAATGCCCCGAGATATTTATGTGTGATATTTTTATTTTGTTTTGTTTTTTTTTGTTCAAATTTCGCTTAAGTATGCCAAACTGCATAGTTGATTTTTTTTATGGTAAAAAGTATAATAGGCGATATACTAGAAGCATATAAATCGGTATAATAATTCAGTTATTGCGCATTGTGCAAATGGTTCCCACTTTACATAGATATATCACATAATTTCGTATATATTTATAATAATAATAATAAAAGTATTAAAGAAATGAAATACCTACCTACTAAACAAGGGAAGGAACCAGAGCCACGGATTGTCACCAAAGACTTCCTGAAAATTATTATATTTTCCCAAATTATATCCATCCTTATCTTTTCCCGTCCGAAACATAGGTGTTCTAAAGCCCTCTGCGTAAATGTAAGATGTTAATTAATATTTCAGATAATGTATAAGTCTCTATTATGTATAGTGTAAACGTATATTGATTTTCAATAATTACCTAATGTCGATCTATTATGAAGAACGAGATAGCAATGGTAGAAGAAAAGAGAAGTAAGACTGACTGCGAACATTAACGCAACGAAAAAGAGGAACAGTAAGTGAAATCTACCCGCTCCGTCTAATTCACCCTAAAAGAAAAATTCGGTCACTAATCACTAAAGATAAAGTTGTTTATTATAAAAACATTGTATTTCGATATTATTCAAATAATCTATTATGTACTTGTTACAAGAAAAAGTGTTATACTTACTCTCCAAAACTGTATGAAGTATTGCAAAGAGGTAGCCGTGATGAAGAAACAATATAGAAGCGAATATGCCAGAAATAAAATAAAAAACTTGTAATTATGGAAGCCTACACAATTGTTCACCCACGGACAGTGGTGATCCATTTTTAGGACACAAGTGCCGCACACACTGCAATGATGTGCCCTGTCAGGTTTGATTAACAAACATTTCTCACAAAATCGCAAAGCTGAAATATGTAAACGTGTCAGTATAAATTTGAAATTTTTATATTTAATCTAAATATATAAATTTATAAACATACAGTTTTTGTTAATTAAATAAATAACCCTACCTCCTTTCAGAGTTCGATTAGTTACTGGAAGATCTTGTGCAAATCTTTCCAAAATTTGTCTCTGCACCTCTTCGGTTTCAGCCTGCTGTAGTTTCTCTATTTCTACATCAGGTATTTTAAACTGCAAAATTTAAGAAGATTTATGTGCAAACATTATTATTATTGTAATGAGAAAATGAGAGATAATCAATATATACCAATTAAGTAAATCAATATCAAACCTTATCTGGTACTGGCATCAAATTTGTGTACACTGTTTGCCAATATGACCATAAAAACATCAGGATGAAGATGTGGAAGAAAAGCAGGTAGAAAGCTATTAATGTGAACAATAAAAATAAATACAATATTGGCAATGTAACCGAACAAAAAACTAAACAATTCGTACTAAATGTATATTGGCAAATAATAAAAACAATAAGCTGTACAAACCTTTTTGAATATAGCTATCAATCGTATCTGAAATAGTTACAAAAATGCAAATATAATAAAATGTTTTAATGAAAAACTCATTTTTTGCAACATTACGAGACAAGCAAGGTTAGCAAAAATTGTCGACTTTTTTTTACGTTAATTCGTACTGATTCAGAAACATCTGAGAAGATAAAAAAAATCTACTTCGCATACTCACAGTAGCATAATTCCACTACGTAAGCGTAATAGGACCACGCGACGATCGTCAGAACAAAGATCACTGGCACCCACTTGACGGTCTTCACGCACCACAAACACGAGCTGCTTTGCTTGCCCATTCTCCTGTTCACCGTATCGAGGACGTGCATGGGGACGTGACTCTCATCAACAACGTGTTATTCCCGAATTCCTGCGGCATCGCAGCACAACACACGGATTTTCTCTCCAGCAAAGAGCAACCCCTCACGAGGACATCGAATGTCGAGCGTGAAGAGTCGTCATCGCGCGAAACGATCAAGCAACATCGAGCGTACGTTATCTCTGATTATCGCGGCATCTTCTAGCATTCTCAGATAACGTTCTGAGACATCAATTACGACTTGCGTTCGGAATTTTATTTTCGGCTCGTTGCTGCTTCTATTACCGTTCCTCCTGGCCGCACGTCGCACGCGCGCATCACTTTGCTGTTTTATGGATGTCGCTCAGTTTTGTTCTTAAGCCCATAATACGGGCCTTGCGGGGCACATGCGGTCACATTCAGTTCGAAAAAACGGACAATGGAAAAAAATTGTGGTGGGAGATCAACCAATCGCGAATACTCTTCTCTACCTAAAAGACCAAAGAGAAGAACCTGAGATGTTTACTAGGGGATTTCGAAGTGTTGCAGTTTGTAACATTGATGTTATCGCGTGTGTCGTCAAGGCAATTTGACAGCTGATTGCAATTTCAAATTTCAACATATACAATGGCCACAACCAACGATGATAAGATTTTTCGTATAAATCATTGCTTGTGCCAATTTTCAAATAACGGAGCATACTTGGCGATTGCGTTTCAGACGAATCTTATTGTAAAAGATGCGAAGACTCTCGATACTTGCCGATCGTTCGTGTTCGCCGATGTGATACAGGTTATTTTAAAAATCGACAAAGACGCGCAAGAAAAATTTAAAAATTTTTAATTTTCAAGCGTTTAGTTATGCGTGTTGTTTATTGACGGATGAGCATTCATGTTTCGGTCTTTATCGCTTCTTTGCAGCACATAGAATGGTCATCGAACAGCGAGTACATCTTGTGCGCGAATATAACGAAGGTTGTAGTCCAGGTATATTCGATACACTGTCCACAGTGGAAGTGCAAACTTACAGAAGGCAGTGTCGGCTTGCAGAGCGTTACTTGGTCCCCGGATAGCAAATGCATTCTTACAGTTGCAGATTTTAATGTAAGCGCACAAGTTTGTTCTTTGGTTGTTTCAGAAAACTTGTATTTTATTGATTGAAAAGAAAAGTCAAAAATTTCTTTAGGTTCAATTACAAAAATAGCACTCTCTCTGTTTGCAGATTCAAATATCCATTTGGAACTTGGAGGATCAGACTGTGTCATATATACAAAATGTAAAAACTTCTGCTTTTGACAAGCTACACTTCAGTCCGAGTGGAAAGAGACTTGCAGTAATAATTACAGATGAGGCTCAAGATACGGTGGAAATTTTCAAAACTAATAATTGGAAGATAAGCCGAGTGAGTAGACAATTTTTGTGTTTTGAAACTCATGTCTAGTAACAATAATTGATCATAGATAGATCATATGATAGAACGTAATAATAGAGCACAATGATAGATCACATGAACGATAGTAACGATGGTAGATGTATATTATATATCTGAACAGAATGATCGGAGCTGCAGCTTGCCAGTTCCAATTTGTCGTAGTATGACGTATAATGAGTAGGTCGAAATTTAAGTCTCTTCACAGCCAAATGATGAGCCTTGATTTCTGGTATAATCAGTGTCTTCCAATTATCATCTTCCTTTTCGATTAGGTGGATTTCTATATGACCTACTTCGTATCCGATAGCTAGAATGTAAAATTTTGCGCTGAGATTTGGGGCAAAGCACAGCGCTGTAACCGAATGGAACGTATCCAGAATTATTTCTGGTTTAATAGCATCGGTTTTATCTTCCGCTTTTTCTGCAGACCACATGGCGAGTTTCGCATCTCTGGATCCGGTCGCAAAATATTTGGAATCCTGCGTCCAACCGCAGCACCAGATTATACGCGCGTGCAGAGTACAGTTTATCGTAACTAACGAATAACTTTCGCCCTCATTTTTGAATAGCGACCATGTTCTGTCCCGAGAAACGGCCAGTAAATATTTGTCATTCGGAGAAAACTCCATTTGCGTCACAGTCAAGTGATGAGCAATCAACTTGTCAACTTGGGACCACGTGTCTGTGCTCCATAGTATAATCGCCGCATGTTCCTGACTGGTTGATTTGCACGCTGTGGCCAGTAACTTTCCGTCATGTTTTACCGCCATGCAGAATATTTCGTAACCGTGTCCGTAAAGCTTCTGCAACTCCGGCCAGAGCGTTGCATCTTGCATCAGTTCTTCTTCGGTGGGTGGTTGATACATGCCATGAGTCGTAGGTGACTCATCCTTATTTTCGCACTGATCGAATGTTTCGTCGAACGTTGCTTTATTAGTTAATCCTAGAGAAGGTACAGTGGCACCGTGAGCTGCTACACAATTGTCCTTGAAATCCTCGACATCTGTCAATAATCCTAAACGATTTTTGAATGCTAATGTGGCCTTGAAAACGCGCACCACTTTCTCTTCCGCTCCGGAAACGTACATGTACGGTGCTAACATGACTAAGCACGACATATCGTATCCATGTATCTGAGGACGTGCAATCTCGTGCCATAACTCACAACGTATATCATTTTTCAACGGTGCATGAATCCTTGTGGTTTGATCTTTACTGGCTGTTAGGAGAAATCTGTAAAATTATCGCGAGACATTGTCAGTCGTGCTTTTTTTTTTTTAATATTACAAATAAAAAATAAAATCATGTAACATTACAGGAAACGTTACAGACCTTCCTTTCGGATCCCAACACAAGTCGACCACTTCAGAAAAGTGACCGCCTGGTGCAGAATGTGGAATCCAAGTTGACGTTTCTTCCGAATATTTCCAGATGTGAAAAGAGCCTCGATAACCATATGCCAACATGTGTAATCCATCTGGACTGAACTTGCATCCGTAAAAACCCAAGGAATTACCTCCAACTTCCCCGACACGTGCTGTCTCGGTCCAAATCCCGGTAGTATCATTCAGCTCCCATATGATCATAGACTTGTCAAATGAAGCGGACAATAATCTCATTTTCTGACAATTGTTATTGTTTGTTGCTTTTGTAAGCTGCCAGTGTAGTCCGTAAATCCAGTGCTCGTGACTGTTCAGAACAGATTCCAGACTGACATTGTATTCTTTGTTGTTTACTATGAACATATCTTGCTCTGGTCGAAGTTCGTCGCTTGAAGATTCCGCTACGGTTTCACTGATCTTCCATAATCGTATCGTGCTATCCTGCGAGCCTGTCGCGAGGAAACACTCTCCGTCATTGTTGTGACAAAAATCCATACATATTACCCAGTCCGTGTGTCGGGATAAACTCAAGACTTTCACAAACGTTGACTCCAACGCGGTGGAGTCTTTAACGTGCAAGACAACAGAAGCATCCTCCAATGCTACAGCCAAGAGAAGAGAATCTTTGTTGTTCGGCAGGTATGTCAGACGACAGTGTATCCCCAATTTTTTTCCAAAACTAATGCTCTGAACGCTTTCGATCTTTCCGGTTTTATTTCTTTGCCACAGTCCTACCTCGCCTTTAACCGAGCCCGCGCATATCAACAATTCCGGCCCAGAAACGTTACCGGAGGAAACTTTATTGGAAGAAACGTCATTGGAATCAATTTGAAGAGAGTCGATGAAAGTGACGACGTTCCCTATTTCTAACTCCGACGTCATTTGGTACCGGTGCTCGATTGATACGTTGCTTAATTCTTCCCAAATGATCACGGTTCCGTCCACAGAACCGGACAGTAATTCCAATTCCGGGGCGCCGCTTCTCGATTTGATCCATTGGACCGAGTTGACGCGATCCCGATGTCGGTGCAACATGTGCGTGACGCGGCCAATGTGCGGCCAATATTTCAGATTGTATATGGCAATCGCGTTGCACGTGCCGAAGCAAACGAGATTGTTGTTGCCCCAGTCGACGCAATGCGGAACGCGATTGCACGAACAAGAAATATAACTTGCCATTATCTCTTCTCGTTTTGTCTCACAAAACACTTGAAAAACGAGACAAACCCCGATCTCCACGAATGTTCAAAATACTGCAACAGAGGCGGCCATTTTGGTTTTGAACAAGTTTCAAAGTTGCCATTCTGGGATACGTTCCAAAATCTCACCTTGGTTACTAAAACGCTATATTTTGCGTCACGTGTACTATAGTTTTCGGTTACCGAGGTAAGATTTTGGAACGTACTCCCGACGGATATGTTCGAGGATTCTAATTGGACGTTTGTAGAGAGAAATTCTAGTTTCCAGATGGTTGTGAAACAACCCTAGAAAAGATAATAAGATTTGCACAAATTTTTGGCGCGTAACAACGCGAAATCCGAAAACAACAAATTTGACAAATTTCCGTTTCAGAAACTCATTTGCGATCGTTTACGCAGCATCGACGGCATTCGATGGTCGCCGAACGACGAATTGTTGTGCATATGGTGTTCCTCCACCGCCGAGCCCAAGTTAATCGTTTATTCAACCGTGTGGGAAAAACCCGTGACTACATTCTCTCCGGTGGAAACCGCACGGTTTTCCGAATACAATTGCGAGAAAGAATTGAAGGGAATCGAAAGCGTCGAATGGAACTCCAGCGGCCAATTGTTGGCGGTGATCGGATTCAACGAAGTGGTAATATTGTCGCGTAAATAAATTTTATTATCTCTTGTTTTTGCTTTTTTTTTTTTTTTGTTGCACACATTGACATGTTTTTTTTATTTATTCAATCGATTTGCACACACGCAGGTGCTTCTTCTTAATTACGTCACGTGGAAACCGCTGTCGCAATTGTATTTGGATCCGGTGATCAGAGAAGGCAATTACTTGACAAAAGTTTACGAGGAACGCGGCGATTCGGAAAGAACTTTACACGCGCGCTTTGCGTCCTGCGAGGAACGCGTTTGTAAGCTAACGATGTAAAAAAAACCGAATGAAATTTGATTTTTACGCGTTTATCTCTGAGTGAGTTTCTAATGCAAAAAAAAAAAAAAAAAAAATATTTTTCAAACACTTTTGTTCTGATTTTAGTGCACGAAGTACACGAGCGGCCTATATGCATAGAAATTGGCGAGAAGAATGTTTACGACAATTTTTCGATAGCCAAGTTTAAGGTATTCGAATTTAGCGCGTGTGGACAGTATCTGGCTCTGACACACGAGCTTTATCCCACCACACTGTGGATTTGGGACATTTGTACGGATTATCTCGATTATATGCTGCTGGAAAATCCGATTTCAGGTACCGGTGGTGTAAAGTTGATTTTTTTTTTTTTTACATTTTTTTTTTTTTACACAATTCCTTATCTTTTTTTCGCACTATTAACTGCATCATCTTCAGCTGTCAGATGGAGTCCTGTTCATCCGCAATTGCTCGTATTTTCTGAATGCACGCGCGTATACGAGTGGACTCGAAAAGGCGCGAGTTCCGTGGCGATGTCGAAAACTATGTCGGTTGTGGACGGGCGTTGGCATCCCGAAGGAGAACGAGTAGCGTTGTGCGGTTACAACAAAGCGATGATCTGCAAAGTTCCGACTAGATTTTAGATCGGCAATATTTATTGTACTTTAAATTTGTAATTAAATTTTGTCCTCTGATTGGTTAACAAACGTTGGTTTTGATTTTGTTTTATAGTGGCTAGAAAGTCCTCGATACTCATACGCCATAAGATCTAACAAACGTTGAATGGTAGCAACAAAAAGAAGCGTAAGAGCGGCCAGTGATTGCACATTCTCTTACGGGCCTGGCCGCTCTCAGGCTTCTCTCTGGTAGCAAAGAGCACTCTGCAGTGAATGCCAACATAACATCCCGAAGTTTCCTAACGTTTCTCCCTCTGTCGTATAAAAAATTTTTTTATGTTCATATAAAAAATTGTAATAACTATGTATTTCAGTGTGAATGTAAAATGTGCGGAAAATAAATGAACTTTTAATGTATAGAGAATAGAAAACCTAACAGAGAAATATAAGTACAATTCTAAATTAATAGACTATAAGACAAGTTTTGAAATTCCTAACCCCTATTCTGTGCGGCTATTGTGTTTGTGTTTATAATCACAATTGTAATCAGTTAATAAGAGGAAACAATACGAATTTAGTTTGCGTAATATCACGTTATTTTACTAGCAATATTAAATTATTGAAAAATGGCTCAAGCGTATGACAATTATTACAACGATTACCATAAAAATGCTGAAATACAACAAAACCTGAAATACAAGAAAAAGTATCAAAAACTCAAAAAGATTGTGAAGAATACTGTATTTGTGAGTGCTGTTGAATACTTTGTATGAATTTTGCTATTCTTAATTAACACGTCATTGTCAATTGATATATTTTGCTGTTTATAAATGCAACATGTAATTTTAAGTTTCTCAACACAGGAAAATGCAGCGCTGTGCGATCAAGTTGCACATATGCAAGAGAATTTGATGATTGTAAAGGAAGAAAGGTTATTCCTTTTGCGCAAGTTATATCAACAACAGGGAGAGATAGAATCCAATTCTACAGTAGCACGTTCCCAGTCAAACAATGTGAATTCTCAATCATTTAATCCAGATTATGTGACGCCAAAAAAGACAGTGAAGAAAAGAACTTCTATAGATGGATCAGGTATTTTCAGTTAGTAACTCAATTAACATTTGACATGTTTCCTTTTTTTATAAGAGTTTTTTTTTGTACAACTTCTCATAGAACCAAAAAGCAAAACAAAGAGATACAACAAGACCACTAGGAAGGTAGTTCAGTCAATTCCACTAGACGTGCATGGGAGACCGATATTTCCCATTGCTTTGGGGGATCTCACGATATATTCTCTTGGAGAAGTGGTATCAGACAGAATTGCATATCACACAGAAGATCTTATATTTCCAGTAGGCTATTGTAGTACAAGAGTGTATGCTAATTTACGAGATCCGAGAACAAAGAGCTTGTACACTTGTAAAATATTAGACGGTGGTCCAAAACCCAGGTATGGAGACAAAACACAATAAAAAGAAAAAGAGAACGAATAATAATTGTTCTTACAAAGTTAAATGCAATCATGTGAACAACTTTCTCTTATTATGCTCACAGGTTCGAAATAGTATCCGATAACGATTTGGATCAGCCACTAGTCGGATCTACGCCTGACGAATGTCACTCAAAATTATTGGCAGCAATTTCTCCGGCTCTTTGCTCGATAATGCCGAAAGGTCCGGATTTCTTTGGAATTTCTCATCCTACCGTGCAAAATTTGATACAAAGTTCTCCAGGAACGCGTAAATTAGCTCTGTACAAACAACAACGTTTCGAAGTACGTATACGGCATTTTAAAATTTGTTTACACTGTGATCAAAACCGCCAAAAGATTTACTTAGACATGTATTTTGTAGGTAAGCAAAAATCATGTAATCGAGCCGTCTACAAGTCCCGTAACGGAAATGGAGACTGATCCGGGACTCGGTTTCGCGGCACTACACAGGCATTATGCCTTGAATTCTTACAGAGTAAAAGAGGAACCGTCGGATCATGATCTACTAACGCTTCAAGATCTTCTCGCCTGACCGTCAATGTGATAGATATTATGTATACACACACACATATTTATTTATAGTAAAATTAAAAATAAAAATATCTCATTTATATAAAAACAATCAAAGACTAAAAACTTTCTCGATTTTATATATATATATATATACATATATATGTATAGTTTCACTTCGTCGAGGATAATTTCTGTCTCTCAGTATGTTATATTCGCACGTGTAATAATTGCAAAGTAAACTATATTTTTCAATATTTCTATATAATATTTATTTAAGCCATAGTGTGTATAAAACGATCGATTTTTGACAAATATCGTAATCGTTAGGACTTTTTTCCCTTTAAGTCATGTAGAAATTGAGACATTGATCACGATCAACGGAACGCGACCGTTGTATACGACGGATATTTGTTCAAAATTTTCAACGTTTTGAACATTTCTGCCGAAGCGTTCAGCAGGAAGACACGAAAACAATGGTTGCGTTCTGTCGAACGCGCCAATATTGATATATTTCGTTAGCAATACGCTCACCATGTGTGTTGACAATATTTTGTTTCGGTATAATATTTTACACAAAATCTAATTTTTAATCACGCACAGTAACGATATCTGTGTTATATGGCACAATAATGATTATTTATATAATCCAACAGATTAAAATATTTTCTGTCGGTGCAATCTAAAAGTTTCATTCGAAATTAAATAACTCATTCAAACAAACATTCCTAAGGAAGAAATATATAAAATAGTCATAGACATATATATATATACATATATACATATATATGTATGTCTATAAAAATAGTCAAATATATAATGTGATACAAAGCACTGTGTATTATTTAAGATTATTTTAATATTTGGGGTCTTATTTTACTGTATATATATATATATATATATATATTTTTTTTAAGATAATGTGTAACATGTATACTATAGATTATAGATTTTTACTGCTATACACACACAATATTATTTTTATAAATGTACGCTTATAACGGTACACGGTTGTATAGCACAGCGCCGATTGGAGATCACAAATCGATATTGAATGACTAGCTATTGGCGTAAAAAGCTCAAAATATAAGAATCCTTATAAAACTTGAGAAATATATATATATATACACACACACATATATATATATATATATATATATATATATATATATATATATATATACGTACATATATATATGTATAATATTTATAATTAGATGTTTTTTTTGTAGATCGTTTGTGTGTCGGCGATAGTGAATGTTAGCAAATTACATGTATAAATAGCTGTACGTGTATATGTGTAAATAAATATTTGTACTGATTGGCCCTACATTTTTAATTAAAATTACGATTATCATCGTCTCACTTTAAAGACCCCAATATAAAGAAAAATATATACAAATATTGCCCTTGAATAATTTTTATAATAATTCGCTCAAATATTGAGTCATTAAGTATGACAAAAATAATATATATATGACAAATATGTATATATGTTTATATACATATATATATACATATATACATACATACATACATACATACATATATATATATATATGTATATGTATATATATGTATGTGTGTGTGTGTGTATATATATATTTATAAAGTTTCATATTTAATGACCTAATATAATAAAAGTAATATCGTTTTTTCCGCAATTATTTAAACACCTTATCCGATATATTACCTTATGTAATTATTGTTTTATGAGCATCCCTTTATAATAAATTGTATATCCCTAACATGCAAACGGCATAAATTAGGCATGACTTTGCGCATCGTTTTCAACGTCACCGTCTATTGGCCCGTCCAATAGTCTTATTAAATAATGTGTTTGCAATTGCGATTACTGGCGAAAATAATTTCAGCTGACAATCACTGAAACAATTACAAAAACAAAATACAATAAATAAGTGAGAAGCATAAGAAATATTAAAAAAACTACATCTGTAGAAACATATGTACCATACTCCCGTTACAGGCTCCGCTTCGTTTCCACTTAAAATGAACAGTGGAAACAAAATAGAAAAAACACAGCCACTGCAAACGTTAGATGTTAGAAGTGTCATATTTAGGAATAAACAGCAATTGAGATTACATTACTTAGTACCTTACAACATATGAATTGGGCAGTTGTGTAAGTACCGCTAATGGCATACCGAAGCCTAAAAAGTATGGCCAATTGCCTTCAATAAATGTCAATCGTCTGTGCAACTCCCAGCCCATATTGAACCACTTATACTCAAAGGCGTAGAGAGCATATAAAAGGCACATGTGGACAAGGGCAAGAATGTCACCTAATGGCTTCAGTGGCACCTTGGACACAAGCATTCCTTGTCCCAGAAACAATGCTTGGACCAATATGCTAAAAAGCGTGTCAGCTATCAGTTTGCTCACACTGGACAGAAGTAACGGTCTCCCTTGTCTGTATCTGTACGCTCTATCTGCTATGTCCTACATAGTTCACAAATACGCTACATTTATTCTATGTTTTGCAGTATACTTTTAATATCCATTTTTGTTGTCATATTTATACAGTTTTAATTTACAAAGATTAATTTTTTTAGGCAAAATCATACCTGAAACCACAAACTGTTAACTATCTTGCTGAGCAAGAACAATGGTAGTATCCATATTGTGCTAAATGTAAGTGATAAAAATGGCTGGATCCACGACCACACAATGAGACCCATCCCAGGTGAATGGTCGAATATAACACTTAGTAAGTACTCGAGAAGTGGCAGCAGTCCACATTCAAATATTAATATGCTAGCCCAAAATACACCACCGTTTAATGCACAACACTGCATGGCTCTCCTCAGCACTGTGGATTCTCTAAAATCAAGGTTGATTAAATGAAACATTGCTGTTATGTTTTTCTATGTTTCACTGCTGTGTATTCCTGCTAAAAAAAAAAAAAAAAAAAACTGGCAATGGACATACTTTTGCAGTTTATTGTGCTTAGCTGGACTGTTCATGTCTCTTCTCCTGATTTCCAATCTTGTGGGAGATTTTCTAACTAACTTCTCGTTTATCTGTTTGTCCATATAAAAGAGGACTACAGCACCTTTTAAGCTGTCCACAAATCCTCGACATATTGCGTATATTATCCCCTGAAAATACATTGAATTCAATTCAAGTTTCTTATTTACGTCTACATTCGTAAACATTATTCGCGCATCCGTATGTTTCCACACATACGACTCTTTTTTGTTTAATATATAAAATAACTGCTACCAAGAGAGAATGCATTAACCTTAGTCTTCGACAAAAAAAAAAAAAAAAACGCTATTAGAAAACGGTTCCGAGATCCGCACAAATAGCGAGGGTTAAAGTCTACTCACTGTCACGTTATCCATTATATATTGCGACGCTGCCTCTCTTCAGGTAGGCTTAATCTACACTCGGAAAACAAACTACAGAACACTGGACGGTCATTTTGCGCGAAACGGAGATAAACGAATCGTCGCGACGCCGCGACGACGAAGGACGCTCGCTTGGTCGTGATCCAACGTACGTCAGACACCAGTCGTTAAATGAGCACCAACAATTCGAGCTGTCCAAACAGTAACGAGTCCCGTTGTTCGGACCCCCATGCCCCCCTCCCGCGACGTAAGGATATCTGAAGAGTCAGCTGAGAAATAAACGCGCGAGAGTATCAGCTGATCAGAGGTCGCTTCAAGGTGCAATTCGCGCATTACTTTCATCTCCTCCTCACTGGAGTTTGAACATCACGTTGAACAAATTGCGTGTCCAACAATAATTTTGCTTCCAGTGTTCATAACGTGAATGAGATCTTCTCGATCAATGATCCAATTGCATTGGTCGATTTGGTAAATTAAACCGTTGAATGTTCGACTTTGCGATCGTCGCAAATTCGAAAATGAAATCTAATGATCAAAATTGTTCACCGGGTCGGTACTTCAGTGTGTGACCCGATCAAGTGCTCTTGTCGGCACAAGATAAAACAGATGTAATTTAAAAGCGACATGGCAGACTTCGTCAATCAGGTGTTTGGTTGGTTAAATCCAACTTGTGCATAAGGTGCATCGCCGGTGTCCTCGAATTGTTTTACGGGGGAGTTGTGTGTGTGTGTATGTGGGCGTGCGATCGAATATATAACACAATAATCTTTATTACACATAATGACCTCGTTAAGCGGTTTTATCGAATTTTTTCAAAAAGGAAAGGTAAAGATAACGCAGGTTATCTATTTTAAGGAGATTATTGTAAAATATAATAAAATAAAACTTTAACCTAACATTTGTGTTAATTTAAATAGCTATAATAATTATTAGAAGATTATTTGTGCAACTTCTGTATATGAATATATATATATTTTAATTCTCCGCAGACGTTTAGACCGAAGAAGAAATTCGCTCATGGAACGTTACGTTATTCTTTGCACAAGCAAGCTCAAGCCTCTCTTAATTCCGGTATTAATTTAAGAGCCGTTGTTAAATTACCTCCGGGTGAGGATTTGAACGATTGGATCGCTGTTCACGGTAGGGCGAAATGTGTCTGACGCAGTTTTTTTTATCTCGGATTGTCTGTTGAAAAATTTGTTGACATTTATATTTGTTTTCCTTTTTTTGTTTAGTTGTAGATTTTTTTAATAGAATCAATCTCATATACGGCACGGTGTCCGAATATTGTGATTCAGCGTCCTGCCCGGCAATGAGCGGCGGTGCACGTTTCGAATACTTGTGGGCGGACGGTGAAAAATATAAGAAACCGACAGCCCTGCCGGCGCCGCAATACGTTACTCTTCTCATGGATTGGGTCGAGGCTCAAATTAATAACGAAACTGTTTTCCCAGTGTCGACAGGTTCTTATTATATCTAATTAATCAGATTAACTGTATTTATCATTTGTGTTAGATTGCATTACGTCAAGTACTTTTGTTGCAGATGTGCCGTTTCCCAAGACGTTTATACCATTATGTAGAAAAATCTTAACTCGCCTCTTTAGAGTTTTTGTCCATGTATATATCCATCATTTCGATCGCATTGTAGCAATAGGAGCTGTAAGTTATATTAACTTTCTTTTTATATATATATATCATATATATATCGTTGTAAAGAAAGTTTCAATTGATTGTCTGTACTTGTAATTTCAGGAAGCGCACGTGAACACGTGTTACAAGCATTTCTACTACTTTGTAACAGAGTTCGATCTAATTAATTCTAAAGAATTAGAACCACTAGCCGAAATGACTGCTAAGGTTTGTAAGGACAGTGCTTCTCCTACTCAAAATACAGCGCCGTCAACCAATCAGAGCAGATAGTTACGTTATGGTCACGCTTCAAAAAACTGACAACTGTAATTCACAGTGAAATAGTGGAATCTTCAACGCTTGTGTTTGTTTACGTGCGTATTTAAACGATTTGTGAGATTTCAGATCGTGCTCTATTTGTGTGCATTGCAAAAAGTTAATTATCTGTTTTGTAGTGATATTAGTTTAAAAAAAAATATTATCTTTTTTCTTTTGAATAACAATTTAGAAGAAAACTCTTACTGATAATTTGTTTATTTTGTGTTTATCACGTGGCAAATCAAATTTAGTTTACATGATTTATTCTTATATTATTATATATTATTATTATTATTATTATATAATTTTATGTTCTATTTAATATTAAAGATAAGTTTACTAAGCCATATATATTATAAATTATATACATACTATTTTTTCGAGTATATATATTATTATTTAAATAATATTTAACTTTGAAAAAAGTAATCGTACATATGGTCTTCTATCTTCCTCTTTTAGATAAAATTTATATTTAGAATACATTAATACATTGAATTAGAATATTAATATACATACATTTTTATATATGTTTATAGTCATATATGTGCAATACTTTATAAGCTTTTTTCTCATCGTATATTTGCGTAATTATATTTTCAAAATCATTAAAGACAAAATATTTCTATGCTGCGTAGTTACGTTGAACATAGTTGAACTGTAGAAGATATATTTCTTTTCTCTTATATATCTGACAATATTATAATATCTTATGTATCACAGACATCCATTAAATGTAACAAATTTTAAAAAACTTATTGATAAGAAATACCGCGTGACGAAATTGTATTGCATCGAGCAATTAGCATTTTCAGCATCTGTTTGTATTGAAATATGATAAAACACATCCAGATATGTGAAAACATTGTATGCTATAATGGTATTAAGACTCGAGCGATGGATGCTAAATTATTTTTACCAATTTCTTTACTACACAAATCAAATATTATACGTGGGCTTAAATATCATAAATATATTTAAGCATAAACGATATTCGTAGAATCTGTTTCTTAATTATATTAATGCCAAAGCTTATAGGCTAGCAATTTTTTAAATTATGCTTCACGTCATAGCTTTCGTGTATATAAATTAGATAAATGTAAATATTCTACAAATTTGCTATTTATCTCTCGTGTGCGAGATTACATGCTACAATATAATCTCTATTGTATGTGCATTTTAAACTCTTACAATTTTAAGAGTTTGATTGAATCTAAAAATACGCATTTTAAATTCTTCCTAGAATTTATTCTTAAGGTTTATTATTTATTTATACACACATATATATATATATATTTTATGTATTTTCTTCTCTCCATATTTATATAAAACAATATATTTACAATTACTACATTACTGTCCATGTGTCAAATACAGTCCGCACAAAGTACAAATAACGATTGAAATGTTCCACTTCAGTTTATATTTATTGCCAAAAAGCATTTATGACACAAAGTATATTGTGTAAAACACATCACTAGTCATTTATCGCTTATGCGCATCTTTTGGACAGATTAAATAAAAAAAAAAGTGCTGTTATATTAAAGTTATCTCTTCTTTTTACCTTTCTAGCCGATACTTTTCTTTAATTAACTAATATTTTTCGCCGCTGCGTAACAAACCTAAAGTATTGACACCCTATAATTGTAAGGACTTTTGCAACATAGTTTTGACTGTGTTTATTTTTGTTTTCAGACAGGAAAATACATCAACGAACATCAGCTTCGTAAATGTACGGCAAAATAAAACTACAATCTCGTATAAAGAAAGATCGACAACAACGCTTACATGTATGTGTATATTACATAATTATATTTAGAATCATTATCCACATAGAGATCGGTCACTCTACAAAGTATCCACATGGTTGTTTTATTAAATTATTCGCGAACATACATAGATATTGTAGTTTTATTTCATTTCTATTTAATGCGCTAAGATTTATTAACGAGACACTTTTGCGGTTGGAGATGATGATTCACACCCTGAGCCAATACATAGCCGAACGAATGTTGTTGTAATCCGACAAATTTTCAACAGGGCCGACTGCCGCGATCACCGGGCACTGATCGTAAATATATTTCATCCCGACATTTTGAATAGTTTCGGCAGTTATGCTCTGAAAGAGAAATAAAACGCGATCAAATGACAATACGTGTCTTTTGACAGTATATAAAATCATTAGGGTAAAAAAAAACAAATTTCACAATTTAAAATTTTTGGACTTTCTGTTCGGAAACATCTCCGTTTCGTTGGAGCTACTTACATCTATCCTCGCTTCGAGCTCATGAAGTGGAATACGGCGATTGTAGCACAACATTTGACGACCGATATCCTCACAGATTGCCGTGGTTCCGTCCAACTGTAAGAATATATTCGTTTTCAGGATGTTCTTCGCGCGTGCTACATCTTTCTCCGTGACCGATGTGCAAAGTTTCATCCATTCCTTTTGAATTTCCGCGGTCATGTCCTCGCATTGCATAGGATCGCAAACGAAATATACACCCCAAAGTCCTGTGTCCTGCGCACAATAAGAGAGAATAAATGTTAAATTGATTGCAACATTGACTACAGATTGATTTTTAGTTTTCGTATACATATATACGATATGTACCTTGTAACATGTGTTAAAACTCTGATAACTATGACACAAGCCTTCCTCCGCGCAAGCTTTAGCCAAGGCGCTTGCGTTATTTACACCTCCTCCTTGGCTACGATCCCATGCTCCGATTAGGGTGTTTGCGACCATAAGAGGAATGTTATCCGCCTCGGGCCACCCAGCGCCTTCCGGCCAAAAGTCAATCAATTGTCATTAAATGTCAAACTGTGACAATTTAAGTATATTGATCGAATATTTTCTTGTCTTTTTTTATATTAGTCTAAATACCTTCGACAGCAATCGCGATGTGGGCGAGAGGAATCGTATCGTCGCGAACTCTTATCTCCGAACCGGTGTAGCGACAGGCTTGAACGTAGTCCGGAATGTCATCATATTCCGGTCCCTTCATTCGGCCAAAGTGTTTATCAGCGAGTTCGATTAACTGATTGTGATCTACGCCACCAGCGCCAGCTAGTACAAATCTAAATAAATCCAAACAACGTGAATCACGAGATATCAGTGTGCATTAATTTTTAAATAGATTCATAATTGCAGCTGAACATTTACCTGGGCGGTCCGTAATGATTTTTCACATATCTAACAAGATCATCTCGCGAAATGCTCTTGATGTTTTTAGTAGGTCCCAATATCGTTCGTCCCAAGGATGTACCTTGATAAGCGGCAGCATGAAGATGATCAAATACTACTTCTTGCAAATTTGTCTCGACTTCCTGCATTTCTCGCAAGATAACACCGCGCTCCCTCTCGATCTCGCTTTCGCCCAACTTCGAATTTTGAATAATATCGCTAAGAATCTCAACAGCTTTTGGCACATCTTGCGCCAAACATTTTGCATAAAATACTGTTTGCTCTCGGCTTGTATAGGCGTTCAAGTGAGCTCCCATATTCTCAATTTCCAATTCTAAATCGGTTTGAGAACGTTTGGCAGTTCCCTATACGTGAAAACATGAAATATTTATGTCAATATAAATCAGAGATACAGAAATGCGTGATACAATGTTACAGAAAAAGTTATAATTTTTTGCACAGACCAATCATATTTAATATCACAAACTATATAACTATCTATCATTCTCCATTAATAACAATGACATTTAATTCTACCTTAAAAGCCATGTGTTCTAAGAAATGAGCGACACCGTTGTTTTCATCAGTTTCATACCGACTGCCAGAATCGATCCAAAGACCGACAGTAGCCGTGGCAGCTCCGCTGTCTTCGCTGGCAACTCTCATTCCACTATCCAAAGTCGTTACTCTTGTAGCTGGCTGATTGATAAGCAGCTCCTTCAGAGATGTTGCGGTTGATTGCCATTGTTTCGGTGTCTGTAAAAGAAATATTCTGTTATTACATCTCTGTTGTTTCTTTCTCATACAAGTGACATATCTCAAACTTCTATATCTAAACAAATGTCTAAGACATTGGTAACTAAATAATTGTGTGCTACTTGTGTTTTTTCTCGCGCAACACATTAAATCCGTCAAAGGGGGGCAACAAAAAGACAAAATATTAAGAGTGGCACTTGGAGCTCGGTTGAGGTTAGTGACAAGATCAAATACTCGATTACACGCTAACACTCGCGACATGTCTCGCGCAAATATCTCAAACTGCGAAACTGTCGCATCGTTTTTGCATATTGTGTGTCCTAAAACTATTGTTTTGCTCTTATTACGTAAGGAGTGAGAAAGAGAAGAGTCACAGCGAGGGTGACAATTTTGCGTTTCCAATTGTGGCGAGCGAGGAAATAAGACGAGCGATTAAAATCTCACAGCAATTATAGATCGTGAAACTGCAATCCTTTTGTTTTACCTTTACAAGACTGGTTTTATTAGTGTACGAGCGCAGCGCGCTACTGAGTTTCAACAGCCGAGTAGCCATTTTTCGGACTTGTCGCGAAATCCTGACGACGACGACAGAACACAGCGACGAAGTGTTCGTGAAGAATCGGTACGGCGCAAGATGGCGCTGTATGACGCGATGACCCTCCCGATGCACACACGAGTATGTAGATCGGCTGCGCGTTAGGGGAAAACGCGCAAACAATCGGGAACGTTGTGTGAGAACGTTGTGACATTTTTTTCAACATTTTTCGGAACAGATTCCAAAACCCGCCAGAAGTCAATCACGTCGTTCGTTCGCCGATGACTGATTGGCCTTTTATTGAAGAAACTTATCGAAATTCTCTATCGAACGACCAATCAGGCACGACCGACGACGAGAGAATTCAAGCTTCTCCCCCACCCTTGCTTTTGGAGTTCTATGCGCTCTCACGATCGAAGCTCAAGGTCACCGAGCGAATTTTAGCTCGTTCTCGGTCATTCTCGGTGGAGTCGCCATATTTTGTAGATCGAACGAGCAGAGCTTGGCCACGCCATTGTTGCCTGCGTCACGTTATTATTTTGTGTTTTCCTGTTAAACCGTCGGACCGTTTTTTCATCCTTGGTGAGGTGCGGCGGCGTACACGTAGATAGTGCGAAGCTTTTCACGTAGACGTCGTGTTCGGTCTTCGGTGGAACGTTTTAGAAGAAAACGGACGCATCGTCGCGATATCACAGAGAAGACGTAAGATTTATTGTCGACGCTATAGAATTCGTGTAAGCGCTGTCGATTGCGACCGCAATGCCGCGTGTATCGTTTCGTCGGATTGATTGTATCTGGTGTAAAAGTTCTGAATCTTTTTTTTTTTTTTTTTTGCCTCAAACGTGCGCGAAATCAATCGAGTCGAGAAACACAATGCGATGACTCGCTTATTTCGCGCACCGTTGGTGTGTGTGTGCGGCCTGCGCTTTTCACTTCCGTTTAATTTCATAATCGTATGCACACGTTCTCGCGCCGAGTTACAAAGCGCATACACACAGGCGGTGGTGTATGGTACAATCGATTTTATTTCATCTTGTTTCAGCGTCTTTGTGAGGTGATGAGAATTCGCATCCGATATTTCGAGTTTCCTAAGAGACATACATTTAAGAGACACGTCTACGCGAACGATTTAGTGAAATATTTTTTTTTTTTTGTATTTCTTTTTTTTTTATTTTTTCAAGTTTGTCACGCGTTTCAACATATTTCAAACGCTACACAGCTTTGCAACATATTGTTCGTTGTGTCGCATTGTTCTAAGCACTGCCTAAGTGCTTCGTTAGATATTTTCTTGTAAAATTTATATTTCTATATCTATTATACATAATCTCGAATATTTATAAATCGTTGGACACTTCTAAAAAAAAAGGTGTTATCGTGACAATTAGATAATCGGAGTTGATAAAATATCGACTCGGTAATATATTTTGTTTTGTGTATGATTTTTTTTTTCAGAAGTAGAAGAATAAATGAACAAAAATCATGTATGGCAATAACATCGATCCTTGGGAACCTGGCTACGGGCCAGAGAGAAGGACTCACAATTCCGACTACGATTACCGCAACGATTACGGTAACAGCAGATCGCCGGAATATTCGGAACACCGTGACGTCGATCATCGTGATAGGGATCATCGCAGTCCGGATTACCGAAATCATCGCGGAAGGGACCGAGATCGCGAGAGAGATCGGTCAAGAGACAGAAGGGATCGCAGCAGAGACGACCGTGATCGTAGCTACCGAGATCGGGAGGATCGTTACGGGAGACAGAGAGATAGAGATTCAGTGGAAAGGGACAGAGACAGGGATAGGGATAGAGATAGGGACAGAGATCGTTCGAGACGTGACCGCGATCGCGACAGAGATCGGGATCGAAGGGGGAAGCGCGATGATCGGGATCGTGATCGAGACGACGATCACAGCCGAGAAAGTATGGACTTTGAGCACGATCATGGTGGTCGTTCCTATAGCTCTTCTATGGAAGGGGTCCACTACAAATCGCAATCGCCCAACAACACCATAATGATACGTGGGCTTGCTCAGCATATTACTGAAAATGACGTAGGTTGTCAACTTGTGGCTTGACAATAGTGGCCACTCGTGAGCCAGCATTATCGAGCGTGGCATCACTGTTATTATTATGATGTGTGTATCACAGGTGCGGCAAGACATCCTCAGCTGCGGCCTCATGCCTAAGGACATCAGGCTGATACGAAAAAAAGATACAGGTAATTATTATACTATCAGGCATTTTTACATCCTTGTTATTTTTATTTAATTTACCTATTAGTTGCGTTTTATTTTGTAACACAATATTGAAATATCAAATTTTTACATGCGGTAGCTTTTGTTAAATTAAAACATAAGTGAAAAACGACATGAGAGAAGTTGACATTGAGATTACATGTAACATGGGTAAATATCCAGAAATCGTACACGTGAAGTTTCTTGCAAACTTATTCCATATCACCAGTATCTTAGTTGTGTATATTACTCGGAATTTGCGCGCACGAAAATTTTAAGAAAGAAAAAACTAACTCGATAAGATACACATTGAAGTTTGAAAGAAAAAAAAAAAAAAAACCGATAAGAGATTACTTGCTCCGTACAAAATAGTTTATCTAAAAGATTATTAAGTTTATTCGCAACGCTACAATTTCAAAAATTATGTACCAATTTTAACGTGTTATAAAATTTTATACAACCTGTATAGTTACATACAATTAGCAGTAAAATTTACATAGAGCTATCCGGTTAAGATGTTCCTCCGCGAGATCAGAAATGATCCGGTACTGAGATATCTTTCTTCTAGTGTGGATTTTCTGCACACACTAGAAAACTATCGATACAATTAGTGCACATCTGTTCCGAGTTGGATTTTTATTTCCGGCGTCTTTTTTTATTCGCAAAATTTCCACATTATTCTCTTCGGGTAAATTGTTGCGTGATAGAAGGATTAAAAAAAAAAAAAAGGTCAAGAAATTTTGTCTCAACACTGGGTATAAAAAAAAAAAGAAAAAAAAAATTCTGTAACGTTAAATTTGTTATGTACATAACTCGTTGATCGGTGAACTGCGGTCTCTCGCACAGAATTCGTTCTGCTGAGGTTTAGGTAAATGGAATATGAAAGCGAGCGACGAAGCGAAGAGACACTTCGTTTGAAAACTCTGTCAATGGATTGCCTGCCCTCTCAGAGTAGAGACCCCCAGGCAAAAACGTGGATTAACTCTGGATATGTGTGTATTTGCTCTGTATAGGTGCTTCGCGAGGTTTCGCATTCGTCGAGTTTAACGCGACTCAGGAGGCCGCACGGTGGATGGAGATGAAACAGGTAGAAAGAACTTCGGTCCAGATACCCAACCGATGCGTTGTTGCACGCGTGCCACCGACTGCCCCGTGGCGGCAAGGCACGGTAACGCAGCCCTCTGGCCCCTTCTCGTGGGTCACGGCTGTGCATCAACAAATAATTAATTATTTATTTAGGAAATCCCAAATATTTTGCAGACTTTACTTATAACGCTCGCAATATCGGATTAAGTTTGCGATTTCACTGAGATTTATACACGACGCGTCGCGGTGCTTTTACTTCCCCTCCCCCCTCCGTTCTCTGTCTATCACAAAAAAAGTTCGTGGACTAACGAAGAAGACCGGAGAAGGGTCATTCCAGTCGTTTTTTAATTTTTAAAAAAATTTTGTAAAAAATTTTTTTATACTTTCATTATCTACTGTATTCGGCATGGTAGTTAATTTCCAAATCACACGAGTTTTTCTTTTGCTATATTCGTGCCATGTATTTCTCTGTCATTCATTATTACTCATGTTTTTTCGCTTCTCCTGTATTCGCTTGATTTCTTACAATATGCGATTATTGATCACACGTCGCATTGACATTCGGAGATCTCCTCGGAGAGTTTTAATGCACGAATTCTTAAATTTTTTTTTTTTTTTTTTTTTTTTATTTATTCGCAAAGATTCTTTACACCGCGAGCAACCGTCGCGTTGCTCGCTTGTATATGCACTTTTTTAAAACTAAAAATTTTTATACAAATTTTTTTTTTACCACTGTAAAAATCGCGCATGAACAAGTCAGCCCGCAAGCGGTGTGGAATGACCCACGTTCAGTAAAATTAAGCCCACGAGGCTTTGTTCGCTCGAGACAGAGAAAGCTATGAAGTAGAAAAAGATAATTTTGTCAACCAAGAAGAAAGTTTACGGGAAAAACAAGAGGCCTTGGGAAGACCTTGGACGGGATAACACTGAAATTCTCTGTTTCAGGGAGTGCTGATGCTGCAGGATCAATATCGTGCTTTGATGCAGTACAGCATCCCGAAAGAGTGCCATGTAGATAAACCGCCAGCCAAAAATACGCAGGATTGGCACTGTGTTAAAGTTAGTATCACGAATTTTTTTGTTTTATTTCTTATATAACAATGTGTGTGTGTGTGTGTGTATTTATGTGAATGTATTCTACCACCCGTCCCTTTCTAGTGCGGAGCGCATAATTTTAAACGCCGCGAAACTTGCTTCAAATGTTCCGCCTCGCGAGCGGAAAGCGAGGAGGGCGGAGAAGGTAGCGACGAGATCAGTCCTCATCCTACCAACACCGTGCTCTTACGCGGATTGGATGTGTTAACAACTGAGGATTCGGTTTTGCAAGCAATGAAGAATCTGTCGTCGATGCCGATACGTAGTATTCGCATCGGTCGCGATTCTCTCACGAATACGTCCAGAGGAGTGTGCTATCTGGAAATGGGTAACGTGGTGGACGCGATGTATTTGCATACCGCGCTCACGAAGCAAGGTCTTGTGGTCGACGGTAGAAAGGTGGAGATAGCGTATTGCAAACTTCATCAGGTCAATAATACAAACACGTGGAAATCGAACGATGCTCAGCCGCAGAGGTACACTTTAGACGACGTTGCTCAATTGGCTGAGTACAGTGCCAACTTGTATGCCAAAACACCCGCGCAAAAGGCCCATTACCTTCAGTATTACACTCAGTACTATCAGAATCAGATTATGCAGGGTTCGGCGATCACGTTGCCATCGCTGAATCAGACGGATCGGGTAAATGCCGCCGCGGCAGTGGCTCAGTCCGCTATTCAGCAATTACAAGCGTCCAGAAAATTAGGCAGCGAAACCGACGACGGGAAAGGACGACCAACTGCAGCGGCATCCAGTTTGTCTGTGCCAAGTGGGAGAATACCTGCACACTCTGGTGATGGAAAAGCGTACTGTGAGTTTTTCCTGAGAATGTACAATTTAAGTTCATTTCTGACACGTAATGCGCAAAGCTTCAAAACCGTTGTGTGTAATTTTTTTCGATTTCAGCTGTACCAGATGTTAGCACCTACCAGTACGACGAGTCGTCGGGTTATTATTATGATTCCAGTACGGGATTGTATTACGATCCGAATTCGCAATATTATTACAACAGTCACACGCAACAATTCCTATATTGGGACGCCGAAACGTTCACTTATCAACCAGCGAAAGTAAGAAAAGTTTTACAAAACAAAAAAAGCAACCAACGTCAAAGTCTGTTCAAAAGATGCTGTATTATAAAGAGCGTTGGTCGCTTGTTATTTTTCATTTACAGACTACTGCGAATACGACGCAAGGAACTGTGAGCACGATAACAGCGATGGCAAGCAGTGCGGATTCCGCGAGCAGTCAAGGTACGAGCTCGGCGACTGGTACTCAGGACGCGTCAAAAGAAGATGAGAGTAAGAAAAAGGACAGCAAACAGGATAAAGTGAAAGTAGCGAAGAAAATAGCAAAGGATATGGAACGTTGGGCGAAAACGTTGAATCAGAAGAAAGAGAACGCGAAGAGTAATTGGAACTCCGAGTTTTCCGGTGTGGATGGTAACCAAGGTGTCGGGAGCGGAGCGGCGGATGCAGGATACGCGATCCTTGAAAAGAAAACGATCGCGAATCCTTACCACGAAGACGAGGATCAAAGTAATAACGGCTTGGTAGCCGCTTACGGTGGCGGTAGCGACACAGAGGAGGAGATAGAGGACGTTCAACAAGAAGAGAGACAGCACACGGACTGGAATAAGCTCGCGTGTTTACTCTGCAAACGACAATTCCCGAGCAAAGAGGCGTTAATCCGGCACCAACAGTTATCCGACCTTCACAAACAGAACCTAGAAAATTGGTATCAGGTACGCGGTCTGGATCCCAACGATCCGCAACAGAGAAACAACAAATACAGAGATCGCGCCAAGGAAAGGAGAGCTAAGTACGGTGAACCTGAACCACCGCAACCCAATAAATTAAAAGAGAAATATTTGAAAACGAGAGTGGAAGAAGTGCCAGTCTCTTACGAGGAACCTACGCGAGCCGGTATAGGTTCCGACAACGTTGGCAATAAATTACTACAAAAGATGGGCTGGAGCGAAGGGATGGGATTAGGAAAATCCAATCAAGGTAGAACAAGTATTATCGAAGCCGAGAGGCGTGTGCCGACGGCAGGCTTGGGAGCGAAGACTTCGTCGTACAGTGCATTACCGGGCGACACTTACAAAGATTGCGTGAAAAAGATGATGTATGCGCGATATCAAGAATTGTCTGACACGTAGGAGATATTGTTATAAAGCAAATTTTATATATACAAGTACTCCATTTCCATTAGACACATGTAATTACACGCTCCATATGTTATCATCCGAAAAAAATACTGTAATCCCACTTACTGTACTGGTGATTGCACAGTGACAACGAAATTGAAAGGTTGATACTGTGCACACTAATCGTAAACGCAATACACATTTATACATCTTCGTGTGAAGTTCCGTTCTCACGCTTCGCTGTAATAGCATTCTATATAATGTGTACGATACTGTTTTTTTTTTGTTTTTTAGTAGAGAAATATAAAATCAATTTGTCTCAAAAAGTGCGCATATTATTTTCTACTCTTTGTTCAACAACATCGGTTGTTCGCAAATTGGAAAGAGCGACTAGTTTTTGTTTTATAATTAAACCTTTTGATTTACACATGCAATACTCGTAGAAAAAAATCGATATTATATCTGTCAAAAAAAGAACAAAAAAACAGGCACAAAATGCTCTGCAATGTGACACAATAATTTATGCTTCAGAATAACTCTTGTACAGCTGAGTACCAGTAAAATATAACGTACGAGATCGAAAATTCTTTTCAGAATTCTGCGGAAATAAATAAATTATATAATATAAAATCGATATAGAAGATTAAAGATCTTGTAGCGTAAAAAACAATTGTTAAAATAAAATATATATCTAGGTATTATATATTTATTTTTGTGTTCACACATATTTACATATTAAGTTTTGTTTGTTTGTTTGTTTGTTTTTTTTTATCGTAATTGTCATATTCTGGAAATTACGGATTATGTACTTGTCACTATGTACACACACACACACACACACGCAAACGCGCTTACACACATTTTTTCAACACTATTCCTACTCTTACTACTATTATGTCAGATATATTATTTATCATTTATTTTTCTAAAGTTATGTTTTACGAGATTAATGTATGAAGTAATATACAGATCAAGAAACATTAATAAATATACACGTGAAACATTTATTGCTAAAACGTGTTGAATTGATCGACTTGTGGCTTGGGTAGTTGTGTCGGAGGCCACTATACAAGAGAAAAAAAAACACGTTTTCTTTTACAGGTCGAACCTCACTCAAAACTACAAGCTTTTTCACACCTTCATTGTATTTGTGGTGTCATTCCAACAGCAGAAAGTTCTTGTACTTGAGAAGGTCATTAAGACGACACTTTATTTCGTGGATTCCTGCTCTCGCGGAGGAAAAAGAGAAAAAAAAGTTTTTTAAATTCAGACTTGGTTTTTAGGAAAATCACACAATTAAAATATATATAATGAGATTACTTTATCTTATATTTAGATGTTCCTCATACGAAATATGCAAATATTTTTGTACTTATTTTTAAATATGTAAGTCAAGTATTCTGTATCATATACAGTTTACGTATTTCTTATAATTTATTTCTACTTATTTTTACCTAAAGTTTTTCACTTTCACATTTCTGTTTCTTCTCTTTTGCTTTCCTTTTTTTCTCTTTCTCTTTAATTTATTACTATAACAATAAACACGTTTCATCGTTTTTTTTTTTTTTTTTTTACAACAGTCCGCTACTGTGTCGCTAACTTATCGATGTAATTAGATATTGCTATCAGTTTTAATTACATTGAAAAAAAACTGCAAAATAAAATATTACATATTTTTGTACATTCACGCGAGATGTAGGAACTAAATTTGTAGTAATAATAAATATATTAGTGCTATAAAAATTTATAATAAACTAAAAAATCTTACAAATTTTCTATAATAATTTACATTAAAACTTTTATGTATAAAGAGGAGACGGTGAGAGATGTGTACAACAAAAACTTTTATATAATCACATCTGCAACATCTATACTAAAACTACATCTCTACTCATTGTCAGTAAAATCACATTGTTATAATCTAATAGACATAAAAAGAGTACAAAAACCAGAATTTCTTCCGCAGCATCTCTCAGGCAAATATCGTATAGTCAAAGATTTTTTGTTTGTTTTAAAACGATATCTAATTCAAGAACACATGGACAAGAGTATCAAGCTTGTCGCATATGTGTGTCTCTCTTTTAATAGTGTTGAACTTTTCAAGAAATGGAGATATGATAACAGTCTTCAAAACCTTGACAGTTACGCGTATCAATTACTATCGCAAGACCTGTCAACATTAATATTATTGGAAAAGCATCTGTGACTCTAAAGCTTACATACTACAAATTGTTAAAATTGTTCGTTTCAGTACACACGCACACACACACAAGAGTGCAGTGTTAATGTCTTTGCAGAGATACACTTAAACTTGGTGCTCTATCACAGTATGCTACTCTTACAAATTTGTTCGCTCGTTTCCGCATACCTTGTAAAAGAAAAAAAAAATTGTCCGCCGCTAGATAAAACGAACTGTCACGGCCTTACAGCCGTGATCGAAGAGACACGTATATCTCTCTAAAGTAAAACTTTGTACATTACACATCGACTAAAATCCAAGAGTATAAAGGTCGCAGCTGATGATTTAACACTCTGTACTCCAGATTGTTGAGTCCGTCAGTGTCGTATCTTCGCGCGCCACTCTCCAAATTGGCGAATCTCGCGGTATTCGGAGACTCCTTCTTGTGTATCAACATATAATACTGCGCGACATCAGGTCCGAAGCGTGTGATCTGCTGAAACAATAATCGATATTTGAGCTTACGTATGTAACAAATACAAAAGTGTGTACTCCCGTGTTGTATGTTAGAGATTGAAACTGAGATCAAACCTGAAAACCTCTGGACTGCAAACGACTGTAAAAGTCATCGTCCTCTCCGCCCCAGCCGTAGAAGACGTTGGAAAAACCATTCACCCTTTCGAATTGCTTTCGCGTTAACGCTATCGCGCCTCCGAACAGACCGGTGTACGGCAGATTGTAACGAAAGGTATTTACACTTGAGCTCATGTGCCTGGGCATTTTGGTGCACGCGTAGATATTGTCGGGATTTTGCGGTATTAGGTCTATATCCTGGAAGATGAAACAGTGAAAGTCGTTGATCTTCGTGGCCTCCGCGTAGCCGACGTTGAACAGCTTGGCGCGATTGAACTCGCGCATCGGGCTCTGCTCGATGACAAATATCCGATAGTCGAGATTCTGCGCCTGCAGAAACGGATGTATGTAATTCATGAAGATGGTGAGCTGATTCTGTCTGTTGCGATAGGGCAGAATGATGGCCACGTTGAAGAGAGGATGGCAATTGTGCGGTTTCCACTGGCCACCGGGAAGTATGCCGAGTCGTCGGGCCATCGTAGACGGATCCTCTTCCGGATGTTCCTCCGGATAGAGAAGTTGCGCGGGCCGTTTGCCGCCGACCGGGATCACGCAGGAGTTGTCGCGCGGCGGATACGATCTCTCCATCTCGTCGTAGATGTTCTCGGTCTTGATGAAGGTGTAGTGGGACGCGAATCGCGCCGGATGCAGACAATAACACAGCACGAGTATCGTCGTCACCGTGTAGGACAATCCGCGCGCGTAATCATAGAAGAACGCGATGAGCATCTTCAAAATATTGACGAAGTTCCTCATTCTCCCTAACCTACGTCCGACCGTTTCATACAGAGATGTATCAATCGGAACGAACGATTTTCAGACAGAAAGAGACAGACGCGCGTTAGATCCGCGTCGTGCTCGCCGATTCTCACATGTGTGCTCGTTCGATCGCGAATTGGAGAAGAGATTGACGATATGTCGGAGAGTTACGCTCCCGCGAAGCAAAGCGGGACACAGACACACAGATGTTGACAGACGCGAGTTGCAGACGACAAACCAGAGATGCGTTCGTCGATACGCATGCGCGAAAAGTCGCGAATCGGAAAAAAACTCAATTTTTGCGCTTTGCGATAACGCGCTTTGCAATAATTATCGATAAACAAAAATCTCAAATACTTGCATTTTCGCACAATTATTTATTTGACTTAGACATGTCGCTTACATGTGAATCTCAATGCTCCGACCGAACATTTAAATTGGTTTTTTTTTTTTATCGAAAAGTCACACATAGAAAAAAATACACGTGCGTGATTGTTTATAAGTTAACTTTATTTAAACTTCTGTTAAATATTATTTAACCGTGATATATTTGACATTTACATATTAGCAATTTCATTCTTAAAAGCACAGTTGAGAATGCGGAACATTCAAGTAAAAAGATTACAATATTCACATTGTAATGCTATATGGTACCCAACGTCAATGAACAAGAATAGCTCGCGGTGATTCTTTGGATTTGTTATTATCGACTTTGGGTATGTTCAATCGATGAAAACCATCTAGCATGTCTTTCACGAATTTATCCATCATAGCCGGAGTGTGCTTCGGGGTCGGGGCTAATCTCAATTTTTCTTCACCTTTCGGGACCGTCGGATAATTTATGGCTTGCACATAGTGACCTTTATTCTTCAACATGTAATCCGCTATCTGACTGCACAACAACGGATCTCCTATCTGTGAGAGAAAAAAAACAAAAACAAAAACACATTTATCTCTTGTTTTACTCGAGTAATAATTGATTGAATTGATTAATTAATTAAATTCTGCTGATTACAGAGAGCTTTTATGTATACTTTTATTGGAATGATGTGAGAGGGCGACGGTTCGACCGGAAGACTTGCGGCAGTAAGAATAGACTTCATATAGGCCACGTTTTTCTGATGACTCGACCGCAACGACCTGCCTTCGTCCGATGCCAAGATCTCGATGGATGTCAAGGCTCCGTACAACACAGTTGGCGGTAGAGAAGTGGTAAAAATAAAACCGGCCGCGTAACTTCTTATCATGTCGACTAGACTCGAGGAACCGACAATGTAACCGCCCACATTGCCGAAGGCTTTTCCCAGAGTCCCGGAAATGATGTCCATCTTTTGGAGCACCCAATCTCTCTCGCCGATACCGGCGCCGCAATTGCCGTAAAGACCGACCGCGTGGACCTCGTCGATGAACGTTAACGCGCCGTATTTGTGCGCCACGTCGCACAACTTCTCCAACGGACATATGTCACCGGTCATTGAATGAACCGTCTCGAACGCGACGATCTTCGGTATACTTCTGTCCACCTTTGACAAAAGCTCCTCCAAGTGTTTCACATCGTTGTGTCGGAATATGTGCTTGGGCACCCCGCTGTTTCGTATGCCCTGTATCATCGAGGCGTGATTCCCGGCGTCGGAAAATATATGACAGTTCGGCAAAATTTTCGCCAAGGTGAACAAAGTGGAGTCGTTGGCGACGAAGCACGAGGTAAAAAGCAAACCGGCGTCTTTCTGATGCAACAACGCCAATCGTTTCTCCAGCATCTCGTGGCCCATAGAATTGCCCGAAATGTTTCTTGTGCCACCAGCGCCCGCGCCGAACTTGTCCAGAGCCTCCCGAACCGCGTTGATTACCGCGGGATGACGCGACATACCCAGATAATCGTTGGAACACCATACGGTGATAGGTTTCTCGCCCCACGAATACTCCATGGCCGTGGGAAAGTTTTCAGCCAGACGATTCACCTTCTTGAACACTCTGTACGAGTGATCGTTCTTCTTCCGTTTGATTTGTTCGTGGAAAAACGTCTCGTAAGGAAAAGAAGACGCTTCCTCCTTCTGCTCCACGTTATCCACACTGATAACGTCCTCCTCAACCGCGGGACTGGCCTCGGTAACGGCGTTTCGCTCTCTGAACAAGAACGGACACTGATTCTCTATTGTTTCCGGAATCGGCTGCGACTTCTCTTCCGGCATCGTGTTCAGCAATTTCGACATCACCGGACAATGTTGCCTGTAGTTCATCAGCAGGGACGAGCCGTAGTTGCGAACGAAATTCGCTGATAAATTGGTCAGAAACGGGCACGGCATGATTTTTGAAAGACCTGAAAAAAAAAAAAAAAAACAGAGATTTACGTAACGTGTATCAAAACAAACTCTAGAGGAAAAACATGACCACTGAAGAACTGTGATCTCGTTATCTCCGAACTTAATCGCAATTAACTCATTAAAATGCCAATAGCACTAGTATTATGTTTTCAGCAGAGAGTTGACTTACAAAACTGATCGATCATGACTGATACTTGATCGACCGACTAGTTTTTGTCTTTGAAAGATGGTGCGAAACCGGTACTAAACATCAAGTTTCTAAAAATACTTCAACATTGCTCTAAGTTCTAGATGACAGTATCCAATGTTACGTAAATTCGCAACTATTGTCAAGTATGTTGAGATAAGATACGACACAAGTGGCGGTGATGGAGCAAAATTTAAAGATCGTCTTTCGAGCGAACACTCGAAAGACGGAAGTTTTTTTTGCATCTGACGTCTCTCGCGGAATTGCACAATTCGCGCGCGGAAAAAACAAAGAAACAAGGACAGAATCTGGAAACAATAAGCGCGCGTTAGATAATAAACGCGCACTGTGCGTGCGTGTGTTCGCGCATAAATTAAAAAAAAAATGTAAGAGTTCGCAAAAAAAAAAGTCCAAGTCATCGTCACGCGAAGCGGAGCGAGGAGAAGGTAAAAGAGAAAGTGAGACTACGTACTTGAACGTAGAACCTGAGAATATGCGAAACGTTACCTCTTGTGGTGTTCACGACACAGGCACCGAGCTGGACGCACTGTCGGATCAGAGTCTGGAAAACGAACGGAAAACGTCAACTTGTTGCGACTTCGTGCGAGTTTACGTCAACTCGATAACACGAAAGAGAGAGAGAGAGAGAGAGACAGAGAATCCGAGTCAGAACAATACAACGCGATCAAGATAACCTCAAACAAACAGAACCACGCGATGGCTGACTCGCAACTGACTTGTAGAGAGGCGCACGTATACGTTTTATAAAAACTCGGTCGAAGATCGATCGAGAGAGAACGTCTCTCGATTTGCCGTAATCGAGACTCGGACGTTCTCCGATCGTTCTCTCGCGAATTTGCATTCTTTCTCTCTCTCTCTCTCTCTTCGCGTTGAAATTCGCGAAAACAATGTTATTTTTTTTTATATTAAAATATATTTTTTATATTTTTGTTTTTTAATCTACATGTAATGTATTATTGATTATTTAATAAGTGGGTTACTAGAAAATTCGCTTGCACACTCTTCGATTGCACATTAATGCCGCCGGTGGTGTTTGAAATTTAAATCGACACACACATTGCATATCATCGCAATGTTTTATCGCAATGAGACTCACCATACTCGGGAGATCGACTTGCACCGCAAATTGTGACGATTATTTCTTCTTAGATTCTTCACGCACAGGATTGACGATTAGATCGGATTATTATGTAGATATTCATATACGCGGATTATATATATATATATTATATATATATTATATAGATATTGAATTCCGTATTTGTAAATATCGCCTATTTCTTCTTCTTGCTTCGATATGGGGATACAAAAAAATAAACGGTTTGTAGAAAAAAAAAAAACAAATTTACACTTTGACGCGCGTGTCAAACTTTCTCGCACAGCTTCGAGACACGTTCGGAATCCGAATAGAGAGCTAGCAAAATGTCGCTTTAAACTGTTCCTCACGTCGTTTCTGCGATCTCATCGTCGTCAGCGCGCGTCTTCGAGCAACCAATCGTTTCGCGCGATCTTTTAATAATTATACTGACATCACGCGTTGACGTTTCGACCGGATGACCATTGGAATAACATTAACAAATCATTAGCATCGTATATCAGAGATACGTGTTTTAATATCCCCGTCGAAAACCACAGACGAGATAAACACACGAAAAATATTACACGCGGAAATTTTTAATCTTCGCAAAACGATGGAGAAAAGCAGAACGTACGTATTTTGAATTCGTGCTGTATTCGATTATGCAAAACGATTTGCTCATTATCGTAACTATATGTGCATACATTGAAATCGTGAAATCAAATGGAAATAAAAACCATATCAAATGCGACATAAACTTTCTGCAAAGTTTTCTCGAATAAAAAAAAATATACTATATATATATACGAACGACGCAAAAGTTTTTTATTGCGGAAGTTTGGGCGACGACAAATTTATATGCGCGCGACAACGACGACGCTCTTCGGGGAATTTATCGCGCAGTTCTTCCCCTTTGAATTTGGGATTCCCGAAGAAGAAAGATCATAGCAGTTGCGTCGCATGTGATATGTTACCACAAAGTTGTGTAATAATATGTGATAAAAAGTTGCGATAGAAAATAAAAAAAAAAAAAAAAAAACTCTTCGCGTTTCGCAGGAAAAGTTACGCGACCGCTGTCTAGATGTATGAATTTAATATATATATTAAATACGAATTAATTAAATATATATTAAATATAAATTAAATATATAATGTATGAATTAATTAAATATATATGTGATATCGTATTTGTTTAACAAATATATTACACGTCTATCAGATCGGCATTTTGATTTGATTCGTTAAATTTTCAGTTTCAGTTTCGTTTTAGTTTCAATAAAAATAATTAGCAATTGTTTTTTATTGGGACAAATTTAACTCGTACAAATCCGATATATATATATATATATATATACAACACAATACAATCACATTTACATGCATACATAATTTTATTTTTCGATCTACATAGTTGCACGTACGCGAGTTTGTGCTTCGGTTCCAACCACGCTCAAAGCGAATAAAAGTTACAATGACAAAAATTATCAGCGGGTGTATATGTTTTAGCCTCAATCGATAATTAAGGTTTCTCGCTTTCGCATTTTGATGTCGAGTAAGAACGAGTGAGAGAAAGCACGTAGAAAAAAAAAAAGAGGGAAAGAGAAAAACCTGCGCGCGCTACAAAACGCGCCATTTCCAAATATCGTCACGTTGTTCCGTGATGTTTCGCAACCATAGATTTGACTTTAAAAAATGTCACAATAAACGCTGTTCCGGCAGCGTTCGATTTGACAGAAAGCGACAGAACGCAACTCCGTTTCCCGCGCGTCACTCGCGTTCGGTATTTTTTATTTTACACACGTTTGTCGCGCCTCGTCGTCCCAGTCCACGTTGACGTGTTCTCGTCGCGCGAGAAGATTTTTTCTCGATTTCGGATCATCGTCGTCAGCTCGTGACACAACGCGCGGGATGTCGAATTGCGCGATCGAGAGAATTTTACGAGAAACTCGTGCAATTCTTCGCGAAACGCGTCCCGCGAACGATCGTTCGCGCGCGAACATCTTTATTCCCACGGGGTGTTCTCTGTGTTGACACACACAAACGCACGTCATAGTGCGTATGCACGCGTCCAGGGTTATGTTATTATAGTTTTTGGTCTCTCACAAATGTGTGTTATATGTGTGTATACGATATTCAATAAATAGACAGACGACAATGTGACCTTTGGTCAACAATTGTGCGTGCGAGCTATTTTCCCTTTCGCCTCCGCGTCGGAGTCGCGCTCTCGCGTTGTATCGCAATGATTTATTTTGCGCGCAACGTGACAGAGACAAACGTGCCACGAACTCGTGAGTGATTTTAATACACAACACACAATGGTAGATTGATAGAAACGTTTGCGAGTGAAGTTCGTCATGGCGGGTGGAAGAAATGAAGTAAGTTTCTCGATTCTATGTTGCGACAATTTTTGTCGTCTTTGTATTTTTAATTATCGATGCAAGTGGACACCTAACCTCAGCACGGTGACACAAATGTCAATAGCAGAAGACAATGCGAAAGTATCTTTGCAATATGTGCATTACGTTTGCCGACATAGTGTTATGTTTTGTATCATTTGGATAAAAAATGTAACTAAATTGTTTTTCGAGAAAATTCTTGTGTTTTTATCTCTCTCTGTTAAACTTCTCTCTACCAAACACTATCATAAAATTCTATTTTACACACAGGAAAGAACCGTTTTGGAAGCAGAGACTGTCTACTTATTGATGAAGAAAGGTTTTCCAATTTCTCGCAATGTGAGGGCTCAATGGTTGCTGGAGCATTTGGACTCTGTGATAAGCATTCAGTGTCCAAACGCAAAGATAAAGGAGGAACCGGAACTGGAAATTGTATCAGTACTGCCAAAAGATAAACCCGCTGCTTGGTCCATAGACACTAGCTATCAATTTCTTTATAAAGTTGTTACCACAACTTCAATTATATTTCTGGCACACAAGTATAGAATGGTCTTCAACTTAGACTTAAGTCCGTCGCTTGCCACTGTTGTAAGTAATGATGGCAAATTGCCATGTAATATGTTCAGTAATTATTATAATGATAAAACGAATAATGATTTTTTTTTCAGGATGTACAAAATGGAGAGGTTGTCATTGATGAAGTGTACTTGGCAACAAAACAGTGTCTTGAAGGTATAACTAAACCAGTAAGTACATCTCCTTCCTGTGGATTGCAAAGAAATAATGTAAATCTTAATAGATATTCTTATCTCTCTTTGTCTTATGCCTATAGTTCACAATACCAGGCAGCACACGTGTGATGCAACCTGAAATTTATGTGACTGTGATAGCTCACACGCCATTCTTTACAAGCCCGGCGCAACAAGTACTGGTGCAAGGATGGTTGCTTACTGCGAATAACGTGAACTCGCTCACGGAGCACATAGAGAAGCAGTTGTATATGTTAGAGGAGAGAGTGGCGACTGTTACGGCAATAGCTAATCAGCAGTTGGAAAATTTAAGGGCGGAGAGCGAACGTTTGGTAGGGAGACTGTTTGAGGAAAGTAGCACGTGTTTAAACAAAAACAGTTGTAATGTATCCATAGTTTCGCCGGAAGCTAGTTTTGTAAATATGTTGAGATACGGAATGCTGGCTCTGACGCTCTTACCTGAGCACAGCTGTGCACGTAAGTTCGCAACTTATGATCAATGGATCGTAAAATAATAACGTAAGAAACAACGGCTGCAGAAAGAAGTGCTTTTCAGATATGATAATAGTCACCGATGGTATCGTCGGGATCAAAAACGCTCACACATTGGATTCCATTATACAGCAACTACGCGCAACGACGGTCGCGTGTAGTTTTTTACGCGTGGGCAGCGGATACGATCCGCATTGCGCGGACGGTTTAGTGCCATATGAGGATCTGTTGTATTTTATCGCCGCCGCCACGCTCGGTAGTTACATGTTCTACAGTAGTCACATGTCTTACGTTGTACGTGAACTTTTAATCTACACCCATATCCGATTATCCACGGCAGTAACATCGATTGCAATATCATTTGTTTTTTTTTCTCCTCATGCGAACAGATACCCGCGCCGGGAACAGATGTGAATCTTTATCACAAGAATTTTTTATTCTGGCAATTATATCGAGATATATTTAATGACGATATGGCCGAACGTCACTCTTGGCGAACTGAAAATAAATGGTTTCACGGTCACAAAACCGGTCAACTTTTGAAGAAAAAACAAATCGACGACAAAGTCACTTGTACGCTGAGCAGTTTGTTATGCTGTCGCTTGCGAGAAGGATACTTGATAAAAAGAGTTAGTATACGCGACGACATTCTCGAAATAATTTTTGTGCTGCTGTGGAAAACAAATGTCTTTTTGGAATATTTGATAACATGTCCGTGGTCTTCAAAATCATTGTCCGTGTCCAACACAATACAATACACGATTACCATAGAAGGTAGATTGAAGATAATAATTTATACAAGATAATTTCAAAGTGTTCAACTCGAATTTTTGGTCTAAAATTGAAATTTATTACAGCGCCTTACGAATTTTTATATGACATTATGTGCTTAACGAAAAAGCCATTGCACTCGCATTATCGTCAAGGTGTCATTTCTCGTTTTTGGACGGCAATAACGGCATTAACCGAAAGCGACAATATGCTCGCGCACTTCAGTTGGTTCCCGGGATCCGGATGGACTTGGTACAGTGTGCCGGACACCATCAGGAGCGGGATGCCAGTGTTTTACTTGTCGTCTTATCCATCACCAAGTACAGTACAACTTAGGTACATCTTAGTTGCGGTCGTATAATAGCAAGTTATTATAGAAACAAACATATTTGTGGTTTGAAAGTAAAAAAACGCGTAATTACAAATTGGTCGTAACTTGTTGTTACAGCGACGCTGCCTGTCCGCAGTTTGGACAAATATGGCAACCAGTTGTTTCTCTCGATCCACTTCAATGGGCGCGTTGGATGCACACTCAGAGGATCACATTAATTCTGGCTTATGACAGACCGTTGCCGAGACATCTTCATCAAGCGAATCAGAGCGGTCGTTTTCAATGTGTTCAAAGTCGGCAAGCGGCCGCCGTGTTGTATGCCATGCTGAAGAACTGGGCGACCTTCGTTCTAGTCGAGAATCACACATACGTCCAGTTCATATACAGAGAGGCGGACAAACCACCGGTCTCGTTCTCACTAATTCGTATTAATTGCAAAGCGTTGTGCGTGGTGCTAAATATAGCGTTCGCTGGCGGTACCGAGGGTGTCGTGCGTCATAACGTAGTTATGGATCTCGTGGAAAGACTGTCCAAGTTAACATTGCCGAATAGACCCACCGAGCAACGCGAGACTCCGTGTTGCACGATAATACACAAACCACTTGAGAGAATTCTCGTGAGATACGAGCGCATACCGAACAATCTGAGCATGGTGGTGTTCCCCGACGGAACTCAACCGACCTGCACTAGGGTTGCGCTGGGACTGCTAGGAGGTAGTTTGACAACAACTCTGTCCAGATACTTGTATCACAAACGATGGTTGTGGCACGTAAAACGACCGTTTGTTCAGACTATTCCGGGTATCACTTTGCCCCGTTTGAACATCACTGCGATCGCAAGAATACTCTCGACAATTACGAAGTAAGCGCGCTATCCAGATTGACGTTTATTGAATTATTTACGACGAGATGATAAAATTGTGTGTCGTTTGCAGAATTCGTTTGAGGGAAGGCTTCAATTTTGCGTATTCGGCATCTGGAATTACAAATATGGTGTTGGAAGTGCAGGACTTCGAGAACAGTAAAAATTCTTATCCATGTATTATACAGTATGTTTTGTTTCCGCCGCACGTTGTGCCGCAGTGCGTTAACGCAACTTTGGAACGCACTGACAGCGGTACTGATGATGATACGGAAGAAGGTACAAGTGTACTCTTATTGCTGTCGAGGTTTTTACGCAAGATTTGTAAAGTCTATTTCAACGATAAATGAATTTTATTTTTTCAGGCATTGTTGAGGCGGAAGTATGGTCCGAGGATTCCGAGGGTTACAGCGATTTTCAGATTGTTACGGAGGTATGGATCGAACCTCAATGTAGTTACGTACAAATGCCCGCACAATCCACTGCCACGAACATGTCTCCTTTGAAGTATCATCAATTGCCAAACGCAGTGAGTCAAAAAACTATTTTTTATCTTTTTTCGTTTTTTTTTTATTATTATATATATCTTCGTCAAATTCTAGTCGGGTTTTAGAACATAAACATCGTGGACGTACAGCATCACGATTCTAATTTGCAAAAATTAGAACTTGCAAATAAGATTCATATTTCTAGTCTCTTTTTTAAATAAAATTTAATATTTTACAAAACAACCGTAAGAGTTTGCTTAAATTGATAAGACATAGGTTCCTTGAATATATATCTTGAGCGTGTGATAAGATATTTCCGTTCGATATTTTTGTGATATACTCAAGATACGCGGTTTCTTATAAAGCAGCAGAAATATTTTAAAAAATATCGCTGTACTAATCGCGGATGTTTATTTATTATCTCTGACGATAACCTCGTAAATAATATTCCGAGAAAATTCTGCAGTTGACATCATAAATATGTGTGCATTTGATCGTTATAACTCAAAAGTCTCTCATTAAACGACAATATCAAAATTCATAAAAAAAAAAATAATTGGTTCGTATTTGTTTAACAATGTCGCGTATTTGCACAAAAATTGTTTCTATAAAAACACAACTTTTGATCTCATAAATAGAACAAACGACTACTTTCTGGCGTTTTTACTTTTATCCTTCTTATCTTGAACTAACTTGATAATGGCGTACAAGTGTGTGCGCATGTGTGTGTGTGTGTGTGTGTGTGTAACACAAAAATTTATTCTGGCGTATGGTTGTCTAAAGTGCTTTATTTTGCTACATTCTGAGTCTATCTGACAGTAAATATCGCTTTGTGATATCAGATTATTTGAGTTAGGTAACTCTTTGTTTCATCAACTTGGATTTTTTGTTCTCGTGATTTACTTGGCGTTCGTGCTCTCTCGGGATGCCGAGAAACATTTCATTCCAATATTTTTTCTTCGCACTTTCACTTGTAAAAAAAAAAAAAAAAATAGAAATATCTAATCTCTCTGTTTGTTCAGGCGATAATTTACGTTCCAATTAACTTTTGCAACGCGTGTCCAACAAAATCACGTTTGCCGCTTAAAATATTATATCGATTTCTCTCAGCAGAAGATACAAAACTCATATGCAAATTATTTTGTACTGTTTAAAAACAATCTGACAGTGATATCACCCGACAGATAAATTAAAAAAAAAAAAGATGTAAAAAAAAACCACAATTTAATCTAGCAATACTTCTGGAAGCGGTGCAGTAACGTTAGCATGATTCGCGTAAATATCCTATGAGCAAATTTTATCTCCACACGTAATATAGCTTTATCTTTGATCTTATCTTGCGATTCTGATAGAGACGCTTATAAAACGTCTGTATGCGCCGTCATTTAATGATGAAGGGCAATTAGGATAAAGATATATTTTATATAGGCGCTTTTCTCTGTCGCAAATACGATTTATTTATCGTATTTTTTTCACGAAGTACATTTTTATGTTTTATACACCTGTTGTACACATATTGATTTTATATAGAAATTACGTAATATATCTCTCTTATGTAAGTTTTCCTATACAAAGTTGCAACAGACGAAGACCGCTACTATTCTATACATGCGATTTGATAATAAAAATATTAGCGCACTTTAGCGCAAACGTGATTTCAAAAAAAAAAAAAAAAAAAATAAGTTCGAATATTAACTAGATAACTTATCTGATTTCATACGTCACCCGGAGAGATTGTTGCTAATCAGAAAATCAAAAATTTCAAGATACAATGATACAAAGTGTTTCAAATGATTTATATTTTATGTATACGTGTTTATAAATGTTTTTTTTTTTTTAATAATTTACACGTTCATAAACTTTCGCGCGCGTAAATTGAAAAAACTCTTTGTCAATTTGATACTTAAATTTGCAATATTTGATCAAACATTTTACTTAATGTTTTTCAGATGATACGTGAAATATGCACGGTTTTGTACAAAAAACAAAAAACCTGCTTCTGCTAAGTTTGTCAGTTCTCCTCTGTGCGGTTTACGTTTTTTTTTTACTGAAAAGTACAAACGAACGAAGTTCCATCTAAAATGGAAGCGATTCTCGAAATGATTTGCGCGCGTTGTTTCGTGCGAGTCATTCGTTTTATGAATTTTGCACGATGACATTGCACGTATCTTGGAATCACGAAGTTCTTCGAAATTTTTTTCGAGAAGTCACGATCTTGACGATCGCCACGTCTAAAAAGATAGCGTAATTCCGAGCGTAAAATTGCTCGAAGAAACTTTCGCCGGGATTTGCTCATATTCCATTCTTTCTCGAAACTAGAAAAGGATCTGGAGCAATGTGTGTCATTCAGGAATCGTTTTATCATCGCGAACAACTCAAACATTTGCTCGCGTTGTTTCGCAAAAAAAAAAAACGTACAATCAAACTCTCGGCAGGTGATATCTAAAAAATCTTTTCTATATATGTAATAAAGTCTTTCTCCGTTGTAACTTTTCTTCTACTTTTTTTTTCCAATTTGCATCATCTTTCGTCACCAGACGAAGACGAATAAGATTTGCACATCGAGAAAGATCTTGTCGTCTCGCACATACGCAGAGATCGTTTTCTTTCTTGCGAGAAAGTTTGCTTGGAGCGAGGACTGGAGTTTCGTCATTTCGCCGAAAAGGTCTTTCTGAATTTTTCGTCGATGCAACCTGCATTTCCGGCTAGCTAGTAGGCGATACGCGAAGGTGTCTATCGCATACATGTCACCTTATCATTATCGGGGTGGGGCTTCGGTATCGATGAGGGTCCTCAGAACGAGGTTTTCCTATCAGTTATCTGGTCGGTATATATAGGGCCCAATACGCGCCCTGCGCTCACTAGTGACCGGATTATCTTTTTCGTACAAAGTTTCGTACATATCATCATCGTTTTACTTTACGACCGTCGTCGGTGTCGTCGTCGTCGGTTTACCTTTCCGCGTATTTTCCGAGTTTCTTATCACTCCTCAGCCGAATTCTTCTCTACGCTAACGATTCTTTATCGCATTTGTCGTGCACATTAGAAGTTATCGCACTTTCTATCGCGAGTCGCGCGACATTGTCGTTTCTTCGAGTTACGGATTTTTGATCGTTCTGTTTCGAAGTGTGTTGTAAGAATAATGTAAAAAAAAAAAAAAAACAAAAACGAAACAAAGTAAAAACAATTCGCAGTTAACTCCTACGGGCAAAGAGATATTCCGTTCTCGTCTCGCTCGTGAAGAGATTCACGGGTTAAAGTCTTTTCTCATCGTCGTCTCGTTATCATCAGGTGACACCGCCCGAGATTGAGGCCAGAGAGAGAAGAACATGCTCGAACGTCTTTCTGGGCGCAGGCACGCATCGTGTATTGTCCGCTCCTCTTCTCGTCGCTCTTCGGATCCTCGATATCTCTGCGTGACTTTCAGTTGGAAGTGAGGATCTAGGCAGTGAGCAAGTCTCCAATAGCTCTCTCGATACACTTTGCCAGATCTAACTCTTCCAGCTCAGAGTTGTGCGGCCTTCACGTCGTCTCACGTTAGGGCGCGATTCTGGTCAGTTCTTCGCCGGCTGAATTCGCTCAAAAACCCGAATCATCGTCTTTAGGACTTTACATATGGTGGTGCGGACATCTCTCACGCGGGGTATCACGGTTCAAGTGGAGAAGTAGTCTCTACGCTTTGTATGAAAGTGAGATTCAACTCCTCCAACTTATTCCTGATTCCCCATAATCGTCGACGCGATCGCATCGTCCGCGCGAGAACGAATAAATGACTTATCCGTTGGTCGCGCCAAGCGATTCGAATCACTGCTGGCGGATAGACTCTAACTGCGATAATTTGTGTTTTCTTGTATCATTATAGTTGTAAATTAATTTTTAAGTCACAAACACATATAATTTTTTACATTTAATTTGTGTGTGTTTTGCGTTACATTTTGTATTTATTGCGTATAAAAACCACACATTTGCACACGTTACCACACTCTTGTTTATTATACTCCTGTGTGTATCCAATTTGCACAAATACATACGTATATTATATTTACACTGTAACAATTTTATTGTACATTCAACATACAGAATTTTTTCCGAATGTTCATTTGCACGCAAATCTATCTTATATTTTTCTCTTGCACGTGATATTAAAAAAAAAAAAAAAAAAAAAAAAAAAAATTGTTTTATTCCCATGCGTTCATGTATTATTTATTACTGTCCAACTTCTGTCCAAATTAGATTGCCCGAATAGACGAGGAATGTATTAACGCTCTGTTGACCTTAGAGTATTTGAGTCTTTTGAGCCAAGTGACACCGGCGGAAAAAGATGCCGAGATTGTGTACGGGCAGGCGCAACAAGGTGTCAGATATCACGGCGTTGTAGGTGTCTCTATGGATCGTGACTCGGAATATCCGAACCCAACCGGACCGTTCGAAGCGACGCCGATCATCGATGAGAGGATAAATCCTATGTACTTTTCGTTCGACACCTTGAGCATTTTGCCGAAGTGCCAGCAGGCGGAACTCTTGTTCTCTATGTTCGCTGATGGTCAGAAACTATTTTTTTTTTATTTTTTTTAGTTTTTTTAAATAATGAGAAGAAAATAGAAGGAAAATAACTTTGCGTATCCCTTTGTTAGATTCGATGCATGTGGATGAGGATAGAGACAGTCCGAATAAAATTCTCATGGAAAACTTTTTGGTGCATATGAAGCAGTTGCATAATAAGGAATTATTGCTTACATCAGCGGAATCGCAAAATTTTACCAAAATGCTTTTTAACAGGCGACGCGAAAACGGACCGCCATTACCTTTCTTTGCTCAACGAGGTATATGCTCACGAGCTCTTCAGATATAGTAGACGTGTTAAGAGAAATCAATAAATATTTTGATATGTTCAGTTTTTTTTTTTTTTTGAAAATATACTTCACAAGCTTTGTAAAATTACATCTCGAGTAATTTTGTCTTGTAGAAAAAAATAATCAAGATGATGCGTCGGATATTTATCCAAGATGGAAGTGTTTCGTTAAAGGAGTCAGCACGACACACGTTATTATTACAATATTACCCGCAACCGAGAAAGATGTTCGTTTGATAACGTACGCGAGCGACAATTGCACAAGCAACAATTCCGAGAAAAATTGCAATTCGGACATTTTCGATTTTGATATGAACGAAAAAGCATCGTCTCCGACCATGTATCCGAAGGACGCGAATATGTCTGACTTTCTGACGTTGGAACGCCGTGGATCGAAAATGTCCACTCAATCCACCACCGCGAACAGCACAACGAAAGTTAACATGGAACATAATTTCGACAATGACGGGGGTCTTGTCATACCTGTATACGTATACGATTGTTCGCTAGCGATTTTAATTGACGTATTAGTTAGCCAATTGCGAACACCTCAGAATTACGACAGAGACATTTATCAGGATCATACCTTCAAAATCGGCGAGAAAATCACCGAGGACTTCATCAGTCTCAAGTCGGAAGGCAACACAAAGCCTTCGTCCCCGGAACCAAAAAGCGAAGATTCCGACAATGTCTCAAGCGGTAGGCAGAGATTCGCGAAAATGTTTTTTACATTAACAACAAAATTAATTCTTTTTTAAAAAACAGCATATTTTTTTTTTTTTATATATACGCAAACGCGTGTAACAGCTATCAAATATTTCTAAAATAAAATTATTTTTTTAATACCAGATCAACGAAGCTTGATGGAACATTGCAAACTGTTGAGCTTAGCGCATTGCCATTGCTACGTGGTCGCGGTTTATAAATCATTAGCGCTGCAACAGTCGTTAAGTTACGAAGATATGGAAGCCGCCGTGGCACAGTGCGAGGAAAATTTGATCGAAATCAATATTACGAATTATTTGCGATCGGTGTGCAGACACTTGAACACGTTGCCGGAAGGCAAATTGCTCGATCAGTTGAACATCTCTGCGTGCAACGACGTCAAACCTTTACACAGTTTGATCAAGGATAAATTCAAAAGAATCATGGCGGCCGCGTTTAGACCCGTACCAGCTCATCCGGAATTCTATTACTGTTTGCCATCGTGGATGTCGGAAAAACTGGTACGATCGCTTTTGCGACGTGTTTTGCGAGAATTTTTATTTTTTTTATTGCCGACTGTGTGTTTAGTTTTTACAACAACGATCATTCTTTCAGGAAGTGGTGTCAGAAAGAACAGACAGCGATGATGACGATGATGTTGACGACGACGACATTAACGACGAAGACGAGTTCACATGTCATTCCGAAATACCGGTCTTAAAGACAGATACTTCTTCCGGTAAACAATAAAGTTGATGTAAACTGAAGGGTTTTTATATCGCATCTCATTAAATTTATTGATGTGTACCTCTCTTCTTTTTATTTTCCACCAGTAAGTCAAGCTGTCAATGTTACATGGCCGGCCACGAATCTTCACAACAACAACGGCAAGCTGTCTCGTCGTAATTTCTCTCTCACGAGCGATTTCGAGGAAGAAAACACGTGGAACGTGAAGGATCAACCGCTCTTCTTGCATCTGAGCTGCTCGATTCGCTTTCGCTCCGAGCTCTGTAGCATACCCGTCAAACTGATGCCCACGTGTTTCACCGAGATTATTCAGAGAATAGACGACGACATAGACAGGAATCTCTCCGAATTGAGTCTAGATGATCTCAAAGTCACTTTGGACATCATTTGTCTAAATCTCCCGAGAGAGGTGTTGGAAGTGTCGTTGGAACGCTATCCTTCCCTGAGAACAACGTCGTACTGCAGCGCCTCGACCGTTGGTAGCGTGGCGAGTGACGGCAGTCCGACGGCAAATGCGAAGACCGAGCCTGAAAAAATGCCGCAACCGCTTCAACATCATGCGGTGATCAGTTTGAGAAATGAGATCGAGTGGCTGCTGCGGGACGAAACTACGACGGCGCTTCTAGATCATTCATTGCCGAACGCGGATGTATTGCGATTCGTGGCGCAGCACGTGTCGAATTCCATCGGGAAATCCAGTTGCTTGACGGATAAAGTGCCTTTACATTTTGTCTTCTCGCCGGAAAGCAGCGTTCCCAAATTCCTGAAGGAACTTAAATGTCTTGAGATTAATAATTACTGCATTTGTCAAGAGGCTGATTTATTTTACGTTGTTAAGAAACCAGAAACGATAACGTCTGACGTCGAGGCGGACACATTTCAAGTGGACGTGGAGGAACCACGTTTAAAAGAAGGTTAAACGATCTTACGTTTGCGTAAGACAGACAACGCGTACTGTTTTTTTCCTTGCTTGTTGAAGTTTGACACTGTTTTACAGGCGACAATGTTGAAAATGTCGAGCAAGAGGAAACGTCGAGCACCGCAATTCAGATCAACGGACAACAAGAATCCGGAGACGCTCCGGGTTATCACTCCGAGATTTCGAGTTTGGCCGAAGGTAAACACGGAACGGATGACGGTTACGAGGGCGACAGCAGCAATTCCGACGATGATTATCAGTGGTTGATAGAACTCGATAAACGTAGAAATCGTTTGCCTAATTTCTGGTTAATTCTGAACGTTGAAAATACTCACGTTAACGTCTACTTTCATTGCAGGTTCGTGCAAGTCATATTTTTGTTGCTTTACATCTAAATTAAAAAACGCAGCGATTGTATTATATAATTAAAAAAATATAAAACTGCAATTGTTGTTACAGATTCTTGGAACTTTCTTCACCGGAAGTGGACTGTTATCTTCAAATTCAAAAGCAACTGCTCGTTCAGATCAAAGCTATATGTAGGCGGGTGAATCAGTATTTACTTCTGCAAAATCTTCACGATACTCGTATGTGCGATCCTCTGTTGGAACCGGAGTCCACTGAGGATCATACCAATACCTGGAGAGGAGAAACCAGCAGCGAGTCTGGAAATTCACTTCCGAATCACAGTTCCTCGACTTCAAACGTTACACCGGGCATGTTCAGGTGTCCTGTAATTTGGGAGGAACCTTTCAATCTGCATCCTCGCTTGAAAACCGGACCCGGAAGATCCGGACTGTCGAGGGGAATCAAAGCGCTGCATGGCGTACTTAACAGGCTCTCCGTTAATAATCGAGACAATATGTTTGTATATCAGGAAAACAACGAGAACGTGTTTTACTTGCGACTTCACGAACAAACGTGCGACGGAAAGCCCTTGCAAAATAAATTGTCCGAGAGCGATGAGAAGTTGGTCGTTTCGCGCAGCAACAGCGTCGCGTCTTTGTCGCAGGCCAAAAGCATCGGTCCGATGAACGATCACACGACAATGAACAACACTCGGCCGAGAGTCCGTTCGTTCGGCGAAAAAGAGTCCGATGTTCTGAACAAATCCGGCTCGTTCGGCGATTCTATCATCCTTATGGTACACGGAATATCGGAGGCTGGTCCGGAAGTCAAACGGGATCTGGTACAAGTGTTGCAAAATCGTCTCGATGACGCGGTGCTTGAAGTACTGTCGGTCATGTTGGCGCGCAATCCGATGTGCAAACTAACACCGGCTGATGTGCACTTCATACAAAAACCGTACAAGTTCCCCGAGTGTATAGTGCAGCTGTCCGTGCAGCCGCATTGTTTATCGCACATAGATGCTTTAGGATATTACTTGAGGCAAAATATACTCCAGTTTTTGTACACGCCAAAGTACACGGATCTCGGTGCTCCCTATCACTTTCAGGATTACTCTCCACTGGATAGCAACAGAAAGAGAGTATCCGAATCCGATATCTTTTTGTACAATCAAAGCCACTCGAGCGGTAGCAAAGGCATAGCTTGCATCGCTCTGGCCATTACCGACGGCAAGGAGGAATCTGTAACATCCTCGAATGATGCGAACAACGAGTCGAGCTTGTCCGAATTGTTGAAGGTTGAGAATTTCGAGAAAATCGTGTCGACTGTCGTTTACGATAGTAAAAGTAATTCTAAGCCAAAGGCAGAAATGTTGATCGAATTTCGAATTTGGAAACAAGGCAGAGTGAATCTGGAATCCTTGATCACGAAGTTGTCGTCCGCTGTGAAACACGGCACTTGGGACTTGGTTACGGAATATAATCTTCTGGCAACTCCTTTGACAGAACCGCTAATTGTCAATTCGTCACCGGTCATTGACGAGATCGCGGAAGAAAACAAGGAACCACAAACACCCGTGAAGTCACAGCCGCAAAACAACGACGACTTGTCGTTGAATCAGTACGAACTTGGCGAACAGGGAAAATTGAACGAGATTTATCACACCACTTTGGCACGATGGTTTCAATTTGCGTTGGAAATGAGCGTTCCTGCGGTCAAGAAGCACGAAGTGGTTATTCATCACAGACATCCAATCCCCATAATCGTGAGAGAGCTACAGAATATCATACGTTGTCAGGATCCAGACACGTCCAGTAAAGCTTTTGTCTTGCAAGATCGACAACCATTTGTGAATCAATTTGTTTTGCGCAAAGCTGGATCAGTTCCTAAATGGTCTGAAAGTTCTTGGAACAGCTCCGGTCAGCCGATGGGTCAATCGACGAGTCAAGAAGATGCGACATCACCTGTGTACGTGCCGCACGAGTTCAACAAGGACGAGCAAACAACTTACATCAAATGTATATTAGTCGCGAGGAACTTCCATCAGTGGAAGGCATCCATAAGCAAAGAAACAGATCCAGTGTTGCTTGCTCCTAAAGGTCAGTTTAAGTTTACTAATTTCTAACTACTCAAATCTTGTATCTTATTATTAAAATCCTTTTTTTGTACGTTGTAGATCAAAAACAATTGCAAAAATTTAATCCCTTTATATCGGATTCGAACTTCGTACCTAGGCAAAGAATACTGTTGGCGGAAATATGGAGTGATAACGTTAGTGTTTATTGTAATATGAGAGTCGTATAAAATTATTACGAATCTGAATAATCGAACGTTGCATCATATTATATTTTCAGATAATAATTTACATGTACAATTGGTCTAAAGAAAAATCGGAAAAGTTAATCAAACAGGCAACAAGTTTGAGCACGTGGCTGTCGTCGAGATCTAGTCTGTTCACCAATATAATCATGCAGAAGTTGGGTATATTTCATCACAAACTCAATCGGGAACCTCAGCAGAGAGAGCACAGTTCTTCACAGTTTTATCAGATCACCGATATGGAAAGTCTCGCGAAATTTCCGAGTCAGTCGAACACCGACAGCAAGGACTGGACGCGATCGAGCAACCGGGCGCACTCGATGAAAAACACCGCGTTCTCGTGGGCTCAAGTGGTCGGACAGGCGATGCGCGATGCGAAACCGAGTGCTTCGCATTCTCACAACACCACGGACGCGATCGTAAAGGCCGCTTGCGACCTGCAGGATTTACGACATCGAGAGAAGAGAATAAAAGGTAATAATATAATTCGCTCGTATGATGCGAATTTGTTGTGTTTTCAATCAATGTGTTTGTTTGACATTCTTGCAGACGATCTGGAGGAATTGTACGCAATGTGGCAGAGTCGCACGTCCAACATACCGATGAGCGCTTTGAACACGTTCAAGCGGCACTCTCGTCTGATACATTTCTGTCACACGCCTCTTCTCTTCTTGCCGTCCTGGCGTTTGCAATCCGCTGCGACGAGAGATCATTCATTGACGCCGTCGCAGATGTCTCATTTCAACTTGAACAGCAACGCGCATCAACAACCACTGCAGCTAATTCAGTCGAAGCAAGAATCAACGAACGCGATTATGATAAAGTGGCATCAGGAACTTTGCAAATCTATATTATCGGAATACAAACAGTATCTGCAGACCTTGGGCTTCAACCCGATTCAAGTGGAATCACAAAAAAAGTTCGTTTTCATCATTCGACACGTGTTTCGATTTTATTATCTTCGTTTCACGAAAATGTTGCAATTTAAAAACAAAAAAAAAACGCATCTTACGCTCTTTGCAGAGACGAGCAGCAGCAATCTTATTATCTCAAGAAATCGATGTTGGGCGGTATTTTATTGTTTGAAATTCACTTGTCACAACCGTTCTTCACGGTCAAGTTACACGTCATCGAGTGTAACCGTTTGCAGACAAAGACGAGCAGCGGTATGATGAATCAGGTAAAACGCAACATTCACCGCACACATGACGTAAAATCTTTTCTGTTTAGCTGAGAAATTTTAACACTTTGGGTTGCAGTTTGTGCTGAGTTTTGTGGACGTTTGCGACAAGATTCGAATCAATATGCATCTGCATTCTTTTACGTACGACTTCCACTTGCGGTGCATTCATTCGTACATCGCCGGAACCGGACTGTGGTCGTTGCAACAAGGATATCATCTCACTCACTTCATGGACGACTTCATCAAATATTACAGCAAGGCGCCGAATTACGCTAGGAATCTTATATACAGCGGTGAGCTTCGTGAAATTTATACGACGTCTACAGTTTTAACGCAACTTTATTAAATTTGTTTGTTCAACACACACACACACGTACACGCACACGCACAAAGTATACGATGGTGATAAACACAACTCTGTTATTTCAGATGTAATAACGTTACACAATATAGCGATACCCGCGCGCACGCTGTACTCGTACTTGCTCTCGCACGAGAAGGTGTACGGCATGCGTGTGTTCGTAATGTCCGGAGAGCTTCAGGAGTCTCACGATAACGAATACGTTTTGATTAAGCTGCAGAGCACTCCCTTGGTTAGTTATTACGACGCTCACGACACCAGATATATCGACGACTTCGACGTGGCGCTGATAGTGTCGCGCATCGAACAACCGCCTCAAGTAGAAAAAACCGAGATTACTTTGAAATATTATTTGATGTTGACAAGTAAGAGGGAATTGTATCCGAAGAAGGAGGTGGAGAACAACAAGTTGGGCAAGTTCAGGACCGTGTACAGTGTGGGAAAGTCCACAAGCAGCTCGAACGCGGAGAGTCCGATGGATTCCAGTCCCGTGTCGTCGATACCGCCGTTTGTTAGGGGTAATTCCAGAACGGAAATATCGAACGCTGATTGTCAAAACAAAAATCTCGACTCGAACGGCGCGACCAAAGATACCGACGTTAAATCCACGAGCTACAATATTCACAACAATCTAGCGCCAACACCTCCACCGGTTCCGAATTCTCCCCTAACGCAAAATTCTATTTCAAACGCGATCTCAAACGCGTCGTCGTCATCGCCGCATCTGATGCAAATTCGTCAGGAATCGGTCAACTATCTGGGCTACTATTCGTCCCACGAACAGCTTATGCAGGAAATGATCATGTCTCAGGCGCAGACAGCTCGTCAGCACATAAAGAACATGGTGGAGCGCGGTGCGTTGCAGTGCCGAACGCATTTGCTTTGGGATAAGTTACTGGAGAACAAAACCTCAATGACGTATGCCGAGTTCAAAGAACTTTGTTCGCTGGCTCACATCGAACCTTTATCGAATCTGGATCCCAGACTCGGTCCGCTCGTCAATCAGCCGGTCTCGTGGTATCAGGCGCTGTCCAAGGTGTTGCAAAATAAATATCAGGAGCATCACAAGCAATTTATTACCTCTGATGGGAACATCACCCATCATCTCATACTACATCCAACTCTTCTCCAAGCGTTCATGATGTTGACTATCGATCTGCATACGTCGAGAGGCGTAAGTATTCGTTATATATATATAAAAGAAATAGAGAACAATCGTATGCATAAATACGAAAATAGTAAACACCTGAACGAAATGAAAGGTTCGTGGCAACATTAATTCGTCCAATGATTATTTCAGGATTTGTGCGCCGTTTATCGAAAATCAACCGAGATCAACGTGTCGATGAACATGGATGAGATTTACACTCTGGTTGAAGGTTTTGTGAATGCTTGTTGCTTCCACCTGTGGATGGGTCTTTGCAGCCAGTGATAACATTCCAAACGTACGACATTGCGCACGTTACTCTTTTGTTGATGTTCTTCATTGTGTACTTACAAAAATTGATAATATGCAATGGCGGTCATATTTATCAAATAACCCTTCCTTGTGCGAGTGACTCACAAATCTCTCCCTCCCTCCTCTTTCTCTCTCATAACAGTGTTTTACTCTATGTATCATACATATTATCACACTTGTGTAATTTGTAAATATGAAATATATATTTTCATGTTTTACATACATTAATTCTCATATAGTTAATCGAACAATAATTTATTGAGTAATACATAAAAATTATTGAACTCTATATTTAAAAGACTAAAAATATTATTGTATAACATTACGCATTATCGATATATCTGTCTCAGGAAACTCTGAAGTTAGTAATCAAGAACTCTGTGCAATAACAAAAGAAAAAAAAAAAAAAAAAGAAGAAAAACCAAAATTGCTTTTTTTTTTATTCTGAAGAAATACAGCATTTTAAATTTATGTTCTCTTTGCGATTTTCCCTAATCAATAATTCCCTAACAATTTTGTAAGGAGCTCAAAGAACGTTCTCTAATCGTTAAACGGTGCCTGTTACGACATATTTTTCGCCATATTGTCCCATTCGATGTGTTTTACGAAGTAACGTCTGTTCAACTGTAAACTTTATTTCGTTAAATCTCACAAGAAAAAAAAAGTTACACTTGTTTTAACATCACATTTCGGATAATTAATATTAAAATGATATATTCAATGATCAATACTATTATAATCATAAGAATTAGTTATAATTATTAATACTAATAGTGTATACACAACCATACATTTTTTTTTTTTGAAGGAGGAAGGACAGCGTTCGTATTGTGAAATCTTAGTTAGGCTCAAAATCTCTTTTCTCTTTCTCTCTCTCTCTCGCTCGCTCTCGCACGCTTTTGTATCGTCACTCTTTTCCTCTCTTTCTCTCAATTTCTCTCTCACTCGCGCATACACTCAACTCACATTTACACTTTTGCTATTTTGTTCTGGTAAAGAACCAGGCTACCGTTGCCACCGTTGTATCTTCACTCAAACTATCGAACCAGTTAAAACAGTTGACTTTTAAGTGCAGTATATTACAGTTTTTTTTTTTTCCATCCTATATTATTTTTTTTCTTCTCTTATGACAAACTAAGATATATCTAACTATTACAATTATGTGTGAATCTTATTCTTTAAATCTTATTCATTAAAACCAAACTAACTTCTCCTTATCATTCTTTGTTGGGAATTATCGTTTAAGCTCAGCGTCTTCCTTCCAAGATTCTCAACAAAATAAACTACCTTCAGATTTACGTTAGATTCTCCTCACGTAATTACATCATAAGTAGCATATGTATATACATATTGGTGTATCTGCATATGTATATATATATTTATATATCGATATAACCGCGTGTTGGTTTTTTTTTTTTACTTTTTTATTTTTTACTTTTTTGTTTAGATCTCGAATGATCAAGCGTGTCGCTAGTAATTTCGCCGATCGAACTATGCATGAACGCATAATTTATTAAGGGACCGAGTTTTCATTTTACGTTTAATCTCTGAACAGGCAGGACAACACTTATACGATGAACTGCTACAATATACAACAGCATTCCAATAAAAGCTTATGCGAATCCGAATCCTTCACTGCACTCGTGAATCGCTTTGAGTAGATTTGTACGCAGTTTATCGTACGTCTCATATACCGGTAAGTCCAATTGATTGAAGCTGCAAACAACGAAAAAGAAAAAAAAACCCATTTAAATCTACCAATTCTGCACATTTTTAAATTATTATCGATTTAATGTTGATATATTTGTACAAATTTTATAAAAGTGTAGATATCTTTTCTTTTTATGTACATACCAAGTGTGAGCAGACGGAAGTCTGTCTGTTGATCTGTCCTCTCTGTGAATTTGAAACTTTTGTACACCGTTCATTCCTTCTAACGCAGCGAAACCTTGCAGCGGCACCTTAGACGTACCGGTAACGAACTGCAAGAACTTCGCACGATCTGCTTGATCGAAACCACGTAACGCACGCCAGAACCACTGAATCTATAAAAAAGAAAGAAGAAAACATATAATTCTCATCTTGTTAATTAATACAAAATCGAATAAATGTATACAAATGATATTAAAATACGTACTTGCAAAGACGTAGCAGTGTATTTATGATACTCGGTGTTCGCTTTAAGATCTTCGATATCTACATTAGGCAAGCCGCTGATCAATAGCTCAAGTTCTTGTTCGTTAAATATGGAGATCAGTCGTTTGGGTATAATATCATAAAAACCTTCCAAGAATGCGTTTAATCTGTAAAAGAAAATAAATAAAATGTTCATAAGAAAACGAGTCCAAGAGATAAATAATTGAAATAATTCCAAACAAATTGCGTCATTGGATCTGAATATTGAAGCTTATTAGCTATACGTACTGTTTACGAATTGCTCCAGTCATCTTCATTTGACACACGAGCCTAATATATTCGAGTTTGGTTTCTTCTGTAACAACTATATTACGTCCATTTGGTATTAAATCTCTCACGTCATTGACACCAAATTCGTTCACCTAAAAAAAAAGACGCACACATTGTGTAGTTTGTTCAAAAAACATTGTTGAGAGTTACGCGAAAATATATAATATATATAAAATCGTGCCTTACCTCCGTGGAAAATGTTAACTCATATCCCAGATCAGAAATGTTGTGTTCAGTAAGATAAACAAGTCCTTTGTAAAAACTATAATCCTCGCTTTCCATATCAGTATGTTTCACAAGTATGCCAAGTATATGCTTATAAAAACTACGCGTGAAGTAGCATTCTAACAATTTATTATCGTAAATAGCCTTAGCTGCAACAATTGATCAAGACAATTGAGGTCATCTGTTTCCATATATCTCTTTGGTGTGAGAAAGAAAAAAAAAATAATAATAATAAAAAAAAGTACTTACCAATTACTCGACCTACGAATTTGTAATAACACAAATGATTGGGATTGCAGTGCGAGGACGAATTTATCATGTATGTCACTCGATCGCCAGGACTGACTGTGAACAGGGCGTACATCGGATTGAAGATTTCCCTCGAGATAATGACATACCATTCTCTCAGCAAACCTCCAGCGTCTTGGCCCTCTTCGCCTTTCGAATTGAAGAAGCATTATTTAGAGTTTGTTGTCGCGCACGAGTATTTTTTTTCAGAACCAGAAAACACGTAGAAAAAATCCATACCTTCGAATACGATGTAAAAGCGATTTTTCCACTCGTCGGCGTTTCTTCGATGAAGCTCTCTGAACGAGTCTTCGAAAACGTGACTTCTACGCACGTGGACCGCCAGTTCTTCTCTACGTATACCCTCATCCATTCGTTCCAATTCCGTTCTGAAGTAACGTCTCTTTACATCGAAGTCCAACACCCTCGTGTGATCCACTAATACGGAAAATGGTCCATCCGCTAAGTGAGTCGTCGTTTGCCGTAGAATTTGATTCAATACAGTTCTGTGCGTTTCTATATCAGAATAAAATATATTTATTTACGTTAGAGATAAATGATAATTTAAAAAAATATCACATAAAACTTTCATTGTCGCAATTAATACATACCGGCAAATTTGAGGAACTTTAATTGATCTGGTGGCAATGTTTTCTGTGGAACGGGAGTCATATCCCAAGAAGCGTTGGGAGGCGCTTCCGATTGTGATGTAGCGTCATTGTCCGAGTATATTGGAGAAACTGGTGAATCTGGCACGATCTCTCGATTCTCGCTAGTCGTGTTAACGCGATTGTCACGATCTCGAGATGTACTTGACGAAGAGTGCACTAAGAAGAACGCTTCTACCGCAGGCTGCAATATTTAAACATACGTATGTAAACATCTGTATATATATACGCAGATTACAGCAGTTTTTTCAAAGCAATAAGTATGAATTTACCTGCAAAACAAGGACGGCATGATGATCAGGAGTGTATTCTAATTCGAGCAAACAAAAACTAAGAGTTTCCCATAAGTTATCTAGCACTAAACTTTCACTCAGCAGTGGAAGTGCAGCTTTGTCCTCATCTGAAAATAAAAAAAATAAAAAAATAGTTTCAAGTAATATACACTTATAGATTGTGTGCGTGATGTTTGATATATGATGATAAATTACCATTACGAGAAGAGGACGTCTTTGAATTATCAACATTAGACGAAGTATTTGCTTGTGAAGTATCCATAGGAACATCGGCATCCGCGTTATCGGCGGCTGCAATAAATGTGAATTTTTTTTTTTTTTTTTATAACTGATAATATGGAAGAAAAATAACAGAAACATAAATGAAACAGAAATGGAAAGAGAAAGTACCTGTCTCTTGTACATTATTTGTTGTGGCTATATCCATAGTTGTCTCTGATGTTTGATTAGCTTGAAAAAGAAATGTCACAATTAAGTAACTCTTGGAAAGTTATCGCAAAAAACAAAAAAGACAATAATAATGTCGATACACGCATATCGTACCTGTTTTCTTGCTGTTTGCTAAACGTACAGCCTCTCTTATTTGCACAATAACTTTAAGTATTCTCAAGAAGAATGCCTGACTAGAGGTTTTACTGACAAGTGCAGCCATTGATGGTAATTGAAGGTCACTTCCGGCTTTTACTTTACTCGGTGCTGTGACAACCACATTCTCGTTCGTGAATCTAAAACAAAAAGAAAAAAGCTTTCACGTGAATGCCTCGTTTTTCGATACTTGATATTTTTGGGATATAAAATTGCGTGCTATACACGAGAATTCTTTACCTGTCCAATAGAATTCCTCGTCCGTTTCCGCTGCTGGTTGATGGCTGTTCCTCCAGAGAATTTCTTCGGTGTAATTCGCGATTCAGAATCTTCAGTTCTATCATCAAATCCTTGATATGTTCGCATACCATATTCGCCAATTCCATTGCTCCTTCCAGAAGCAATTTTAATATCTAACATAAAAAAAAAAAAAAAAAAGATATATTATACGTGTTATCAAGATCTCTTATATTCATTCATGTATGCTTGCAGATACGTACAAGTTGTCTGGTGGGATCAGGGCAATGAGACAAGTTGAGTAGCAGCGCTGTCGCATCCTCGAGTCCTTCCTCGGAACAGCTCTTACTAGTTAACACTTGAACGGCAAGTTTGAGATGTCCTTCCGGCGACGCAACACTTTGTTCCTTACTAACTTCCGTCTTTTTGTTCTTTGCGCTTCCTTCCTGTCGCCGGTAAGGATTAACTTCTGTCAGGCCGATGGAGATCAGGGACAATAATCTCAGCAGCTTGTCAGTTAGTTGACTACTTCGTTTGATCACGGACCAGTTGAGCATCGAGATAAGTTGGCCAAATGCGGAAGCTTCGAATGTCGTTGTGCCGTGTTCCGGCTCGCTTCCCAGATTCGTACTCGAATGGGTCCTCGCGACCGACTTTCCTTTCTTGGACGCACACGAGTCAAGTTTAAGAAGCAAGTCCCAGAAATCTGGAAGATCGCTCTTTCCCACCTTAGATGTCGATTTGTTCTTCGCACCGCCCTCTTCTCTGCTACTATTCAAATCCTTATCCTTGTTGCTATCCTTATCGTCCGAGTCCTTAGATTTTATTGGCACAAAATATCCAGGAAAACTCTTAGCTAGTGATATCAACAAGTCTAAAGTATGTCTGCAATAATTCAATGAAAACATAACAATTAAATATCTAATAAAAACTTTCTTAATTAAAGATCTACAAAAAGATATCGCGCGTAGATTTTTTTTTATGTAGCTGCAAAGTACTTTTGCAAGATACTAACCTGCAAACAGTAGGTGCTGCTTGCGGATGAATCGCGATAATATTGCCCTGCCTTTCAGATTTCTTTCCGGCATGACGTATTATGTGGAACACATTAGCTCTACAACCGAGCGCAGCGTCAATACTAATATTTAGCCACGATTGTGTGTTGCTTCTTTGGTCAAAAATCTTTGGAAAACTAAAATAATATATTAGACATTGTTATTATTATTAAACATTACAAGCTCTTCAAAAATGTCCAATTGATGTAAACGCTTACCACAAATCCATAGGAGAATTTAACAGTCCCTTCCTTTTAAATTTCCCACTGAAATCTGTTATATCCTTGTTTTCGTCGTTGCTTCTCTCCATAATGCTTAGCAATGCCTTAACCACCCATTCTCTCGTGCTGCCGTGATAACAGAGATTTCTTATTACTCGATGAAGCCTAAGCGTGTTAATTTTAGGCTCGTCAACGAATAACAAAACTAGCAGGCATGCCATTGATTCATGGTCAAGTAATTGGCGTCCTCGTAATCGTAGACCAGCACCTTGATGCGCAATGTTCGTGTCGCCACGACTATTCCATGAACTCCACTGCGATCTCTGTGGTACTGCGTGAATAGCATAACGAGTACCGCCACCACGCGCTACATCGACACAAGATAAATAAATAAATCTCATTTCTGACTACTCAAATTATACATATTTACACTTGTTTATATACGTGCACAAAAAAATCTGACACAAAAACTCACCTCTGCCAGAATTTCGTAATATGCTCGAAAGAGCCGTGTTACTTTGACTAACGTGGTTCAGGAATCTTTCTTGCATCATGTGCCGATTACGTGCTTCCCATTCTCTTCTCAAGTTTTGAGCTTCTTGAGCTAATTCCGGTGGCAAAACGGATATCTGAGACTCTTCCATATCGGTCAAGATCTGCGCAGAAGCGAGCACACATTAGCTTCACAGAAGTAACAACAAAACATCACTGCTCACAGAGATAAAAAAAGCAAGTTTGAAAATACTAACAGCTTGTCGAAGAGAAGGTGGCATATTTTGGAAGAACGCGACTGCATCCACAGGATCTTCCGGATTGGCCGATGCAGCGGCGTGTCGTTGCTGTTCCATGCGTTGCTGCGCCAAAACCTCCTCTTGTATAGCGGGTGGTAAAGCAGCCAAGAACTCAGGATTTACCTCAACTGGCCCACTGAGTTCCTCGACTACCGAAGTTTGTGCGCGCTGCCGCATTCGTTGAAGTCTGTTGATGCATATCGTAATTATTATTTATGTATTATTATTTAACAATATATAAATCTCAAATAGAAGCGATAATTAACCTGAGCTGTTCAGCAATCACTTCGTCGCGCATATCCTCGGGTAAGGCAGCTAAGAATGACGGATCAACACCGTCCGGTAGCTGCTGTTCTTGACCGATGGACTGTTGTTGCGACTGCTGTTGTTGAGAAGTTTGTTGCGACGATTGTTCGGACGTGCTCGCTGTGACGCTTGCTTCGGATGTCGAGGACGTTGGATCTTGACTAACAACATTTGCACTGCAACAACATTTATGTTCAAAACTGTTCCAATCTATCTGCATCCAAACTCGATTTAAGATACTTACTTTCGCTCACCACGTCGCAGATCGATATCGCTCAATGTTAAACACTGAGCGTCATCCCGTAAGAGCCTGCGAATCCAATCGGCCGAATCGCTGCTCTCTCTTGACAAGTCCTCGCTAGTTTCCTGACCGAAGTCTACCACTATTGGCGCGGTAGAAGTGTGATTGGACGATGACTCGGCAGGAGTTGTTGTTTCGGTATTGCTTTGTCCAGGCTGCACCGATGGAACAAGATGTGTAGGTGCGGTGTCGTTAGACTCATTTAGGTCTAATGACAGAAAAGTATTAGTACGCAGTTTTATCGATAAAATTAGTCTGATTTTAAAAAGAATTATAAAAATATATTACTTAGTCTAATAGTTGCTTCGGATGTGCACGGTGCCAGCACAGAGTCAACAATACTTTCTGCCAGTTCTAATGTAGAACTTCGATTTGCGGTGCGAGGATCTCTGCTGTCGGAAGTGGATTGTTCTTCCGGCGGCGGAGGAGGCGGTCGCTCCTCGTCCTCTTGTACTGTCACTTCCATTTCACCTGTTACATCTAATATGTAAATAATACATAGAGACAATTTCTGTCGTACATATGTGTGCGTTACGTATATAACAATTTTATTTCATCAACGTGCGTAATAATTTACCGATTATGTCTTCTTCTGGTGTGCGCTCTTGCCTAGTGGTATCCACGGCAGTTCCATCTCCGAGAAGAGCGGCCACGAGCGGAGGAACGTCAGTTCTTTGCGATGTGGAAGCGGACGGTCTCTGCTCATCTTGCTCCATTTGTGTTAAACTATGCGATTCGGCTAAAAAACAAAAAAAAAAAAACAAAATATATCGGATGTTAAAAAAAACATCGCCTTTGTTTTCGAAAATCGAGTATTTACTTTTCGATATCGAAAAGAAACAAATAATATATATACAATAAAAATACACTTACATTCGGCATTATTTGTACGTTCCTTTTCTTCTTTATTATCCTTTTCAGCTTCTTTTTCCGAGCCATGTTGTTTTTTACGTTTCTCCTTGCGCTCGGCAAGCTCGGCGTTTCTGTGTTTTTCCAATTCGGGAATCAGTTTGTGGACAACACCTTTAAAAAAAAAAAAAAGAAAAACAAGTTAAATATGATAATTGCAATTGCACATTATGCAAAAAATAAATTTCCTTGTACTTACAGACGCAACAGTCTGGTTGAGAGTCCCCATCTAATTGCTTGCTTTCTTCGATCCACCAATGCAACGCAGTGGGTATGTTGTTCAAAGTTGCAGCAAGGCTTGGTCCAAAGAGATAACCGGATTGATCCTACCGACAATAAAAAAAAAAAAATTACAATTTGCGCTTTTATGAATACGTTTGTATTTTTACAGCAATATTACGTACGACGTAATCAATTTGTTCCTCCTCTTGATTAGTGTGAGTGAATATTCCCAATCCATTATCCATCACGACAACACGCGTATCTCTGAAGCTCGACGCTAAGACTTGACTGGCGGACAAAGTTTGCGCGGCCGGACCCAAGAGTCTACATAAAAATACACAGTTGAAACAAAAAAGAATACGTACTGTTTGTATTCATTCATATTATTCGAAAAACATAAATGCGATGACAAATACCTTTGTAATATTACAGGTGGATTTGAACTACGTGGGTTGGACAACTGAAGGTATTGATATCGTTGAGCACGTTGTCGTAGAGCATGTTGTCGCTGAGTTCTAGTGCTTGCAGTATCCAAACTTCCTTGCGATATCAACAACGGATGAGTACTGATACCTAAATATAAAAAATGTTTTATTAAATACACAAACACATTTATACATAAACAATCCTCCTGTATCAAAAAACAATCAAGTAAAAATTAACTTCTTATTATTCGTTATTTACCATTATTCTCCGAACCTGTAGGAGGTTCTTCAAACAAGCCTAACGGCAGTGGGAATGTCGTATTCCATGGAAGACTAGGTCGCGTGTTAACTGGCGTTGACGTATTCGCGATGTCTTGATTGTCAATGTTGTGCTGTATCATCACAACATTGCCATCATCGCGCTCAGAAGGAAACATACGAACAACGCCGTGTTCCACGGCCTCACGGTAAATATCTATTCCATCCTCTTCGTAATTAGAAGATCCTTCTTCCTCCTCCTCTTCCTCCTCTTCGTTCTCTTCACCTGCAACAACGTAACACAAATAAGAATGTGAGATAACGATCTTTCCGCTTCGACTAGCGTTTGCCATGCGTATCAAAAGTGTTTTTTACTTACCGTCATCTTCCTCTTCCTCCTCCTCGTCCTCATCATCCTGCACCTCGTCTTCATTATCATCGGATGGATTGCTATCGGAATCCGAGTCGGAACTCATCAAGTCCTCCTGAAATAGAAATTTATTGTAGATTGCGAAAATATTATATCAAAAAATTGGAGAAAAAAAAAAAATAAAAAAGCGACGTTACTCTTACTGTGGTATCTCGAGTCGGATCGAAATCGCCTTCTGCATCACGCATTGCGAGACTTTCGTCATCAATGTCCATTGGTCTGTGCGGGCGAGAAGACGGTTCTTCCGCCACGACGGAACCGTCCCTGGAAAACAGTACACTACTTGATTATAAGTAACTGCAGCCTTCATGAATTAAACAAACTATTAAATAAATAAAAGATTCGCGAACGTGTGCAACACATAAATAAAACAGAAACACATCGTGAAAATAATAAAATTTCAAATTATATTAAAGTGTGTCAAAATGTATGCAAAAAAGAAAAAATCAACAATCAATAGATTACTTGCTATGTTGAAGTAATCAGGCACTTTGTATATAAATTTTAAAATAAATTTTGTTGAATTGCATAACGTTCATCTGAATCTGATTGAATCGTCAATTTACGCGTCGTTACCTTTCAAGCAGCTGATCCATGATATCCTCTAGTGCCGCTGCCTCGTCGCCTTCTTCATGCGCTTGACTCTCCGAGGTAGGTTCCAAGCTTTCCGCAGTCACGGAGATGTCATGCTCAGTATTCTCCGCGTCCTCGTTGGCCTCTTCGCCCACGGCGTGTGTCGCTTCGGAGGTTGTGGTACCTGTTTGCTCTCCGATCGGTTCTTCCTGAACAGTTCTGTTCTTCGGCTTCGTGAACTTATTATTTACCGCGCCCGGCATCGGCTGATTAATAATACGCGATAAAGTTTCCAATGGTTTTAAAGCGGCATTAATTGTACCAGCCATATTTGGACTCGACAAATCGAGACTGTGCGGAATCTTGGCCAAATCGGTGATTATACCTTTCCGCAGCATTATTCTGACGATGTAATTGACATTGTTGTATTGATGAGCCCTCAGAGAGGCTCTCAGTTGAGTATGCGATATATTGGGAGGACAGCTGTCGATCATGGTAGAGATCAATCCGATCAGCAACTGAAGCTGAGCGTGTTTTTCGGAACTTTCTGGAAGTGCGAGTGTTCTTGTCAAAGCCGCCTTCACCTCGGTCACCAAAGTGGTTTGCACATCCGGCGAATGAGTGCACGAAGCTATGGCGGCGATCAACATTCTTGCCATACTGCTGCACGTTCGATCGCCCGAATTTTCAGGCGACATTGGCAAAAGTTTGTCGAGCAAGAACGCCAAAGCTGTTGTATCCTCGGTCACCATCTCACTCTGCCCAGCTCTGTACGTGTGTTCAGTGATGAGACTAGCGACAGCGCCGTAAGATCTGACTGCTTCGGCTAATATTTTTAATATTGCGGACTTGGTCAAAATGGGTTTCTTCGCTTCTTCCGGTTCTACCTTGCTGTTATTACTGATATCAGTGTAAATCTTTAGAGGAATGATCTGGGACACTTGATCGTCGTCGTCTAAGGGTTCGTTGGTGGTCGTTGCATTGTTTCTCAGTACATCTCGTCGTGAAGACGACGTCGACGACGAAGCACTGCCCATCCCGGAGGTTGACGATGAAGTACTACCTATTCCCGAGGTTGTCGCGTGTGACGATTTCTTTTCAGGGCTCGTGGGAGTCGCCGACCCGTCGTCCTGTGAGACTGGCATCGGTTTAATTAACGCATTCAACAGATCGCGTATAACACCTATGGATACTTCTTCCACCATTGGTAACGCTGGCGAATGATTAGGAGGTAAGGCTTTGACGACTAGTCTGTTGTCAACGTCATCTTCTACAAGACGATGAGAGAATGTAATTAGAAAACGACATAGAAGAAACAATCAATCATTATTGTTTTAAAATTGTTATAAAACGCAAGATGCGCTTTTGTATGTTGATAAAAACTTACTTTTTAAACAACTTATGTCAACTCGAAGAATATTCTCGCAGACTTCTCTGTACACTTCTGGATTTCGGCAAACAGCGCTGCTAATCTGCCGCGTCATGAAAAGTATTTCTTTGTACGCAGGAGGTATATTGCTTTGTGTGCGCGCACGAATAACCTGAAAAGGTAACAAATGAATAATGCATAATACGGTCTTTACACATGTACATCGAGCTAATGGAAATTGTTATCTATTGTACGTACCTTCTCCATAGCGAGACGAAGTGTGCGTGGTTCCTCGAGTGTATGTCGTATCAGTAACGTGCAGAGATTGATACAGCCAGTAAAACTGCATATTTGCGTCATATCGAGAAGCAACTTAACACCGCCCTCGCGTGCGAAGACTTCCGCATTTTTGTAGTCTCTCGTTAGTCGCAAACACAATTTCAACAGAGCGTTCAAAGTGTCCCGTTCCACCGGTATCGCCAGCAACTTCACACAAGCGCTGTAACATAAAACATAAATTTATGTGAAACATCGTGAAGACGATTATTGTAAAGAAAAGCTTATTGTCGTAACAAACGTTTTGTGTGTGTGAGCTGTTGGTTTTGTTTTAACACAATGTACAAAATGTTTCTCTTACCGTACAATACTCGGCGCTATACTGGGATCCAATCCTTGAACAACTGTATTTCGTTTCTCTTCCAATGGACTCTCATCGGTGTCCATATTCGAGTCAGAACCAGAGCCGCCGTCTTCCTTGTCCGTGTTCAACTTGAAACCCATAGTGATCGGACGTCGATTATCGCTATCTTCATTCAATTGCGTCATACAAGAAAAAGTAATAAGATAGCGGCGCCGACTGCACGATATTCTGACACTAGATTCACCGGCCCAATACGCTTCGTTGATAGTCCTGTTGTTCATAGGTGAATAAAGCGTCCACTTGCCAGTACTCAAGTCGAACCACTTCCACGCTCTGGTCGTGACCTTGTGCATCATTTGCTTGCGTTTTGTGAGAGTGGCCACCTTCTCCAGACGATCAATGATCAGTAACAACGGCGCCAACCACTTTGGCGTTTTCACACTTGGCGCAACCGAATTGTCCTTGCTTTCTTTCGTGATTTTATTCTTGTTGGCGGTAAGCGGAGCTTCGCTCACTACCAACAAACGCACGAGTTTGTCTAAAATCACGCACTCTTCTACTATTTGAGAACATGGAACACGCATCTCCTGGAACGAGCCTTCAAAAAATAGTGTGTAGAGATAAAGACGTCCGGCAAGTTTATTTGCCTCTTCGCACTCTACCAACCGCGAGCCGGCATTCTCGTCCTGGCTCTCGGCGACGTTGATCAAATAATCCACCAGACGGCCAACCTCGCGTATCAATTGCCGTAACATATCGTCACGCCATTCGTCACCGTTTCTCTTCGAGATCGTCACAACAAGATCACAGATTCTATACACCGTTTCTGGCATAATGTCCAACAGATTGAGACACTGCGGTAGCGCGTTTTGGGTGAACTGGTTTATGCTTTCAGTGATTGTGATTTCGCGAGAAACGTCATCCTTGTGCGGTTCAGTGTTGTCGAGCGACATCGCGATCGCGTGCATTATTTGATCGTCGTCCGCTAATTCCAGATCCATAATCAAACCTTGCCCACCGACATCGCTCACAGGAGCGTCGGGTCTGCGTAGAGTAGCGGGATTTGTGAGGAGATAATCAGTCGCCTGTTCTACAGTCAACGTGTGTAATAACGCTTCTATGCAGTGTGCGCGACTGAATCCCATATCCATAAGTTGTCTCAAATATTCAGGATTTACATCGGCTTCCGTTTCATCCCTACGATCAGTTCCAGCGCTTCTGCCAACACCGCTCGAGCCACTGCCGCTGGCGGTCGCACCATCTCCGCTTTCCTCCTTCTCGAGACGCTCCTTGATGATTTTCTCGCCACGTAGAATATGTCGTAAAATCGATAAGATAGATTCCGTCATACGACTTCCGTAGTTTTTAAGTGGTTTTTTACCCCATAGCAGCATTACCGCTTCGAAGGCTTTTTTATGAATATCCACGAGATATTTTATTGGATCGAACGTTTCGTACACCTTGTATATTCCCGTGCACTTTGTCGATATTACATGGGGCGAATCCAAGATAGCCTTAGGATTTACCATTTTCTCAAGTAACATCAACCATGCGTCCAAGAACTCGCCAGTTCCGTCCGGTAGATTCGGATGCTCCAGTCCTTCCGATAATGGAAACTGACCTCCGCCTGATAATGCCCAGTGAAAAGTGGAGAAAAATGCATTCTGACCGTTCAGTTTAACAAATTTCTGAAGCATTAAGTGATAAGGAAATCTCTTTTCGTCGAAAAGCATAGGCGAAGTAAATCCTACTGAACATATTAAGAAAGTTAGTTTAAATTTCGGAATAGGCGATGGTGGCAATTTGTCCCATGACAAGCCACGCGTTAGCAAGCAGTTTAGAGCGGTTGCAACACTTCTGGCTGCCTGAGAGGGAACCGTGGGAGTCAAGGGCATTTGTTGTCCTCTGCGTTGTCTCACCGGAGAACCCATGCAAAGTTTTACAAGTAAACCAAACAATTCAGAAAGTGCTCTGCCAAGTCTTGAGGATGCACCGAGCAGTGGTTTAATGTATTTCAATTGATAGCTGTTTGGTTTTTCGGTGGTAGCGCTCTTGTCGTCTACTTCCATGGGCACGGGTGGCGGATCCGTGCTGAGAGCTTCCATAGCCGTGGTCATCCCATTACTTCCCATATCCGACGGTATGGTACCAGACCAAGACGAGGAAGCCTCACCTTCGGTTTTCAACTCAGGTGGCATCAGCTTGTCCATGTCTTCTTTACCGAAATCACACCCGGCCGGGATAATATCCTCACTACATAATGCGAGTAACAATGTACTTTCCCAAACAAGAGACATATATAACTCAGATAATCCTTTGAGAACGGTCAAGCCCAACTCAGAACCCCAATGATTTATGGAAAGATTTCGAATGTCACTCTGACTGGTGCGACAAACATGAACAAACATAACTACGTATCCGTGAGCCGCATTCATGGCATGCAACAAAGGTGTCGCATTGTCACTTGTGAATGCCGTTTCAAGATTGGGTGCTGACGCAAGTTCGTGCAATAAAACAGAACCGCCGGGAGATTCCATGTGACTGTGAAGCGGTTTCAGCAAATTTAAGACTTCGTTCAACTGAGACAGACCTGTCTTGAGTACCGATTGTTCGTGTGCAAGGTTCTGTAAACATAAAATTATATTCATACAATAAGACATGATGATCTGTAAGATTAAATATGTATTTTTATATACACATATGTACACACGCAGCTACAATAAATTAAATAAAATTCAAACGTACCAAGATACTTTTGCATACTGATGCCACGGATTGGGCAGCCTGTGCAACAGGATAGTCGACAGGTAAATTTGGTAGACCCAGAATCGAAAGAAGTGGAACGAGTCCTTTTTGGGCAACAAATTCTCTACAGTGATCATCAGTCGAGTTGTTGCTCAGTATAGCGTCTACGAATTTCATGACATTGTGTATGTATTCGACTAAAGCAATGGGAGTTTTTTCTCTTGGTTGAGGTGGCGGTCCAGGTTGTGCGGGTGATAAAGTAGGTTGCTCTTCTCGTTGCGGATGCGAACTCGTGCTAGCTTCCTCTTCATCTTCTTCCTCTTCGTCACTGCTACTTCCGCCGCCTCCGCCACCGCTACCACCGGAATCTCCAACTCCGACGCCGACTGACTGACCGGACGATTGACGATTTCCAGAAGTGGTATTTGAAGGTGAACTTTCAGATTTACTAGCGGCACGGTAACATATGTATCGCGGATCGCAGCCGAGTACACACAACTCTTCGAGTAACTGGAAAAATGAAGAAAGCATTTGAGAAAATAAAATAATAATGAAGAAAGCAGTAGCAATTAAATGAACACACATTTGTTGCACATATATAGATACCTTGATAATAGCCGCAATGGCGTCTGTTTTCAAGCTCGGTTGATGCCTCATTAGCTCATCCATAGCATTACCTAAATTCGAAGCTGTGTCACCTAGTGCATCGGTACTTCGCCGTCGTCGCATTGCTAAGAGATAAGCAGGTGAGAGAAGTACTTTGAACAAGCGTTCAAATGGTCGTCGTTTTACAAATGATTCAAGACCACGTTGATTTAGACATAGTGCACTGAACACATTAGGTAAAGAACCTAATACTTCTCTAGTGGCAGGAACCTAAAAATTATTAAAATTGTTGTTAAGTTTAAGTTTTAAATAATAAACGTGTGACTTCATATTTGCGATATAGAATTACTCTGTACTCACTTCTTTTATAAGTAAAGCGTGAAGCACAACATCAGTCAAGCCGTTGTCTTGCAGAGACGATAATAATGACGGTTCTTGGAAAACGTACACGGTTACGACATCGGTAGCGAGTAAGAATAACGAAGGGCCGTAATATTCCGAGTTGCTAATAAGATGTTTCAAGGAAGATGGCAATGTACCTTCCATAACATGTCTTATACTGTCAGAAAATGCTGGATCTTGAATAGCTTTTTTGAGGAAATTTAACATAGACTTGAGAAGAGCGGCACGTTGCGGCAAACATGTTTTGCCTGTGTTAGCGGCAGAATAATCTGGTTGCTGCTCGCTTTTCTCGTCTGCTTTGGAACTAGTGTTTTCGTCTTCTGATATTTCCATAGGATTGGATGTTTCTTCCCGCTCGTCAAAAGCCTCGGGTTCACGTCGTGAAGCGGAAGATGCTTCCTCTCTATCTACCGATCTTTCGCGCGAGGTTTGCGGAGCATCTTGATACAACAGCGGTTCTATTTCAAACGGTTGTTCTTTTCTACATACATTAACTTCCATATCTAAACGATTGATAAAGCTTGCCAAGCCATTGTGAGTTTGAAAACCTTGCATATCTATGTTTGTTATCAAATCTATGACACGTACTGCTCTTGTTACAAACTGCAAAAAAGAAACTCAATCAAAATAAACTAATATGAATTAAAAAATCCAATAAAAACATTGCAAAAAATTAAATTATGTACCGTTATATGGTCCAATTCACTGCCTGGCCAGTTGATAACTTTTAAGAGACTTTCCATCATGCCACAACTGACGAGAGCTTCCCCACCTGCCTCGTAGCTCGCAAGATGATAAAGAAAGCTAAATAAAGCTGTTGCCAGTGGCAAGGGAAACGGTTGTCCACCCGGTTGTGGCGAGGTCAACGTTGTTATACAAGTACGAACCAAAACGGGTAAGAATCCGTGATACGAACTGGCTCCGGTGACATCAATTATCATGTTTAATCTCGAGCCAGGTTTTCTAAAACATCACATACAACAATTAATATCATCAATGATTAAACGTGGGAAAAAAATTTATTTTAGAATAAAGTTTTTTATACTCACTTAGGAAAATGTGGATTACGATCTAAGTGTATAATACTCGTGAGAGTACGTAATGCTGCCGCACGAATCTCAACAAGATGTACGTATGGAAGTTCCAACAACTCGACCAGTTCTTCGAGAAGTCCAGCATGAAGAAGACTGTGTGCATTTTCTTGCAGCGCATTGCTGTATACAAGCACGGATAATGCTTGAAGCCGAGCTTGTACGAATTGCAATCGTTTTCGGTAATCCGAGAAACTATGCGCTAACCTTATATGCGTCAATAGAGCCATCTAAAAAAAAGTAACATTATCTCAAGTATAACAAAAAACTATCTCTTCTGAACGTATTTTATTTTGTCATCATTTGCTCAAAGATGCAATTAAAAACTTAATTATTATTACCTGTCGTTCCTGGGGTACGTTATAGACTTTCAACAGATCATTCATAATCTGCGCTGGGGTTTTTCCAAGTTTATCAACATTTTCTATATGTATATATGTTACAAGATTCGTTTGACCAACTTTTTTTGTACTAGATGCAGAACCGGTTGCGGATGGTTCGGATACAATCGGATTTTCGGCATAAAATTCAAAATGCAGTGTTGTAGCACTTGTTGGAAACGGCTAAAAAGTAAAAAAAAAAGAAAAAATAATACATACGCAAGTAGTTTATCAAAATTTACAATTACGTATTATTACAAAATTATCGTACATTTACCTTTTCGGGAAATTCCTTGCAGCAATCTGCTAAACCGAAACCGTTTTCCTTTCCTCCCCAACTCTACAAAAGTCAAATTACGTTACATATACGAGTTATGTAAACTTGTACACTGTTTTGTTCTACATATAAATAGATTCACCAACCTCTGCTAGATGATTAAGCCTGCTGAGTAGAGCTTGCCGTTTGTCACTATTTAGACGTGTAATAAAATTACTACGTTTACTAAACATGTACAGAAGATTTAATACACCGAGAACTACATTCATGTCACAGCTTGATAATAAAGTAACCAAGTGTTCCATGCTGTTGTACAAATGCCGTGAAAATGAGTGCTCGATCAACATTGTCGTAAACTGGAGAACCAGGAGAAGCAGTTCTTTCGCCTGTATCAAATTAAAAAATCAAGTTTTGTAACCCATCATATACTACACATAGTGGATTTGTAACTTGATGTAATGAAAAATTTTAATTAATTTGCAAGTCAAAAAAAAGAAAAACGAATCGTTCGTTACAAACAAACCTCTCTATTTTGAGGAAGATCACATGCTAATTCCCATGGATTATCAGGGCTCCTTGCGGCAGCTTCTTCTAGAATACTGTCACTAAGATCCAAGACATCGATCCAATGCAACAATTCGCATTTGCCAAAAGTCCATGCATCTATTTGCTTTAGTTCTTCTAGCAGTTCCGCATGTGAGCAAGAGCTTAGTTTGCTTATAAGTGCCTGACATTCCGGAGGCTAAAAATATTATCATAGTATTTAGTAGATTTTGTTTAATAAATTACATACATATTACATTTTTTGTATAGAATCAAACAAACACTTTTAGTTTACAAACTAAAATTTTAAGTTTAAAAACAATAAGATAATAAAAATCACTTTTAATTTTAAAATATTAGAAAAAGATTTACAAATTTTTCAAACAAATCAAAGTAAATCTACATGTCTGTAATATAATAGTTATTACATAATAATTATTCAAGTAAAAATATTGAGACAAGATAGATACTGACCACTTCAGAACTGGATTTTTTGAGTCTGCTTCGATCAATTTTCATTTTGATGAGTTTTTAATATATAATTTTCTTCCCAAATTTTTAAAGTCTGAAAAAATTGAAAGATTTTTCTTTACATACAAAGTGTTTTTTTTTATATTTTGTGTGTGTGAAAAATTTTCTCGTCTAAGATAACATTTCCCTGATGTGTAAAGTTATCTGTCCTGGATATGAAAAATACACGTGATCTCACACAATGGAACAAAGGCTATTGTGAAACATATATTGCAATATATTGGGTGTACAAAAAAAAAAAAAAAAAACGGTTGGATGGATTTTATTTCCTGATAGAGAAGTTGGATCGGATAATTTCATTAAAGACCTATTTATTTTTATCAAATAACATTGGTTTCTTTTGTCTCTCACTATTGTAACTGGCAAAACGAATAAATCACTTCTAACAGAATTACTTGATCCATTTTTCCATGACGAAATCCATCAAGTCAAGAGACTTTACGCAATAATATGAACAATTTTTTTTTGAACAATAGGTCTCTATCTAGGTTGGATTTCTCTCTTCTCTTTTTTCTACTTATAGTGCGTAACTTTTTCCTCAGCCTAACCCCTACACGATCCAGAAATATCTGTTATGCCGATAATGCGGAAGATATATATATATATANATATATATATATATATATATATATATATATATATATATATATTAACGCGATTAGGTTTTGGAAAAGTGAATCATTCACGCTTTAATCTGCAGAGTCATCGGGGGAAGACACGATAGGATAATCTAACCTATGCGTGAGTTTACGAAGAGAACAATGATAAAGACAACAGATTGTTACGGCGATAACACTCTGGCGGCGAACGGCCACACTGACAGTTTCTGTGAAACATGCGCCCTCGTAAATAAACGTTTGAAGGTGAAACGCGAGATACGCGAGATGCCGTTTTGAACGCCAACAACAGTCAAACAGAGAAAACTGTCTCGAGAAAAAATTCTCTGTTTTCTTCTCGACAAAAAGAATACGTAAGAAAAAAAATCAAGAAACGATGGTCGCGCGCGCTCGCGGCCCCTTTCCTCCCATCCGTCCACGAGGAGACGATTACGCACGATTTTTTTTTTTCTCACCTGGCGATGAGCCGTCGTACTTTCGTGCCCTCGACGTTTCTTCGTGATAACGCCGCAGCAGCAGCAGCAGCAGCAACACCACTATTACTCCTCGCTTCTTCGTACGTCGCGCTCGAGTTCCGTCCAAGGCGCTTCTTCACGTCAAGAGCGTGGCGATGCAACACGGGCATCGCGGTCGCATCAAACCCCGCGAATCCGGAATCACTTATCGGAGCTGTTGGTTGCGCACACGATTCTCTCGTCAGCCTTTTTGTCATCAAACGCATACACCACAGTCGAGGGGGGACGGGAGAGGCAAATCTTCTCGCCTGTCTCACACGTTGATAACCGCGGTTCGGTTCTCGCGACAAAGACGGCAAGAACCCGAGAGAAACAAAACGGACGAGGAGAGCCACGAACTCGGATGATGAAAACGGGATGGCGGGGAGGGTGACAAAGGGGAACCAAGACCGAGGGATCGTGAAGGGGGGACCGGCGATCGAGGGTAAAGGGGGGGGGGGGAACGAGTGGGTTGCGCGAAATGAAGGGCTTTGATAGCCGGGGACTCCCGGATGGGCTTGCGTGAACTCTCGCGGCACCAATCGTGCGCCAAAACAAAACCGCGCAAAACAAGCGCCACAGTCGCGGAAAGCCGCTGCTCGTTCTCTCTCTCGTTTCTTCCTTGTTCTATCGGTCGACGACGGTGGCGATCACCGCCATTTTAGCGAGGCATTCCACATCACGACGACAGGATAGTCTTGTCTTCGTTTAACCTTGGCGGAACACGCAGGGGTCCGCGCACGCCGTACTGGGCCCCGAGCAATCGCCAAGTCGATGTTTCTCGAACAATCTCGCACAGTCTCCTTTTTTCTTTCTCTCTCTCTCTCTTTTCCTCTCTTTCTCGCTTTTCCGGTTCACAGACCTCACCACGCGTGTGCCGTTGCACACCGCGTCCTAGTGGTGGTCCTCCTCGTCCTCCTCTTCCTCCTCGTCGTCGTCGTCGTCGTCGTCGTCGTTTCGCCACCAACTCGCTCTACCATCAACGCGCCACAGTTTGTTGGCCACTCGTCCGTTTCTCGCAGATATATATATGTATATATATATATATATATATTTATTGCGTCGAGAGACGCCTGTGTTGCGTATATATTAACGCGCGCGCATGCACGCATACACACGCTGCCCCTCGCGTAGCGCGCCGTCGAACACAACCTGCTTTTTTAATACACAGGCGGAGATATTCAACCGAGAATAAATTCTCAACGTCACACCGTCCGGCGCTTTTATCGCGAGCACGATTAATCACGAACAAACGGATATATCGTTGACGCGCAATCACGTTCGGTGGTTTCCAATTTTTTTCGCTTCCCTTTCTTCCTCTTTTATTTTTTTTTCTTTTTTCTTTTTACCACGATGCGCCCTAACGGGCTGATCCTTCCATCGCGTGTTACTGTTTCTCTCGAGAGCGAAGCACGCGCGCGACAATGATATGCAAGCGTGACGCTCGCGAGAAAGCTCGAACGGAATGAGGAGGGTTTTCGGTCGCGAATTCTCATCGCGCGATGCGCGACATGTGAATCGGATTTGAACTCACGCCTATCAGCGAATCCGCTGATGCCGCGACCGAACCGCTTCGGCGCGCAGACGCGAAGCGATTTGTTCGGTCGCGATTCGATGGCGTGGTCGCGCGATCTTTCATTGGCGCCGATCGTCTGCGACTTAGACCATATATACTTATAGACACGGCTTCAGACAACTATCTTGAAGCAAAGATAATATCATCTACATGACGTCACATGTGGGCAAAGCAAAGGCGCGGTTATAGACGGCTTCAGATAACCGCCTTGAAGATAAGATAATATCATCTACGAGGCCGCGTTTAGCCATTGCTGAATGCCCACATGTGACGTCACGTAGATGATATTATCTTTGCTTCACCTCGACTCGTGGATTCATATCTACAGGCCGTGTCTATAAGTATATATGGTCTAAGGTCTGCGAGTTACTCTGTCGCGTTTTGTCTGAATTGCGCGCGCAGGTTCGATATATCTCGAGAATCGCGACTTTGTTGAGCGCGGTTCGATATCTTGAGAATCGCGACTTCGCGCGCGGGGCGAAGTCGCGATATATTCATTCTCCGACAGACAGCGGTAGTGGACGCGCGACACGGAGCGGAACTTCTCTTTTTTAGATTTTAAGGTAATTTTTGACGTTTATTGTTGTCAATGATCATATTGTAATAATTTTTAACAGCTTCGCGCTCGCTAATAACTCGGTAATCTGCGAGGATTCGTATCGCGTCTATTCGCGCTATTTCCGCGAGCGAGGAAACTAAATCTCATATCGCAACGGTAGGGAATGTAATTTTTAATAAAAAAATATAACATTACGGTATAAGTGCAAATAAATAATACAGTTAAATCGGTATACAAGTATGGCTTTGAGTTTATTGCTTTTATTTATGTTTATTTACTTTCTTTTTTTTTTTCAAGTAGTAACGGAGAAGTGAACAGAGGAAGTGAAGGAGTGGAAAGAAGGAGACCTGGTGGAACGTGGTGCGCGTCGTTATTTTCTTTCGATTGCATCGAAAACGAGTTTGCAGCATTGGAGGAACGAGTTCGAGCAATCTCAAGACAGTTTAAAGTCAGTGTCGTACTTGTGCAGATACAAAACAAAATACAATTTCTATTTTTTAAAACTTAACTTTTTTAACTTATTTAAAAAGTTAATGATCTCTTTCTCTTATAGTTTATTTTTATTAATTTTCTCCTGTCATTTTTTTGTTTCAGGTTTTGACAGATTGTTTACACACCGAAGAGAAGTTTGCGGCGCCGAAGGAGCCGTAAGACGGCCGCAATCTCAAGACAGTCTACAGAGTAGTTGTATATTTGCAAGTTCAAAACAATACACATTTTATTTTAAAACTTCAAATAAGTTTGTGTATTTAACTTATTAAAAAATTTAACTTATTTAAAAATCTTTCTTTTATAGTTAATTCTATTAATTTTCTTTGGTCTTTTGGTGTTTAAGACACAATCACGCAGAAGAGAGGTGTTCGTTTTGCGAGCCAGGAGAGCCGACTCGGGCAATAGGATGCTGGCACGAAGAAATATGGAATTAGCGGCTCTTTGGTCCAACTTAATTATTTCTTATTTTGTTAAGCCGTTTTTTACTTAACTAGTACAACACAGGCGCGCCCTACGCGCACGCTAACGTTATTTTTATTTAACGTGTTGTCAGTGAACACAACTTGTCACCGCGATGACAGATAGTATATACGTCTTATAAACCATATAATACACATATGAGAAATGTCAGAAATAACGGATGAAAATCAAACTCAAAAAATAGTGAGAGAGAGAAGTGGAAAAACAACACGTGACAAGGAAAAGAGTAAAAGAGAGAATATTATATATATTATATGTGTAATATTCTATATCTATATACAATACACACACATACGCATATATGTATATTTATATATATATACCGTAATCACGTGACCGAAGTCAGTAACACCGCCGCGGTCGCGCGACCGAGGTCAGTGACTCTACCGCAGTCGCGCGACCGAGGTCAATGACCCCTCCCCCACCAAGGCCGCGCGGCGGAGGTCAGTGCCCCGTCAAGGCCGCGCGGCCGAG